AATTGATTAATAAGTTGTGACAAAAAACATTCATATAGTAAATAAAACTTCAATTACTCGCATAATTTGTGACAAATTTAATAAAAATATTGCTATTGATATATGTGTCCAGATTTATAAATAAAGTAAAAACGGTTAACTTTTTCTTAATTTGTGTGAGTAATTAAAATTTTGTTTATAAATAAAAAATTTATATAAGAAATATTAAGTTTAATTATGAAATATAAAAATATTTTCAATAGATTTATTCAATAAGATTACACTGTATTCTAAGACTACGTCAAGATAAACAACAAATAATAAAAATAATTAATTACAAATTAAAATATATTTTTGATGCTGTTTTTTATCTTACTAGTTATAAATTAATGTATTTTATTAAATGAAAAATAAAAATTAATTTTATAACTTAACATTATATTATAATGATTATACAGTAGTATATCACATTAGAAACATGTATTTCAGGAAATATATCAAAATTACGAATATTTTAGTCTTAATTGTTATTTTTGACATTATATTGATTTATACTCTTTTATCATAGTTTTAAAAAGTTGAAAGTTTTATGTTAATGACCTTTGGATACCTTAATTAAACATCGAATATATAATATTAAAACATTGTATTAAATTATATTAAATATATATTCCGTAATAAATCTTAGTTTTTTAAATCAAGTAATTTTATTTATTTATAAGTAAAATCTAAATTTAATGATAAATATTGATTTTAAAATTAGAAATATAATAAACACAGTATATAATAAATTTAGTAAACACATTATTTTATATTTTTAAATATATTTAAAGCATTAATGTTTATTATTTTATTTTAACTAATTTATTGTTTACTACTCAAGTAGGACTTATTTACTGAAATAATTAGTTTCATAGTTAATAACAAATTTTGTCGATATCTGAAAAATAAAATAATATTATGTTTAGCATAAAACCAAAGTTAATGATAAAATTCTTAATATAATTTAATTTATTACAATAACGTGTGTTTAAGGCTAAATGCGAGTCGAAATTTTAAGTTTAAAGTAACTACAATTAATTCTGTCCTAATTTAATAGAATATATAAACTTTACGTTATTAATAATAATAAAAATGTTATTTTTTAAATTAAATTTTGTTAAAAAATAGGAATAACACATTGATTGCATCATAAATCTTTTATTTTGAGTTGTTTTCGATATATTTAAAAATTCTAAAATGTATCAAATTATTTATAATTTAGATTAAACAGAATTCGAATATCTCTTAGTTTTTTGAGATATCATACCTCCCTGAGCTAGCATACCAGTGCTAATATACAATCAAAGCACTATAATCATTGTATTGGTGCCAAAAACCATATTTTTAAATAAAATATTTTGTTGTATTTCAATCCATTAATAAGTTATAACCAAAAAACCATTTTCATCTATTTTGAGTTATTTTTTATGAATTCAAATATAAGTTGATTGCAAATAAATATTTCTAATAAACTCATGAATAAATATCTATAGAAATTTTACTTTATTATTATACTAAGGGATCTTCATATCTATAAATTTTGTAATATTGTATTAATGATACATAATTATAGTTTTTTTTATTATTCAATTATAATTTTAGTTTAATGTAATTAAATGGATTATTATTTTAATTAAATATTAATTAAAATACTAATATATATTTTGTAATTATTTATAATTAAAATGTATTGTTAGTTAATAACAAATATTGAAAGAATAAAATTAACCATGGTCATCTTATAGATAGAAATATCTTCTAGAAACTTTCTTGAAACTTCTCTATTATTTTAGAAATTTATCTTTTTTACAAACGCTAAGTGAAAATAATGTATAATATTATATATTATGTATTATAATCACATAAAATTATGTATTGTAATCATTAAAAATTATATAACTTATAATACATACAGTAGATATCAATAAGTATTTTCAAAATATATAATTTTGAAATACTATTATAAATAAAATAATTTATTAAAGTTTTATATACAAAAATTGTTTAATAAATTTACTTAATTCATTCATAATCTATAGTTACCAAGAATATTTTAACATTATAATAGTAATTGTAAAAAATAAGTTACTAAAAAATTACTATAAAATGTTTAAATATTTCTCGTAATTTGTCGTTAACTATAATTTTTCATAGATTTTATACTTAAATTAGGATTAAGAAAAAGTTTTCGATTCTATGAGGAAATACAGAGTGAAGTAGAAAATGAAAAAATATTTAAAAAATACTTTGTATTATAGATATCATATATTGAGTTAAAAAAGATATATTTTATTTTAATAAAATATCGTTTATATATATAATATATATATAGTATTCATAATAAAATAATATACTTTTTTGATTAATAATTTTTTTTAAATACAGTAATTCTATATTAATAAAAATATCAAATTTATGTAACTATTTAATTAAACATATCTTCCAGTATAATAACTAAAATTAATCTTTAAAAATTGTATAATAATTCAATCAAATTATCAACACTATAATGTACAAATGTAACTATTACAGTAAAAATAATTTTAGTAATTATTAAATGAATTTGACAATATTTCTACATTAAAAAGATTTTTATCAGATATTAATTAAATACAAATTTAACATTTTAAATTTTATGTAGCATTATAATCAAATAAAAAAAATAATATAAATAAAATATATTTTGAATGGAAAGTCAATAGTTTTTACATAAATATTTTACTTTTTCAATAACAAGGAAATTGATTTATTTGATACTATTTTAATTGTTGTTTATTATTATTTTGTTATTTATTATAAAACTTAAGGAAGTGATAGAATAAATAATTAGCAAAAATTGTTGTCTATTAAGACATTCATTGGCTATGAGTACGCGTAAGTGTTTACAAAAAAATTGTAACTAAATTAATGGCAAAAACCCTTTATAGCTGAGGGCTAACTCTTGAAAAATGATTTACATGTAGATTATAGCTATATATATATAATCATAGTTATTATTATTATTACATATTATTATTGTTATTATATTATATTGAATTACTTTATAAATTATAAATATATATGATATTAAATTAAAATATTTATAGTCATAAATTTATAATGATATTTTTATTGAAAGATAAAATTAAATATTTAAATAAATTATTTGAATTTATACATCCTGTATATATAATATATTGTATTAAATATATCATATAATTCAGTAAAAGATATAAGATATATATAATATTTAATTATTAGTTTTAATATTTTATTATATAATATTTATTATTTTATTTTTTTTAATTTTAAAATTTAGTTTATTTATTTTAACAGACTTTCAGACTAATGAATTTTATTTAAATTTTAGATCATGATATATATATATATATATATACTGTATATTAAAAGTGATACTAAACAAAATTTTTATTTGTCAAACATGAAATACACGTATATATTTGATGATAAGATCTGAAATCTATTAAAAACAAATTTTAGATGTCTCCTTTACTTATATTGATAAAATTTGAAAATTACCAAAAAAATCACAAATTTTGACACTAACCTGAATTCCCTACAAAGTTAGAGTAAATAAAAATTATCAGAAAGTTTTTATGTATATTTTTAATTTGTTTTTCTTTAAATTAAATATTTAACGTAAATATGTACTTTAAATGTTAAATGTTAAATAATTTAATACTATATTTAAATTTGTAAAATATATTTCAAATAAGTTTGTTTTTATTAAATCATTTATGATAATTTTTTTCATTAAAATTTTTATTCTTAAAATAAGAAAATACTATATATAAAATAACTATTAATATATATGATATATAAGTTTATTATAATTATTATAATTAAATATTTAGAATTTTTAGTGATGACCAGTTTTTATCACATATTGTATATGAATCTTAAAATGCTATGTCATTATCTATTAAAGTAGTATTTTTAAACTTAAATTTCTGATAATAAATATTTTTGAGAAACAAAAATATTCAAAATAAAGATTATTTTCCTATTGAATTATCGACGAGACAATTGAGCCATTGGAAAGTAGTGTTGAATAAAGTATTTATTAAAATATAAACAAAAAATTGATATAAAGTCAGATTAGGTATAAATTTATACTGTATTTTGTAATAAAGTATTTACACATATTTATCAGAAATAAATCAAAGTAATATTTGTAAATAATAAAGCTTTTATTGAATTTACTAAAACAGTGTATTGAAAATGAATTTTTGACAATTATTAGTCTAATAGATAATTAGCTTCAGATATAATATAAAATATTGAATGCAATGGATGAGTGGTTAGTAATCAAGAAATCAGTGATAGTAAGGGATGTAATGTTTGACGTGAATCCTGTCTCTCGTAAGAGCCAATAGTTCTTCACATCGGTATCTCTGGCATCTCAATAGTAGTGTAAATATCTGGCCGTTTGCCGTATAGTCTTGAATATTATGTATTGTATTTAATATTAAATGTGATGACCGACCAAACAGTGATTATTATAAAGTTTATGTCTAGTTAGGGGTCAATACATTTGAGGTCATCCGCCAAACTTGTTTAGAGGCGGAGTTTATACACCAAATGAGGCAAACCTTGTGAGAGAGTGTTGTGTAAGTGTTGTCTATATATCTATGTTGTGGTGGGAGTCGAGAAACAACTGTGCTCTTGCTTTCCGAGTATTTGTAGTCATATTAGTTTTGACTCAGACTTACTGACTGTCTCACTGAAAGAGAGCCGAAGTAAATGAGAGACAATTAGAGAGAAAGAGAGAGAGAAAGAGAAAAGAAGAGACAAGAAGAGTCAGTGAGAGAGAGAGAGAGAGAGAGTCAGTGATCGCTCACAAGTGCTAACCGACAGCATACGAGAAACAGTGAAATATATTATATATTATTATATTTGATATCAAAGTTTTGTTTTATTGTTTAGTTGACTCATAACAGTTGTTCATCTATTTATATAAATGAAAATAATGTTAAATTGAATGAATAGTAAAACTATAAAATCTAAATGTAGTTCATTGTAAATAAATGGAGCCTTTTATATATGTCAACTCATTCTTGCTTTTGGTAAGTGTTTTCACATAATTTTTCTCTCATCTCATTCATTGTATTATTAATAATAATTATTATTATTATTTTTAATCATATTATTTACTATTAATCTATTTTTAAACAATTCAAAAACTTTTGTATTGGCAAACATGGTTTTAACAAATATAACCATTTGTTTGTGATTATAATGTTAGTGCAATAGCTAAACATAAACTTATATATAACTGATTTAAACAATGATTGTATTGTTATGAGCTGTATAGCTGTATACTGTGATGAATACTAATAAGTTAAGCAATTAATTATAAAAATTATTTTAAGCCAAACACATATTAAGCTAACGTTTTTCATATATATATATATACTGTATTACGTTAACTCAAAGTTCCGTTTAATTTGAGGCCAAAAATGTATTTGCCTTTTAAGGTATTATTCAATAAAAGGTTTGCCAATAAATGTTTTGCCAGTGAATTACAGCCAAACATTCAATGAAACTGAATGACAGATGCAGTTAAATGAGAGTAAAGCTTAACATAACATAACAACACATAACACAACATATTATATAAAAGACTTACTATTTGTCTGCAGAAAGACTTGTTTTGCAAATGCTTTGGATGTAATGTTACGTCAAAAACACAAAACAAGTCACGCAAACAAAAGGAAAATCTGATAAAACAGTTTTTTTTATTATTTGTATTATTTGTATTACTTTTATTATGATTATAACAAATATTTAAATCCGTTCATTAAATTTCATTAAATTTATTTCTTATTGTATTTCTCTTCCCATAATACTATTGTTTGTTCATTAAATATATTTAATGGATAAACATTTCTTACTCTACTATTCATTAAGTAAAGCATTGTTATTAAACAAACGGCAGTTTTATATATTAAATAATATCAAACGTTTTTTCATACGATTTTTAATTTTGACTAAATATTTCCTTTTATATAATACAAAATATAAAACATGATTTATAGACTTTGATTATTAATTAATTTTAAAAAAATGCTGAATAAGTATAAAAAAATATTTTAATTAATAAACTAAAGTTTAATAACAATTTTAAAACGATAATTGGATATAGTTTAGTATTTGTTAATTTAGATTTATAAAAATAGAAAATTTTGAAGGTAAATGAAAATATGGTACAAAAATTATTGTATTTTAGTTATTGTATGTATTAAGTAAAATAGTGGTACGATTTATATTATAATATATAGAAATTTTGATTAAAAAATGTGGAAAAGAGGGCACAGAATAAAAACTATAAAATGAATAACAAGGATAATGTATGCATCGATTGTTAGCGTTGTATAAAGTAGTGTAACTGTAATATTATACAGTAATATAAGGCAATCTCAGGTAAAGTTAATATCAAGTTTGATAAGACATGCATTGCGTAGGTATTTAACACTTGAAAGCCATAAATGGTTAAGAAGGTAATGACGAAACCAACCAAATATTACTAATCACTTATTTGTTGATTATATTTATATACTGTATATATTTTATATAATTTTTATCAGCATTGCATTAATAACAAATAATTCAAAAGTATATGCAATAATCATAAATGACTCTTATTTGGGAACCGTTAGCTAATGATTTTATTATAGCAATAAATACGGTATTGTATAAAGATTTGATTTGTAGGTGTAGTGAATGTTAGGATTGGCATTGATTTTTCATTTGATATTAGCATTCAATTATTGACTGTTAAAATGCGGAAAATAAACATTAGATAATATAATGTTTATTTAATGTTTGATTTTATGATTTTATTGAATTCAACCGATTCACTGATAGCCAATTTGCTCTCCCTTTCCATAAGTCATAAATTGTATAAAAAATTCTCATTTATTTGTTATTAAATTTATGTAATGAATAATAGTTTTTATATTTTATATAAAAAGTGGTATTTTTCAATTACGAGTTAATATCACATTATGTACATACAGTATAACATTATAATGTATAATAAAAATATATTAAAAATTACATCAATATATAAAATAAACAGTTAGTTGACACAAGTTTGATAAAATAATTGAGGAAATGATGTGAAGCACTGGTTTAATAATAAGTCAATGAATGTTTGATCCAATGTATTATACAATCAAAATCAAGTAAATTAAGCAATTCATTCACATGTTTGATGACTCCCTAAATGTATTTAATATCTCATTTAAGAACTTTTTGCTGTAAATATCTTTAAGTAAACATTTTCATATAATTTCATTGTCAATGTTAGGGTTAGTGAGAAAAATGTGTTTCAAATACATTAGTTGTGAGATTATATTTAAATTTAAAGTAAAATCTTTGCGAAACAGGAAAAGAAAATCTATTTGAAAGAAGAGAAATGATGTTTGAAATAATTTATTTTTTATTTGGACTCAACTGACTCTTTTGCTATCTTTGAAATCATAATCAAAAGCTAAATCTCATTAAAGATTAATCTACTGATTGCTAATGAGTGTGAAGATAGTGTTCATAATAATTGTATGTATGGTTAGCGTGTGATCAATGAATATGTCTTCTCATACGGACTTCACTGTCAGCTTCTCTTTCTTTACACTCCATGTTTTGATCAACAAATTAGACTCAACTCAGGAAATGTCTTTAAACAGGTTTACCCATAGATATAATGTTCAGATTCTCAGATAATTTTGACTCAAACTTATCTTTTAAATCTCTCTCTCTCTCTCTGTCTGTCTGTCTGTCTGTCTGTCTGTCTGTCTGTCTGTCTGCCTCTGTTTCAACCGGTATAATATTATATATAATTTAAGATATATTGATATTTATTAAAATACAAGAATATGTCATTTGCCGACATATCTTATACTTAAGTGTAAAATATATTATAAAACACTTTGATTTTAACATTTTTATTACAAATTTTAGATAAATTAATAACTGTACCGACCTTGACTTTTTCTAAAAATTATATTTATTAGTAATATTTAAATAAAACATTTTGAAATTATGAATTTACTTTTAATATAAATATAGATTTTTAAAGAGAAGTCAATGGCCTTTAAGGGAACAACAAATTGAAAATTTATTAACATTTAAATCACGTCATCTAAGTTGATAAACAACTCTCTCTCTCTCTCTTTATTTTTATTTTCTTACAAATAAACAATAATATTTTATATTTTATTAATATTTCATTAAGTTATTATATAAAATATGTGATGTTCAATATAATGTTTTTCTTTAATATTTTTAAATTTATGAATTAAGAGTAAATTTATAATAAGAATTTTTATTTTTCTAATTTCAATTCAATAATACAGTTTTGTATGTTTTTATTGTTTCTACAAAACAGCTTAAAAATAAAGTGAAATTAGAGTATAAAATAATATTAAAATTTAGTGAAATTAAAGGTTTGCATTGAAACAAACTATGAGAGAGAAATTGTTTGAACCACACCTTCAATCATAATAAATAAAATACATTGAAAGTCATGAAAAGACCTCAATTTAATAATTTGTAAAATAAACTTAATTTAATTTATTATACATATTATGTTTTGACTCATGACTTTATAACATAAATTATAAGTTATTATATATTGTAAAACTTTTTAATTTTAAAATATGAAAATCTTTATATTTTTGATTTTGATTTTAATTGTTATTTAAGTTAAATAAAGAACAAAACAGTATAAAGAATTAATTTTAGTTCTTAAAAAATAAAATATAATATAATATGAAACTTATATTAAAATCTTTTTTTGTATAATATTATACAACTAAAAATAACAATATACTTAACCACTATAATAATAAACAGGTTAAGATAGAAAATTGCTGAAAAATTATTTAGTTGTTATTTTCTCGTGATATCATATATATTATTTTATTAAAATGCAGCATGATATTATATCAATGATATATATATAAGCAAAACAAATATAAAATAATTTTAAATTAACAGAGCTAACATGTTTTTGTATAATTTATACATTAACATTAATACTGCATAATAAATGATATAATTGAAACATGAAATTGTTTGTCAATTAATATTAGCCTTAATAACAAAGACTATGTTTTATCTCATTATGCATTTCCTCGATTACATTAAATTAGCCAAACAAATGTCAAAATTGTAACTGTTGTTAAAAAATAACTACTTGCATGTCATATAAATATATTATTCAATAAATATAAACAAATAAGTCTATTTAGATATATTATTAATAATATATTATTAAAAGTATTATAATAAGATATAATTGTTTGTTAAGTTTAAACTTTGTTGATATAACAATAGATTAGTTATTGGGATAAACCTGTAAAACTGATCACTACATTTAGTTAATTTTTTATAATCAAAAAACAATATAATAATTATATTAAATTTTATTTGAGTTTTTAAAAACAAATATTTTAAATAATTGATGATTTATTTATAATAACCAGATTTTGGTCACATGTAATACCGTAAAAAGTGACGGAGGATTAGTCAATGATGTGCACATTGAATGTAATAGCAATGACATATTGGTTACCCTGAGTGCCCCCAACTCTTTCAATGGTATGATATATCCAAAAGGATTATCCAAAAACTCGAGTTGTATGACTGAGTATAAGTCCACTTCAAACATCACATATAAACTACCGCTTCGATCATGTAATACAATGTCTACCGATGTGGTCAGTATTGTTACTATTGTTACTATTATTAATAATAATATTATTATTTATTTATTTATAAAACATTTTATTTCATAAAATAATTACATGTAATGACTTTATCATTGATAGGACGATGGCGTTGAGTACTTTAATACTGTTGTAGTTCAACCGCATCGACGACTCGTCACAAATCAGGGAAGAGGTTATCACATCCGATGCAGATATCAAACCAGAGAAAAGAGAATTTCCAATGGATTTAATGTGAGGTAACTGTCATTTAAGTTCAATTCTTTGGGTTTCAAATTATTGAGATTTTAATGGATCAGAAAAAACTATTGATATATATTATATATTATATAATATATTCTTATATATAAATTTATAAATATATAGTAAATTTACAACAAATAATATAATTTTAGTCGACTCCCTCCAAGTGGTCTAATATTTATGTACAGTATATTGAAAACATACCATTTAGCAAATGCCTATTATATAAATCGATGGTTTGTTTGATTTACAAACTTATGAGAAAAAGTTGTATAAAACTCAAGCTCAGACCTGACCATAGCTTATCATAAGTCGGGCTATGCTGTCAAAAGTGAAAGACCTTAAAATGGCTTTAAATGCTTATTTGCTAAATTCTCAGGTGTCGTATATATTACACAATAATGTTTTATGAATTGCAAATAAATTTTCTCACAAAATATACATATAGTGTTTAATGCTTTTTCAAGTCATTAATATCTCAATTCAAAATAACAGATACCAATGACTTATGTCTTAAAATAAAACTCTTAATTTTAATAATCGAAAGTGAAATACATTTGATTTTACAGTATTTTATAATTTAATAGATTTTATAATAACTAGACACTGAACTTACATGCAAAAATCATTTCAGTTTATGACATAAAATATGAACTTATTTTGGCAAAAAAATATGCAATAATATAAAGAAAATATTTTTTATTATTTTGGTTCTTATAATACAATTTTTATTATAATTAACTAATACTATAATAATGTGCTTATTTTAACAGATATTTATACAATATAAATAGTCAATCATTGGGAAATTAGAAATTATGACTTAAGAATTATTATAAATAAAATGATACAATTTTGCTAAAACACAATATTCTATGTATAAACTTCACATTTCTACTATTATTAAGGTAATTAATTTTTATAATTGTTATATAAATATTTTTAATGATTTAATATAGATTTAGATAAACAAAATTTATAATAAACAAAATAATTGAATATATACTATTTTTTAATAGATATTTTTTGTTAATATATTTAAAATTGCATATATGCAAAAATAGTCTTATTTTTTAAAAGTATTCAGATATATACCAAAGTTAGAAAAGTTAGATAAAGAAAATCTCTATAAAATATGCAAATATATATTAATTCATTGTTTAATAATAAGGGTATAAAAGTTACTTTTATAATGCTTTCAAACATAAAAGCATATTAAATAAATCTCATAATATTTGAAATCTTCAAATTTTTTTATATTTACAATGAAATATATTATTAGCGTTTGTGTAATAATGTGTTCACTATTCATGGAGTTGAAAGACTTGAGTGTATCATAAAAATTGTAGACAAATCTACTTATAATATATGTTTTTATTAGATTTGTTTTTTAAAATGTTTGCCATAAACCATAAAATATTAATACTATTATATGTTGTATAGTATATCATCTCTACTATAATGTACAGTATTTTACAGGTTCTAAAAGTCAATAGACTATTAGATCAATGACTTTAATAATTGACACAATCAACTAAATTTTCTAATTACTTTCAAAATATTTGTAATAACTTTTATTTAACTTTTAAATAGATTAGACAATAAATATTAAATTAATACTTAGAAAATTATATACTTATTAATGTAATTTTAGATATAAAATAATGTTCTTATAAAATTGCATTTTATATGAATAAAAACTTATATTTGTGAGATAAATATGTATTATTAGATGAAAATTGAAAATTATTTAATTTTTAATTAATCTATTTGTTAAGGTTTGTAATTTTAATGAATAATTCAAACATGATTATTAGTTTCGGTAAAATTAAATTTATTTTATTAACATTTGCAATTACTGTTTTTTGTAATTTTTATTATAAATTGTGTTAAAATGCAATTTTTCGAAAATTGAAAATTAATGACTTAGATGAGAGACTATATAATGATTATATAACTTGATTAAATAGAAATATTACATTTATAGTCATTGGGCATAAAATTAAGTAAAATTAATTTTTGATTAATTTTAAAATTATTAACACCTTTTTTGTTAATACAGGATATGAGAAATACCTGTAAATTCTCACTTTTAAATTGATAAGCGTTTAAGCTATTAGTTATTCTGTATATTACTTAGTCTTATAAATAATATTACAGAAAAAGTGCTTTATATTCAAAGTTTATAATTGTATATACATTTGTTGTCATTAATCAAACGAAACTATTTTTTCTCAGATCTCACTTTTATTTAATATAAGTAGTGATCATAAGTGGAGACCAAAACATATTTCATAATAAAATAAAACATATATTAAGTCGATGTTCATAAAGCTCATAAAAATTCAAACAAATATATGTCTTATATTTATTATTGAGAGCAAAACATATATTTTTGAGGCAAAAGAAAGCTCTGAGCGAAAGTGACATCCCATTACTACCTTCCCATTACTACCTTCCCATTACTACCTTCCCATTACTACCTTCCCATTGCTGCCATCCCCGTCTCTAACGTTCAAATTAGTTATTATATATACCGTATATATATTTATATATTTATTGATAAGAAATTCTTAGAATATTATAGAGTGGAGAAGTAATGGGTCTGTAATATCACATATAATTTAAGATCTATTTTTCAGTACTATTTCTACGAATTTAATTATTTATAGCTAAAAATATAAAATATATGTCTATAATCTTGACTCTCATGACTATGAATTAAATATTGTATAAGAAATGGCTACTGAAATGCAATTTATTTTATTTAATATTTTTAGAGGACATTTGGATTATTATTATAATCGTTTTTATTGTTGTGTAAAGAGAAAAATTGTCACAAAAGTTGAAAAATGAGATGAATTTGTATAATTAATTTGACACTACTTTTTTGTTCAATTGTATTTTCAATTGTATTTTCAATTGTATTTTCAATGGCAATCTATAAAATAATTTATTTAATTATTCAATAATTTTATTATAGAAAGTCGTGACTCATCTAATACATAGTGAATCAGGAATTTGATTGTATTGTACAGTATTTCTCATTATATTATAAATCGTGTGTCACTTATACCTCTCAATAGTTGTTTAGTTATAGTAATTATTGTTTTTTAAAATAACTATTATTGTCATTCAATTCATTGAATCACTGATTTACATATATTTTCATTCAATAGATTTTAGTTCAAAACAGACTTTCCTTGAAAAACAAGTGACTTCTATAATGTAAAGAACTGAAGACACAGTTCAGAGAACTATTAATTACTCCATATTTTTGTAAATTTGATTTTGAAATTTTCAATACATTTTTACTAAAAAAAAGTTTAAACGTTTCCTTACGAGATAAATGTATGATATATTCATATGATATATATGTATATACTGTATGTATGTATATATGATATATGTATATCATTTACCTAATCATATGTGAAGAGAAACATATTTTACTATAAATTGATCGGAATTATAGGCGAATGTGTTTATCATTTGTCAAATCAAGATTTTAGATTAAATTCAAACAAGAAATACATAAAAACATTACAATCAAGAAAACTTTTGATCGATCTGGAAGTCACTGTTGAGATACCAGTGCTGGCACTTGGATGGCAGTGAACTCTATTTAATGGAATGTTGGCTCAAAAAGACTAGAGAGAGAGAGAGAGAGAGAGAGAGAGAGAGAGAGATGAGTGAAATGAAGGGGATATTAAATGTGAATAGAAAGTAGCAGTGAGGAGGGGTGGGCACAGGTAGGGGTAGAAGACAAGGATGTTTATCGAACCCCATTGAAGGCCGAAACAAACTTCAATCTCTTGCATAACCACTTTAAATGTAATTTCAATCGTTAGACGAAAGAAATGTTTTGAGTGAATGCGTGCAACAAATATACTCTTAAAACACATCAATTGCTTCACTGTTTTCCCATTTTAACCTTTTTGTCAATTTTTCATATTTCGGCCATTTCTTTATGGCCTCACTATTACCACAATGAATGACTTAATACATTATACAGTATTTACACAATCAGTACTTTAGTTTAACTACAAAATATGTAATATACTATATATACTATAAAATAAATTATATACTGTATCTACTGTATGGGCATTTAACTGACAAATAATATTTAGTATTTATTTAATAGTAATATTTACCTAGGAATTCCCAGTGAGCAGGGAACTTTTGGGAAAATAAGACGAGGGAGGGGTTCATTACAAACCCTAAATATTATATTATAAAATGTTGAATAATAATTGATTTATTAACTTAGACCAATATAAAGCATTAATGATTCAATTTTTTCATAAAATACTTAATTTTGGAGGACATAACTTATATTACACACATCCAGACAATTCATATATATTTAAAGTTATATATACTGTATATTATATACAATAATAATTCCTCTAAACATTTACCAAACTATTAATATCAACCAATATTATTAGTCATTATTGTCCATCAAATTATAGTTACTAAAAATTAATAAATATAGAGAACATTAAGTTTACTTAATATATACTAAATTTATTTGAAATTATCAAGATAATATACAATAAAAATGTTGTACATTAAATAGATAGAGCAAACAATACTGCATAATATTGTACATTATTTTTTTATAACTATAAAAAATGAAATACAATTGAATGTTAAGAATTCAATGTTCTTTAGTATTCATTGTATTATTGAATGGCTTTATTTAAAGTCACTAAAATGCAAACAAATTGTATGTTTTTTAAGCACATCAGACAATCATTATTTTGGGGAAATTTTCTTAATGGTTTCACATCTACTAATTTATATGTCTCTATTGATTATTATACTGAATGTACACATGAATTAAAGTCAAATTATTATCATTTTGAATGTGTTATTCATTTATATGTTTGGGATTAAACAACAAAAGTAAAAAGATTTACTAATAATAAATGAAAAATATATAAAATATGAAAAAATAGTAAAATAATGAAAAAATAGAAATTAATGTTTGCCTTGAAATATGACAAAAATTGATTGTTAAGCCAACAGTCATATAGTGATTGTCAATTGAAAAGCGGAACCAACGAAGCATTCATATATGACTCCACCTCTCTCTTCATATAATCTTAATATATGTTTGTTAACAACAGCCTTAAGGTATTGAGATAAGGTATAAGCAATATATAACTTATAACTTATATAATTTAAGCAAAGTATCATATAATACATGTTATGATGTGGCACTTGTATCATATATTGCTGTCAATCATTGAGATACCTCTCCAACCCATTCACTCAAACATTTCTATATTTAAGTCTTTATAAATTGCTGTCAAAAGATAAATCTAAATGAGTTGTTATTTGTAGATAAATACTGTATATTATATGTAAAAACTTTATGATTTTTAAAGACAATACTTACATAAATTCAATTTTGTATTTTAAATTTTTATATTATTAAGTAATAGATTAGACTCGAGGCTATAGTATATGAGTGAGAAAAGAGAACTTTAATTTGAAAACATTATAAAGTTATTCCTCTATTGAAAATAATATAAAAGAAAATCATATATTATAATTGGATTTATCGTCAATAGATTATTAGTTATATATTTTTAGACCAATAGGAGATACCTTGCGGTTGAATGTTTGTAATGTTTGTCTGCCTCAAGAGCTTAATATGAGTTTCAATATCTATCTATTATCATCTATTATGTGAAGTGAATCATATTATTTAATATTTTTTTAATACTCATTACAATCTAATATTCAACATATATCTGAATTGATGGAAACTTGTATAACATTTGATTGACAGGATTTTATAATAGCAAAATACAATATATAGCTAATAATAGTATACATTAGACATAAAATTTACTGTAAAGTCTCATTCAAATGTATTTTCAAATATAATTACTTTTCAAGGCTTACCCACCGTTTTGAAAGTAATTTGAATGTAAATCAAACCAACTTCACTGTGAAGTGTAGTGTAGGTGTGAGCCTAAAGTTGTTTTTTTTGTCGTCTCAATTATTTATAATTAGTCGCATATTTAATGAGACAATGAATTGCCAAACAATAAAAAGAGAGGCATTTCCTCAAATTAATTAAATAATGAATTCAAATGAATCAACTGTTTTTATCTAAATTTTTATGTCTAACAGTATGATAGGTACGACACCCGTTATGGCAACAGCACCGATGCCCTCGTGTTCAATGAAAATATTTGTTTCCGACTCTAACAACGAGATTGTGGCCGAAAATGTAAAAATTGGTGATAAGTTGACTCTTGCCATTTCCATTGACTTCCAGGGTATTTATCATAAAAATTTATTCATTAGTTACTAAAGTTTGTTAATAAATATTTGCAAATTCTAGATATTTATGGTATGAAAGTAACCAATTGTTTGGTTCGCGATGGACTTAATTGGGGAGAACAACCTCTTATTAACGATGAGGGGTAGGGCTCAATCATTTTGATAATTAATTTACATTAATAATAGCAATAATTTATAGTTTAATTAAGTGCAAGTAATTTAATAAATGAATATTTTAAACATTAATTGTATGTTTTTAGTTGTCCGGTGGATGAGGAGATTATGGCCGCCTTTGAGTACACTCAGAACCTGACTCAGGCAGCCGTTGAATTTCATGCCCATAAGTTTCCCTATACATCCTCTGTCTACTACCAGTGCAATGTCAGACTTTGTCTTAAAGAAGCCGGTGGTTGTGATGATGTCGTATGTATTGATCAGTTTGTTATTGACTTTCAACACTTTTATTGATCAATTTATTTATTTAATAATTAGCCGTCAGATTGTGACAAAAATGGTCGCAATTTTAGGCGTCGTGAGAGACGAGATACCAGTGATTATATAGAAGATGGATCACTGGCTGATGTACGTCGAGATGATGTTAGAGATCTTAGTATTGAAGTCTATTCAGGACTTTATGTTAATGAAAATGAAAACGAAGAAAATGAACGTAAGTTTTAATTGTTATATTTGATTATTTAATGAAAAATTGAAATATTTATAAATATAATTGACATTATAGTAGACGAATCAGAGGCCCAAAAGTCAATAATAGACGAAGAGTTTTGTATATCAATGAGAAAGTTTGCAATAGGAGTGGCAATCGCTAGTTTACTATTGATGTTAGCCGTCATTCTTCTGGTCGCTTGTATTCTTCAACGAAGAAGACGAAGAAAGGGCGCCTCCACTGCCGGATCGTCTATCTATTCCGGGCCCTACTCTAACAGAGCCTATAGTAGAGATTAGTTGATATTTTATAATATCATCTCATTATTTATATTTGAAATATTCAAATGTCAAACAAGTAATGATTGAATTTTATTCTTAATTATAATTAGAAATTTTTGTTTAGTTGAAAGATTGTGCAGATGTTGAGTCCATTTGTATAAAGCATTTAACTTTTTATTGTTATAATTTTAATTATTTATAAGAAATTTCATTTATTAACTTTTATTAGTAATTTAAATCATCTCAATGTCTGTTATAATCTGCTTACACTTTCAGTCTAATATAACGCAAACCAACTAAAAATATTTATCAAATTTTATGCTATTTTTAGTTGTTTTGAATAATTTATAAAATAAGTTGTTTTAAGAAACTAATGAATATTTGATTGATTGCCATAAAACAATCAAAATAAGTCTTACACTGTCAAGGGATCTCTCAGTCTATGCTTTATTTGATGGGAATCTCCAGCTATTTAAGTGTTCAAAATATTGTGTAACAAATTTTAAATAATTGTATTAACAAATTGAATATATAGTATATATACAATTTAAGATATTTTATATTTTATATATGTATATATAAATATATTCATTATAACATAACTTTTATAGGCTTTAACTGTGATTTTTATATTCATAAAATTGTTGTTTAAGAGACTCTCATTTTGATGGTATTGTTAACAAAATAGCAGTCACATACAATTTTTATAATTATTAAGTCATACCAATTGACGACATTTATTAAATGCTTAAAATTTTTATAGTAAATGATTTATATTTTGTTGATCACAACCCTTGAGATGCAGTCTCTCTTTATGGTTACATATGAATTAAGGTTAAGGTTATTATGGGGTACTTAAGCTGTGTTTTTCACTTATGACTACTACTGCCTTTAGTAGTACTGCCTTTTAAATTTAATTTAATTAATTAAAACTAACACAAAACAAATAAAGCCATATATTAGGATAAATTGTGAATACATGATAAATATTGTATTGCATGTGATTAAAATGATAATCGTTTACTATTGAAAGTCTTAAAACACTGTCATATTGTTTGTACTGATATTACAAAATTATGTTGAGTTAAGTGCTTAACTTAAAATTTAAAGTATAGTACATAATGTAGTTGATAATGACATAGAGGGACTCAACCCACCAATTTTCAACTAATTTTGAGCCAACTTTTCAACAAAATTTCAATAAATTTTATTCACTTTAGCTTTCGAGCCATTTATATTTGATGACAGTTTCATATTTATATAATAATATTGTTAAGCCTTTTCTACCAATCCTTATATGGCATACATTGCTATTTAGTAACCCAAGTGCTATTAAGTGCCTAATATTTATTATATTTATAATATACTCAACATTGACATTAACTCTTGAAATAATATAATAAAATGACATCATTTTTATGATAGTTAAGAAAACTTTATAATTACTTACTATTCGCACATAAGTTAGTCGAGTACACAATTGTTTCGACAAATGAAACGTCTATTGGATTTAATTATAGAGATATAGTTTTCTTAAATCAAATAAAGGACTTTGTAGTCCAAAACCAAAAGTTCCTCAAAAATATGATTTATTTTTATTAGTAGTAATATTAATATAAATTACATCATTTGTTTGATTGATATTTTTAAAAATTAATTTACAATTAAATTAATTAAATAGTTTGCAATTAATTTTAGTGCAAACAAAGCCCAACACAAGGCAGCTATAAATAACAAATAAAGTAATATACTGTATATCATATGAAAATTAACAATAATTTTGATTTTTAAATCATTTATAAATAATAAATTATAATATTTGATGCTTAAAATACTGGTATTAACGGCACCTACTTATGTGTCCAATTAGGTGACGGCTTTTAGAAAGAGGGAAAAGTCTATATTTGTCCGGTGTGTCAATATTTAAGTCACATTATTATTATTATTATGTAAAATATATATTTTGCATAAAAAATCATTTAATTTATTTTAAACATTATTTTTATATGCTATAATAAATTATAATAATAATAAAATAATTTAACTGATTTTTTAGGCAAAAAGTTATTATTATATTTTTATAACAAAATATGAATTTTTATTTATATAATTTATTAAACAAAAATTCCAATAAAAATAAAATGCTGTGATTTTGTGAAATATTATGTAATGTTTTTGGAATATAAGTAAAGTTAAAAATAAATTAATTTTTATAACAATTGTTTTTAATTTAAAAGTTTATTACTTAGATTACATTAATAAAAATATATTAACAATTTTTACAAGATTTTTACAATAATAAAATTTTAATACTAATATAAATAATCAAAATAACAAATATTATTAAAACCAGTTGATAATTATATTGAGGATAGAATTGATTTATTAAACTTCTAGAAAGTATAATATACTGTATATATATATATAATTATCGTCTAAAATATTTATTAATGTTTATATTACTATTCAATAATTAAAATTAAACATTTGTTTACTTTAAACAATTCAATTCTTTTTTCAAAATCAATGAAATAAAATTATTATAATTTATAATAAATATTATAATCGGATAAGTGCTTCAAAAATTGTCAATAATCATAATAATAATATAAATTTTCAAAATTATATTAAATTATGTTATTTTGTTAAATAAAATTCTGTTGTTTTATTTAAGAGAAATATTTAATAAAAAGTTTTATTTAAAATTTTTCAATTTCCTCTATTTTTTGTCGCCAATCTGTAACTAACTAATTGATGAAAATAGTTTCCAGTGTTTAAAGTTTGCCAGATTTGCGACAAAATAGAGGAAATTCTAAATTTTTAAATACTATAGAACTTTATACAGTATTCCAATATTACCGATAAGTTTTAAGATTAAAATTTAAGTAAAAACTGTCAACAAATAAATAAATTGTCGTAATTGTTGTGTCAATTGTAGTGCAGGTCAGCCCAACACAAGCACTGTATATATATTATAGTATTAGTAGTAAATTATGTAATAGTATTATATATATGTTGTAATGTTGGCTAACGAGTACTACATCTGAATATAAAATGTTTTACAGTATATTTAATTTATATATTATATACTGTAAAACATTTTATATTCATATGTAGTACTCATTAGCCAACATTACAACAACTTTTACAGTTAAGTCAAAGTAAAGGGTTTGATAACAATAAACATATATTTTTAAACAATTTGATGTAAACTTAGTTTAAATGATTTATTTATTTATTAGTTTAATAATAGTTTATTTTATTTGAATACTGTATTATAAATTATAATTTATAATACATGTAGTAATACTGTAGTGTAGTGTACAGTACAGTACAATATATGCAGAATTTTGTGTTACAAACAAATGTGATAAACGTTTATCAATAGACTAAATGATATGATATTAATATTATAGTATTGTTTGGTTTATATCGTAAGTCATATAAGTTTAGAATAAAATTAATTAATTAATTGATATTTTCTGTGAAAATCAAATCAATTGTAATGTCTTTCATGCGATCATTCGCTTCACAAGTTGTCCGCAATTATAACAATCGGATATTAAATGTCGAAAGAGTGACCAATTGGTCGACAATGAGTTCATTTCAATTGAGATCTTTGAGTGATCTTAATGTCAAACATAACTCACAAAAAAATCAGTTCTTTGTGGAGTTGGGATCAGGTCTGACATAACATACATGTTGTCTAAAGATATGATTTATAGTATTATTTAATAATATGTTTATTAATAGATAAAGCAGTCCTCGAGTATAAAGAGGTGAAACCAGGACTTCTTGATCTCTACCACACCGGTAGGTCATCTTATAATTGATTCAATCATTGATTGATTCATTTTTTTATGGTAACAGAAGTACCGAATCAATTGCGAGGTAAAGGAATCGCACAGATGTTAGCAAAGGTTTGTAATGATTTAAAACACAATTTGTTTTTACCGTAAATTTATTATAATATAATATATTTAATTTTAATCATATATTAATTTAACTCAAGTTTCAAATGTAAATTAATTGTGATAACAAAACTTAAGATAAGTTAACTATTATTTATATAATAGGAAGCGTTTGATTATATGGTTAAAAATAACATCAAAATGATTGTCAGCTGTACTTATCTACAGAAATATCTTAAAGACAACCCAAATGAAGAATATACAAAACAAGTATTTGAAAATAAACATTAAGTAATTGATTAAAATTTTAAACATATTTTATTAATGACAAATTAACAATGATTTTTATCTTCTAATATAAATCCTCCACCGATTTATTATATAATAATTAATTTTTGATAAATATAAAAATTTTATAATATAACGCTATAAGATTGCAATAAATTATTGCACAACTAAAATGTTAATCAAATTTTACATTTAAATGTATAGTAAAATTCAAGAGAGGAACACTTTATAAATCACAGTATTTGTATAATAATAATAATAATGATTATAATAATGATATAATAATAAAAATAAAATAGCATTTTAAATGACAACTATTCATTTTACATATACAGTTATATACAGTGTATACAAATATCTCACAAATAAAATTCATGTAATTTTATACGTTTGCCTAAATTTTAAGACATTTAGAAATAGTGTAATGTTATCATACAGTATAATATTTTAACTAAATTACAATCATTTTTAAAAAATAAATTATTACATTATTTAAATATGAGATATTTTACAGTATATACTGTATAATATACGGTATATAAAAGCAATAAATATTCAGCTCTTTATTAAATGTAAAATATATCAAATCATATCAAATAAAATAATTAAATATAACTCTTAATCATATAATTTACTAAAGTATGATATCTAATGACAAATCAAACTCTAATTCAAAATTTCTTTGACTGAAAATTGTTTTGATGAAAATGAAAGCTCATTATTGTTTGTTGTATTTTGTTGTCCACTCTTATCGCAACTGTTGGCCGATTCGGATGTCTCGTGAAATTTGAGAATATGGTCGTCGAGTAGAGTTTGTGTCGCAAATCCAAGCGAACAAAGAGGACATATATTAGCGCTTCTTAAGGCATGTGATCGGGTCTTACAATGACGGTTCAGATCTGATTGTGTCACACCGTTATAGTTACAGATCTGACATAAATATTGTTTAATACCTGTTTATAATATCAATATATAAATAATTAGTAAACTTAATAATTATTAATCAACCGGTAATTATCATCACTGACCCGCGTGTCTCATCATATGAACTTTAAGCTGACTATTGGTGCGACTCTGATATTCACAAAAATCACATTTAAATGGTCGCACGTCTTCATGAAAATTCATGTGACGATTGAGATCTGAAAGCGAACAAAACGTTTTGTTACAATAACTACATGGATATAAAAGTTTGCCGTCGGGACCCATCAGTGGACGACATGCCTCTTGTCGTTTAACTGGCTTTTCCACCACTCCTAACCTAATCAATCAATTTCATACTTATTATTATTATTATTACAATATTTACATTCAATTTATAATACCTTGGATTATAAGACGAAAAGAATGCTCCGTGACATTGAAGTTTAGTCTCCAAAAAGTCATTTGGATTAATATCTGGTTCTTCATTATCAGCCATTAATACTGACTCTTCTTTATCTTCTTCATTTTCATCATTATCTTCTACTTCTTGTTCATAGTTCTCTTGTTTTATTTTATTAATTTTCTCTTCAATATTCATCACTTTGTTCTCTTCTCCTGAAAGACAATCAGAATCACTAGAAAACTCTTGGGTTTTAATAATCTTTTTTAAAGGTTTTCCTTTTCGTCTTCTCTTTGATGGATTCAAATTAATCATTTGAGTCGTATCTGCTTTACAATCGGACAACTTATCGCAAATTTCTTTCGTGTCTTTATTACTATTGTTATTAAGTTTGTCTTCAATTTCTTCCCATTCTTTAATTATGTTTACATTTTCCTCTTCAGTCATCTCTTTGTCTGTCTGTCTATTAATATGTTCATCGCCTATATATTGTTTATCTTCGCTCATTACCTCTTCATTGTCTTCCATAACACTAACACTTTCATTAGCATTCAATATCTTCAGCGCAACCTTTTTTAAATTAGTCGCTACTTTTTGCTGACTATTATTACCATTACTATTACTATTACTATTACTAGAGATAGTAGTAGTATTGCTACCATTATTGCCATTATTCTTGTCTTTTCTATTCCTCTTCAATAACTCCCTTCCACTGCCATCGCTATGAAAACGGATTATATGATGTCTGAGATTCCTTTTTTCACTGAAACCGCGGCCACACGTCTTACAAATACACGGTTTAAACCCTGTGTGAACTCTTTCGTGTCTGTGAACTGAAAATATCCGATCAAACGTTTTGTCACAAAATCGACACTTGAACTGTCCCGGAGATGTTTCTTCAATATCACCCATTGTTTGTGGAAACTTTTGAGACAACTCTATAATATTTTGGTCGACATTACAAGTATGTGGTGGTGATAGTGATTGTTGTTGTTGTTGATGCTTATGTTGTTGTTGCTTATGATGTTGTGTTAACAGATCTTTGTTACGTCTAATTTGTTGTTGTTTTGTCTGTAAAATAAACTTTTTGTGTGATCTGTAATTGTTTTTCATATGCTTTAGTTCACTATTATCTTTATCTTTATCTCTATAATTAATATTTCTATTCTTAACAAAAATGTTATTATTGTTGCTCTCAAACGATTCATTTGTCGACATATTATGTCCTCCAAAGTCTGTATTGCTATTGCTGTGCATTAATGATACCAAACTTGGATTCATAAGATGATTACCATTAGTCTCGTTTTGATCCATTGCTTTATGAAGCTGTTCGTGAAGAGTCAATTCACTTCTCCATTTGAAATTAGCCCCACATTTATCACAAGTAAACTCTTTGCTTGTATTCAAATGACTGGTCTGCAGGTGCAACACAATTGGCTCTAAGCTCGGAAAAGCAAACCCGCAGAGACAGCACTTGTACAACACATAACTCTGCTCAGTAACGGGATGTATGCCCTCTAACATTGTTATCAATAGTTTTTCATTTTTAATTTCAATACTTCGTGAACCCAAATTAAACGGAGGCGCACCAAACGCCAAATCCATGTGTCCATCACTGACAATCATATTATTTTGATGGTCACTCTCATTATTCTTCACATTATTGTGTCCATCAACCGTTTTATTGTTATTATTATCATCTTCATCACCGATCTTGTCATTCAAACTGTTATCATCAATCGACTCATTCATACATTTGTCACTTATATTATCATCTCTTAAATCACAATCTTTAGACATTTGTTTTTCAGTTAATATATCACTATTTTCTTTGATATTCTTATCTGAATTTAAACACTTATTATTATTATTATTATTATCATTATTATTAAATAATTTTATATTACTATTATTTGTTTCAGTAATTTTATTACAATTTCTTTGATTTATTAAAATATTATTAATGTTGTTATTATTATCATTATTATTATTAATAGTATTAGTAATATTAATACTGTTATTATTATTATTATTATTATTATTATTATTATTATGGTATGACTTGATGTGAAAGTTTAATGAGTGCTCGTATTTAAATCCTTTACCACAGGCCAGACATACAAAAGGATGTTGAGTCATATGTCTCATCAAATGTGCCTTTAGGTCGACTTCTGTGGCAAATGTCTTATGACAGGAACTACATGGAAATGCATTGGTATTCAGCGATTCACTCCTACTCTTGTCCTCGCTTTTCGTTGGTAAACATTCTTTCTTTATTTCAGATGATTTCTTCAATGGTATATCAACTAAGTGTTCACTATTTGCAATCAAATGTTTTGACTTTTGTTTTTTTGATGACATAAATAGTCCGTGAATTTGATTTACATTAAACCCATCTGTCAGTGATTGATATGAAATAAAACAAAAACAATAATAACTGATAAATATTATGATAAATCATCTTTAAATACATACATTTAAGACTCTCCAATGTATTCATATCTAATGAATGGCGTAACATATGGCTTTCCAATTCATTTTGATCACCACTTATTTGCCCACAAATTAAACATATATTTTGACTTAAACTACTTGTCCGACTCATTAAATTATTTTCATTTGATTTACCACTTCTGTATATAATAATAATAATTTAAAACAATTACAATAACCTTATTTCAAATCTCAACTCTATTTGTATCAAACACTAACCCGAAAGCTGTATTCATGTCAATCAAGTGAGACATCGCAGTGGCCGCTGATATGGCCGATACTGTCATTGGGTTATCCAATAACCTTAAGTGTTGACTCATTGATAACAACGATGACATACTACTTGGTGCAGGTATTAAGGCATGAGTTGAATCCAATGATACCGAACCCGTTGAAAGATTATCACTTTTGCCTCTTTTTAAACACTTTGCAACCGATAAATCCAATTCATGACTTTCTGTCTCTAAAGCTGTCATTCTTTCCATTAGATGTCTTCATATGTCTTAATACATCCTTATCTACCTATCTATCTATCTTTCATATCAATGTGTCTTCTTTTTCTTCTATCTTATATATCATATGTTGTTAATCATCTAATCATTAACCAAACAAACAATCAAATAAATGTTATAATTGTTATATTTATTATCACAATATTCCTATACTATACTAATGTTCTAATGTATTGATAATATTGCCAACAAATTCAATATAAATTTATTTATTATCAAATGTATGCTTTTGTAGTCAAACATTATTCAATAGACAAGTAATAGCAAAGAGGAAGTGATGCCTTCAATGTTGTAATTAATGCTCACAAGTCAGCACTGGTAGTACAATAGTGGTAACCGGTGTGTCACTTGCTTTATACATTCAATTATATAATAGCAATGGTTTCTATCCTCTCATCGGTAATAAACTCTTAATGCATGATATCATGTGAACGCAGAGCTATAGACCGTGCCATCCATACCAGCCTTTCCTTTACAACTGACACAACCGACACTACCATTCCTACTATAAACTCGTGCCAAAAGCAACTCAAGGATAGAATCAAAGAATGAATGAATCAAAGAGAGAAAAAACAAAGACTAAGAGTCTGAGAGTGACATCAAATGCATTGCAATTACTATTTGCCAGACATTGGGTTCACATGTAATGCATTTTTAGTGACCATTATCTCAATACAAATGCAATTCAAATCAATTTCAAGAGTCACTCAAAATTGCAAAAGTTTTGCACATTTTCACAAATGCGTGCTTTCATTGCATTCAAAGCACACCTGCATTGCTATCAATACATTACAATAGCTGAAGGACTGGTAGTGAACCTGTCGTGACATGAGATATGAAACGAGTGTTTAAAACACGCACTCATATAGTCTATACCTCTATAGTCTGTATTAGAGTTAGGGTTGTCTATAGTCTCGACTCAAGCATTACTGACTAATAATAATAATAATAATAATAATAAGCTTTTCTCGTATTTATTGCTTTTATCATTCGTTTGCTGAGAACGTGCTTTCAGTCAATGCGAGTATATATATAGTATACGGTATATACATATAATATTGTGTGTGTGTGTGTGTGTGTGTGTATGTGACTGTGTGTGTGAATACAGTGAGACAAGTGTTATAAAATGAGGACATATTATTAAACTGAGTCTCTCGTTATTTGGTCGACTCGTAGACATAAATGCTTACAATATCTCTATCTTATAGCACATATAGCCTAAGCCTATGACTTGACCAACACTTACAGTCACTTTCAGACACTATTTGTTTCTATAGATTTTCGGCACTAATATTGCAATACAATACTCAATAAACAAACATTTCATACATAGTATGACAGACACTACTGTACTACCGATTCACCCAAACATAGGCCAACTCCACCTTCCAATAGATAATCGACACTTAAATACAACCTATTCATGCATGACTGGCCCCATAAACTAGCTATTGGACACCTGTGCCCTTATATCAGTGCTCATACATTGGTATGCCTGGTCATCCCACTTATACACCTGCTATTGACACTACTGTCGTTACACTAGTGGCATATGATTGCCATTGTTTGCTACAACTGGGGTCACCAAAGTGTCAAAATATATAAACATAATATAATATATATAAAGTTTAGATCATTAAAACAAAATATCATTAATTCATTAACATTATTATCAATATTAAACAATATATCATATCATACTCTATATGCATATCATATTAATATACATTTTTAAAACTATTTTTATATTAATACCCACTATAATGACAAATATTTATTATTTATTTTTATTAATTACTATATAATTAATATTAACAAATCACTATTTGTCTAATTTATCATATCATATGATATTACACAGTATATTGTAAAATATATTTCATTATAATTACTATTATTATTATTATTATTATTATTATTATTATTATTATTATTATTATTATTATTACTACTACTACTACTACTACTACTTTAATCAATTAATTATAATAATAATACTAAATATTATTGAATAATTCAATAATCAATTGCTATTTCAATGTTTATATAATACTGTATTATATGTTAATATCGCAACTCTTCATTCAATAACCAATTGGACTAACCTTTCATACACTTGTCGTGTCTTACAAACCATTCAATTACTTCCTCATCCATGTCTTCACGTCGATGACAATATTACTATCACTATAACTCATGTCTTCATATATCTTGATTGATGACAATTAAATCGGTTTACAATTAATTGATGACACGTTTAGCTCACAATTGGACAGACAGTCAAACATTGATACAAACAAACACTCAATACATTACATTCAATGTATTTTTAATGAATTATTCATTTGTAATACTTTTAGTTTTGTAATACAATTAGAAAAATGTAAACAAATTTAATTTTAATGTAAAATATATTTATTAATCTTAAAATAAATAATTATTAATTAAATATTGACTAAAATTTAATTTAATTGTGTGTTTAATAACGTTATTAATGTTTACACCATTAGTATAGAGTGTCGCCAACTGTTATCCGCTTTATTAGTATAATTCATCCATATTTGGTTACCATAGATACAAATAGTAAATAAATAGTTTTCAAATAGTTTTTATAAATATACTGTACTGTACTGTGTATAGTATAGTGTGTATATACTGTATATTAACTATAAACATAACATTCATTATAGACATTGAATGTAATGTATTGAGTGTTTGTTTGTATCAATGTTTGACTGTCTGTCCAATTGTGAGCTAAACGTGTCATCAATTAATTGTAAACCGATTTAATTGTCATCAATCAAGATATATGAAGACATGAGTTATAGTGATAGTAATATTGTCATCGACGTGAAGACATGGATGAGGAAGTAATTGAATGGTTTGTAAGACACGACAAGTGTATGAAAGGTTAGTCCAATTGGTTATTGAATGAAGAGTTGCGATATTAACATATAATACAGTATTATATAAACATTGAAATAGCAATTGATTATTGAATTATTCAATAATATTTAGTATTATTATTATAATTAATTGATTAAAGTAGTAGTAGTAGTAGTAGTAGTAATAATAATAATAATAATAATAATAATAATAATAATAATAATAATAATAATAATAGTAATTATAATGAAATATATTTTACAATATACTGTGTAATATCATATGATATGATAAATTAGACAAATAGTGATTTGTTAATATTAATTATATAGTAATTAATAAAAATAAATAATAAATATTTGTCATTATAGTGGGTATTAATATAAAAATAGTTTTAAAAATGTATATTAATATGATATGCATATAGAGTATGATATGATATATTGTTTAATATTGATAATAATGTTAATGAATTAATGATATTTTGTTTTAATGATCTAAACTTTATATATATTATATTATGTTTATATATTTTGACACTTTGGTGACCCCAGTTGTAGCAAACAATGGCAATCATATGCCACTAGTGTAACGACAGTAGTGTCAATAGCAGGTGTATAAGTGGGATGACCAGGCATACCAATGTATGAGCACTGATATAAGGGCACAGGTGTCCAATAGCTAGTTTATGGGGCCAGTCATGCATGAATAGGTTGTATTTAAGTGTCGATTATCTATTGGAAGGTGGAGTTGGCCTATGTTTGGGTGAATCGGTAGTACAGTAGTGTCTGTCATACTATGTATGAAATGTTTGTTTATTGAGTATTGTATTGCAATATTAGTGCCGAAAATCTATAGAAACAAATAGTGTCTGAAAGTGACTGTAAGTGTTGGTCAAGTCATAGGCTTAGGCTATATGTGCTATAAGATAGAGATATTGTAAGCATTTATGTCTACGAGTCGACCAAATAACGAGAGACTCAGTTTAATAATATGTCCTCATTTTATAACACTTGTCTCACTGTATTCACACACACAGTCACATACACACACACACACACACACACACAATATTATATGTATATACCGTATACTATATATATACTCGCATTGACTGAAAGCACGTTCTCAGCAAACGAATGATAAAAGCAATAAATACGAGAAAAGCTTATTATTATTATTATTATTATTATTAGTCAGTAATGCTTGAGTCGAGACTATAGACAACCCTAACTCTAATACAGACTATAGAGGTATAGACTATATGAGTGCGTGTTTTAAACACTCGTTTCATATCTCATGTCACGACAGGTTCACTACCAGTCCTTCAGCTATTGTAATGTATTGATAGCAATGCAGGTGTGCTTTGAATGCAATGAAAGCACGCATTTGTGAAAATGTGCAAAACTTTTGCAATTTTGAGTGACTCTTGAAATTGATTTGAATTGCATTTGTATTGAGATAATGGTCACTAAAAATGCATTACATGTGAACCCAATGTCTGGCAAATAGTAATTGCAATGCATTTGATGTCACTCTCAGACTCTTAGTCTTTGTTTTTTCTCTCTTTGATTCATTCATTCTTTGATTCTATCCTTGAGTTGCTTTTGGCACGAGTTTATAGTAGGAATGGTAGTGTCGGTTGTGTCAGTTGTAAAGGAAAGGCTGGTATGGATGGCACGGTCTATAGCTCTGCGTTCACATGATATCATGCATTAAGAGTTTATTACCGATGAGAGGATAGAAACCATTGCTATTATATAATTGAATGTATAAAGCAAGTGACACACCGGTTACCACTATTGTACTACCAGTGCTGACTTGTGAGCATTAATTACAACATTGAAGGCATCACTTCCTCTTTGCTATTACTTGTCTATTGAATAATGTTTGACTACAAAAGCATACATTTGATAATAAATAAATTTATATTGAATTTGTTGGCAATATTATCAATACATTAGAACATTAGTATAGTATAGGAATATTGTGATAATAAATATAACAATTATAACATTTATTTGATTGTTTGTTTGGTTAATGATTAGATGATTAACAACATATGATATATAAGATAGAAGAAAAAGAAGACACATTGATATGAAAGATAGATAGATAGGTAGATAAGGATGTATTAAGACATATGAAGACATCTAATGGAAAGAATGACAGCTTTAGAGACAGAAAGTCATGAATTGGATTTATCGGTTGCAAAGTGTTTAAAAAGAGGCAAAAGTGATAATCTTTCAACGGGTTCGGTATCATTGGATTCAACTCATGCCTTAATACCTGCACCAAGTAGTATGTCATCGTTGTTATCAATGAGTCAACACTTAAGGTTATTGGATAACCCAATGACAGTATCGGCCATATCAGCGGCCACTGCGATGTCTCACTTGATTGACATGAATACAGCTTTCGGGTTAGTGTTTGATACAAATAGAGTTGAGATTTGAAATAAGGTTATTGTAATTGTTTTAAATTATTATTATTATATACAGAAGTGGTAAATCAAATGAAAATAATTTAATGAGTCGGACAAGTAGTTTAAGTCAAAATATATGTTTAATTTGTGGGCAAATAAGTGGTGATCAAAATGAATTGGAAAGCCATATGTTACGCCATTCATTAGATATGAATACATTGGAGAGTCTTAAATGTATGTATTTAAAGATGATTTATCATAATATTTATCAGTTATTATTGTTTTTGTTTTATTTCATATCAATCACTGACAGATGGGTTTAATGTAAATCAAATTCACGGACTATTTATGTCATCAAAAAAACAAAAGTCAAAACATTTGATTGCAAATAGTGAACACTTAGTTGATATACCATTGAAGAAATCATCTGAAATAAAGAAAGAATGTTTACCAACGAAAAGCGAGGACAAGAGTAGGAGTGAATCGCTGAATACCAATGCATTTCCATGTAGTTCCTGTCATAAGACATTTGCCACAGAAGTCGACCTAAAGGCACATTTGATGAGACATATGACTCAACATCCTTTTGTATGTCTGGCCTGTGGTAAAGGATTTAAATACGAGCACTCATTAAACTTTCACATCAAGTCATACCATAATAATAATAATAATAATAATAATAATAATAATAACAGTATTAATATTACTAATACTATTAATAATAATAATGATAATAATAACAACATTAATAATATTTTAATAAATCAAAGAAATTGTAATAAAATTACTGAAACAAATAATAGTAATATAAAATTATTTAATAATAATGATAATAATAATAATAATAATAAGTGTTTAAATTCAGATAAGAATATCAAAGAAAATAGTGATATATTAACTGAAAAACAAATGTCTAAAGATTGTGATTTAAGAGATGATAATATAAGTGACAAATGTATGAATGAGTCGATTGATGATAACAGTTTGAATGACAAGATCGGTGATGAAGATGATAATAATAACAATAAAACGGTTGATGGACACAATAATGTGAAGAATAATGAGAGTGACCATCAAAATAATATGATTGTCAGTGATGGACACATGGATTTGGCGTTTGGTGCGCCTCCGTTTAATTTGGGTTCACGAAGTATTGAAATTAAAAATGAAAAACTATTGATAACAATGTTAGAGGGCATACATCCCGTTACTGAGCAGAGTTATGTGTTGTACAAGTGCTGTCTCTGCGGGTTTGCTTTTCCGAGCTTAGAGCCAATTGTGTTGCACCTGCAGACCAGTCATTTGAATACAAGCAAAGAGTTTACTTGTGATAAATGTGGGGCTAATTTCAAATGGAGAAGTGAATTGACTCTTCACGAACAGCTTCATAAAGCAATGGATCAAAACGAGACTAATGGTAATCATCTTATGAATCCAAGTTTGGTATCATTAATGCACAGCAATAGCAATACAGACTTTGGAGGACATAATATGTCGACAAATGAATCGTTTGAGAGCAACAATAATAACATTTTTGTTAAGAATAGAAATATTAATTATAGAGATAAAGATAAAGATAATAGTGAACTAAAGCATATGAAAAACAATTACAGATCACACAAAAAGTTTATTTTACAGACAAAACAACAACAAATTAGACGTAACAAAGATCTGTTAACACAACATCATAAGCAACAACAACATAAGCATCAACAACAACAACAATCACTATCACCACCACATACTTGTAATGTCGACCAAAATATTATAGAGTTGTCTCAAAAGTTTCCACAAACAATGGGTGATATTGAAGAAACATCTCCGGGACAGTTCAAGTGTCGATTTTGTGACAAAACGTTTGATCGGATATTTTCAGTTCACAGACACGAAAGAGTTCACACAGGGTTTAAACCGTGTATTTGTAAGACGTGTGGCCGCGGTTTCAGTGAAAAAAGGAATCTCAGACATCATATAATCCGTTTTCATAGCGATGGCAGTGGAAGGGAGTTATTGAAGAGGAATAGAAAAGACAAGAATAATGGCAATAATGGTAGCAATACTACTACTATCTCTAGTAATAGTAATAGTAATAGTAATGGTAATAATAGTCAGCAAAAAGTAGCGACTAATTTAAAAAAGGTTGCGCTGAAGATATTGAATGCTAATGAAAGTGTTAGTGTTATGGAAGACAATGAAGAGGTAATGAGCGAAGATAAACAATATATAGGCGATGAACATATTAATAGACAGACAGACAAAGAGATGACTGAAGAGGAAAATGTAAACATAATTAAAGAATGGGAAGAAATTGAAGACAAACTTAATAACAATAGTAATAAAGACACGAAAGAAATTTGCGATAAGTTGTCCGATTGTAAAGCAGATACGACTCAAATGATTAATTTGAATCCATCAAAGAGAAGACGAAAAGGAAAACCTTTAAAAAAGATTATTAAAACCCAAGAGTTTTCTAGTGATTCTGATTGTCTTTCAGGAGAAGAGAACAAAGTGATGAATATTGAAGAGAAAATTAATAAAATAAAACAAGAGAACTATGAACAAGAAGTAGAAGATAATGATGAAAATGAAGAAGATAAAGAAGAGTCAGTATTAATGGCTGATAATGAAGAACCAGATATTAATCCAAATGACTTTTTGGAGACTAAACTTCAATGTCACGGAGCATTCTTTTCGTCTTATAATCCAAGGTATTATAAATTGAATGTAAATATTGTAATAATAATAATAATAAGTATGAAATTGATTGATTAGGTTAGGAGTGGTGGAAAAGCCAGTTAAACGACAAGAGGCATGTCGTCCACTGATGGGTCCCGACGGCAAACTTTTATATCCATGTAGTTATTGTAACAAAACGTTTTGTTCGCTTTCAGATCTCAATCGTCACATGAATTTTCATGAAGACGTGCGACCATTTAAATGTGATTTTTGTGAATATCAGAGTCGCACCAATAGTCAGCTTAAAGTTCATATGATGAGACACGCGGGTCAGTGATGATAATTACCGGTTGATTAATAATTATTAAGTTTACTAATTATTTATATATTGATATTATAAACAGGTATTAAACAATATTTATGTCAGATCTGTAACTATAACGGTGTGACACAATCAGATCTGAACCGTCATTGTAAGACCCGATCACATGCCTTAAGAAGCGCTAATATATGTCCTCTTTGTTCGCTTGGATTTGCGACACAAACTCTACTCGACGACCATATTCTCAAATTTCACGAGACATCCGAATCGGCCAACAGTTGCGATAAGAGTGGACAACAAAATACAACAAACAATAATGAGCTTTCATTTTCATCAAAACAATTTTCAGTCAAAGAAATTTTGAATTAGAGTTTGATTTGTCATTAGATATCATACTTTAGTAAATTATATGATTAAGAGTTATATTTAATTATTTTATTTGATATGATTTGATATATTTTACATTTAATAAAGAGCTGAATATTTATTGCTTTTATATACCGTATATTATACAGTATATACTGTAAAATATCTCATATTTAAATAATGTAATAATTTATTTTTTAAAAATGATTGTAATTTAGTTAAAATATTATACTGTATGATAACATTACACTATTTCTAAATGTCTTAAAATTTAGGCAAACGTATAAAATTACATGAATTTTATTTGTGAGATATTTGTATACACTGTATATAACTGTATATGTAAAATGAATAGTTGTCATTTAAAATGCTATTTTATTTTTATTATTATATCATTATTATAATCATTATTATTATTATTATACAAATACTGTGATTTATAAAGTGTTCCTCTCTTGAATTTTACTATACATTTAAATGTAAAATTTGATTAACATTTTAGTTGTGCAATAATTTATTGCAATCTTATAGCGTTATATTATTAATATATTACATATTTTTAATTTTTGGTGGTGGAAATTTAAATCATTATTTTGATTTTATTTATTTGTAAATTTTATGTGTTTTTGTAATTATATTATGTAAAATATTAGTTAAATTTGTATTTAGTTATTTATAAATTTAAATTGTACACATTGTTTATAGCAATTTAAAATTCATTATTTATATAATTAAATCATTAGATTTTGTTACATTATACTTATTATTAGATTATTGTGGATTAGAAATTAAATAAAAAAATTAATTCGTTTTTTAACAATAATTGTTTTATTTAAGATTAATTGTCTTAATATACCGGTACGTATATTTTAAGTAACAGTATTTGTAATAATTTCTGAGTTATATAAAGTAAATTTATAATACTCTATCAATTTTAATTAATTCAATAATTATTATTTAATTCAAAATTAGTAGTTGACTTATGTTAAACATTTTTGTTAAATTAGTCTAAAATTTGATAACATTACTAAAACAAACTTAAACTTTATAAAAATCCGATACACAGTTAGATTTTTGTAATTTAATAAAAAAAAATATAAGCAAAAAATCTGTTTATTGCAATAAATTTATTATTTAAATTATAAATTTCACTTAAATAAACCATTTTTTAAAACTGAATTATTCAAACTATTGATAGATATTGTTTTATTAAATGTATAAATGAGTTGTATTATTGAAAATGGATTTTATAATTAAATCAGTCTTTCAATATAATTACAGCTAAATTATCTTAATTTAATAACAAAATATTGATTCTAAGCAATACTTCTCCAATGATTTTGTTATATTAATTTATAAACATTTGTCAGTCATAACTAGTGCATCAAAAAATATTTATTTGAAAATTGAAAATATTTAATAAAATATATTAGTATTTATCTATTATAATTTTTGATTAAAGTAGATGGGTAATTATTTTTAATTATTATATTATAAATATAATCTAGTTCAGTTTTTTAATAAATATGCTGTATTACTAATGTATATGATATAGCTCTGTGAACTAATGCTCTTATTACTGATATTTTATAATTAATTGAATGATCTATATATTTAAAATTTAAATGTATGTTATAGTATGTATTTTTTATAAACATTTGTTATTAATTTATTTTGGATTTTTTATTATTAAAATATCTAAAAACTGGTAAAATATTGTTTATTTATATTTATTGTGTAAATATTATAGTTTTATTCTAATTGTGATAACAAAAATGATATCATTTAATAGTAATTAAGTATATTTATATTTTAGATTATATTAATTTATATGATATTTATATGATATTATTGTTTATTTTAAATCAATTAATTAAAAAATTTTATATTGCAATTTAATTGTAATATAAATTTATATTATTTATATAAACATTACATATCCTGTAATATTATAAGTCCTCTCAAAACATCCCAAACATACCAAAAAAGTAGACAAAAACTGTTAGTTTATTAACAGTTATATAATCACTGAATATGTGACACTTGTATTGGTGTCGAAACATATATCTGTCCGCTTAAAGACCTGAGTTTCGGGTGACCCTTGATATCAATTGTAAGTGAAATTTTAAAATATTTTATAATTATGTGCTTTGATATCAATATAACATTAAATAAATTTAAATAGTTTTTCATATATTGTTTCTCTCTTCTTGTTTTTAAACTTCAAAATAGTTTAATTAACGTTATGTAAGCAAAAAGTCTGAATTTTATTCATTCATATAATATCATCTGAAATACCTTTGATATGATCTTAAAATATAATAATTGGTTTTTTGTTTGCATTTTATTAAAAAATAAATTATCGCCAAAAAATTGTTGATTTTAGTTACCTATGCATTGGTGTAATAAGTTTTAGGTGATGTGCACCGGTATGTGTTTTAATCACAATTTTTTTGGCGATAATTTATTTTTTAATAAAATGCAAACAAAAAACCAATTATTATATTTTAAGATCATATCAAAGGTATTTCAGATGATATTATATAATTCAGACTTTTTGCTTACATAACGTTAATTAAACTATTTTGAAGTATAGAAACAATTTCATTCAATATATATTTATTTATATAATTTATCTGTTACATTAAGCGCACAATGAAACCAACACTTTGAAAACAAAACATTGAAAAAATAGTATTACTGTCTATGTGTTAGAAATTACATGATGTCATCAATCGTATAATAAACTATACAATTGTTGGTATGAAAGTGTTGGTATGATTGTGCGCTTATTGTTAGTCAAATAAAACAAAATATTATTATCTAAAATAAAAAGTACCAAAACTTTATATACAAAAAGTAATAGAAGAAGAATCATGAGATCATGAGTTGATTTTAAATCTAGAATTCAAAGATTTTTGTTATCAAATATAAAATATCTTTTATTTAAAGCTTTTAATAGTTGGAGGAAAAGAATGATCAGTTTATTCTGTCATTGAATAACTACTTTAACTAATTGTAAACAAAAATCCTAATAAAATACTGACTTCAGAACTAATAGCAATTGCTATATCTGTATATAATATTTAAATAATATTAAAATTAAAATTAATTTTGGAATAATGTATTTTATTATTGTTTGATATCTCCCATACAATCAAACATTTATTGCTATACAGTATTATTTGGTACTATATTTATAGACTAACTTATTTAGTAATTTTAAATAAATTCTAATTTTTAAAGTGATTTATAAAAAATTAAATCATAAAGAATATGCAAAACATTTAATTATTGTAAATAACAATTAAATCATCAATTTTTACAATACAAGAGAATTAACATTTATATATTATAAATAGTATTATTAATAGTGTATTAACAAAGTATAGTGATGTTACAACAAAAAATACTTTTTAAAATGTAATTTTAGACAAATTAAAATTAATTATTTAACCATTTTTCGATATATTAACTTATAGATTTGGTGGTAATTTTATGAACGACTTCATAAAACAAATTAATTTATATTTATATCTCGATATTTATTTATAGAAATATTTGTTATTTATTATTATCAATATATAATTACAGTATTATAATATATTTAAATAGTTTAGAATAAATAATCATTTTTGTCTAATAATTCACACAAAAAATCTATTTTATAGAGTTTGTAATTAACTTGATTTAATTCATTAAATAGTAAGTAAATTTAACTTAAAATGTCCATGCTACATACTTCAACATTGTACAGTAACTACTAATTGTAAAATACTGAAAGTTTACTTCAAAAATACTATACAATGCAATGTTTAGTCAAGTAAACTATAAAATAAGTTATTTATCACATATATAATAGTTATATATAGTATAGTATAGAATCTATACTACTGTATATCTATATTATAAATGATAAATGATAGCTACTAATGATAAAATATTGAGTATTGTATTGTATTTAAGTATTAAATTATCGAGAATCACAGTTAAAATTATATTTATTTTAATTTATTTTAAAAATGTATTAATTTTTTCAAATATTTTGCTTATATTAAAATATTTATATAAAAATAACATAAATCATTAATATTTATAAATATATTGTACATTTAAGAATTAATATAAGATTATAATAGATAAACCAATATTTAGTTATACTTGGTCAATTTAACCCGTAACTATTAACTATAAATATAGTAACTATTGATTTGTTTGATACACATTAATAAAATTAATAAAATTGATTGCAAATAAATAACTAATATTGACTTAGTTTGCTAAACATATTATTTTTATATTAGAATATAACAAACATATAATAACAGATATAATGTATAATTTGTTAAATCATTATTATTGTTATGAAATCTAAACTATGATCGATAGCTTTAACCTGTTATCCAATATCTTAATGAATATTTAATAATAACTTTAGATATTTGCATAAAAGCCTACACTTTATTATATCGAAGACATATAAAAGCTAATACCAAAAAAGATTTATAATATTCAATGTTTAATATTACAAAGTTTTCTAACTTGGAGTAACTGTTTTATCATTTAAGCCATGAATTATAATTGTAATATCATTTCATTGCCACTAATCTGTGTTATAATTGCTTTATTTTCTATAACGAATCACATGACTGAAGCAAATGGTACTAAATTTGTTGAATATATATATATTTTTAGTTAATAATACTATTTAATAAAAAGATTAAAAAACTTTTTTCTATATTTTTAAGGCAAAAAATGTCAACAATATGGTCACTCATGTCTTGGAGGACATGGAAAACGCAGTGACGAGATGTCATCACCAGTTGTTCAACACTTTTCTGATTTGCAACGAATAAATGATCCGATTTTGGAAAGAATGGCAAATCTTTTGCGAGTTTTAGTTAATCAAAGGATGGATTGGTTGCAGAAACAGACCACTCAATCGGATAATGAGGTTCAGAGTCGAGTAGATTTTGATGTCATTAATAAATAGTTTATTTTATTACCATTTAATGTTAATTTAGTTTTTTGTTTAATTTAAATTTTATACCGAACTTAATAATTTCAAATATGTTTGATATTTAATTTTGTTTACATTAAATTGTAAATATTAAATTAAACTTAAATTAAACTTAAATTAAACTTAAATTAAACTTAAATTAAACTTAAATTAAAGCTATATTTACCGGTAATCTAGAAATCTAATAATTCAACTATAATTTATTTTAATAATAATTATTAATTAAAATATTTTCACTTGTGTTAAATTGCTTTTACACAAAAAAACAATAAAACTATATTTAAAACAAAATAATTATCACAAATTGAATTATAAATTATAAAAAAGTTAAATATTATCATTAATGTAATTGTTATACATTTAGTCAATATAAAATAAATAGCAATTTAAAAAATTATCAATTTATTAATTTTCAAATGACAATACATTAAATTCTCATTTATTATTATTATTTAGTTTTATTATAATATTATAGTTTAGTTATTAAATATTAATTAATAATAAAAATTATCGATATTTCAATCAAAAAATGTATTTGAATAATGAAATCATAAGTTTATTAAGTGTTGTTAAAGTGTATCAATCAATCAATCAGAGGTCAAATGTTGATCATTAGTGACCGTACTTCTGGAACTCCCACTCTCTGTTGTCGAGAGGACAGACCTGTCTTGTCTTAAGCCATCGTGAGATACAATGAAAGTGAAAGGCATGGTTACAGACACCCCACGCAACGGTACACTCTTCACTGGTAGCAGAGGCCTGATTGGCCTGACATTCAATACACAGATCCATAATATGATTACGACAAATGGCACAGTTGTCTACCACTATATCCCAGGCCCACAACGCAACGGCTGACCACTTCTTTACTTCAAACCGTTTACGTCCGGCCACTGCTTGTGTTGAACTCGACGGTAACTCTGCGTTATTCACTTCTCCATTGTTGCCATCGGTGTCCATCTCGTCTTCGTAATCGGCCATCGCTTATAATATATGATATATATATGAGCTATAAGTGGATCAAATGGTCACTAATGAAGACAAAGATATAAATGAAATGATTTAGTCATCAATTAAGTCAAACAATCCATTCATTCATTACATTCATTGCGCACTCATTCAGTCACACACTTTGGCGTACAGTTTGTATGTGTTTTGTGTTGATTGTTATCATTACTTACAATACTTTATATCTACAAACAATAAAGTCATTGTATTCTACAGTAATATATGTCCCCCTTTTCATACATTACAACACATTATATATGAATTGACTTTTATTTACAAATTCTATTCAACAATAAAGTACTGAATGTAATACTGACTGTAATATTGTATATAATTTATAATCACGTGATTTAAATGCAATCTAAAACACGTTTTTATGTATTAATTGTTAATTAGTTTATAAATAATGATTGACTGAATGGCAATAAAATGAGTCAACAAATCAATAGTCAAATCAATGGTATATCGTTTGGTGTCTTCACTCGTGAGGAGATAAAGAAGTTGAGTGTTTTGAATGTGGAGACATCCAAAACTTTTGATGAATTAAATCATCCGACAGTTAATGGTCTTTGCGATAGTGTTTTCGGTAAATAAATAGCAAACAAATTGGTATGAAATGTAATAAATGTATGAAATGTCTGTACATTTTGTAGGTCCGGCTAATAGGGGTGAGACGTGTATTACGTGCGGACTTTCCGAGTATGACTGTTGTGGACATTATGGACACATAAATCTAGCGCTTCCAGTGTTTAATCCATTTCTTATAAAACAATTATTTCAGGTTTGCTTACGATTTAGTTATAATGATTTAATTTAATAACAATTACATGTCTTATAGTTATTGAAGATGTGTTGCTTTGATTGTCACCATATGTTGTATACACCAACCGCTTTAGAGACAGTGATCGCTCAGATGGAGGCCTTAAATCGTGGACTCGATATTATAGTTGAAGATTTAGCACAATTAGGTGCCTCACTATCAGTTGATTGTATTAATTTGGATGCGATATCAATAAGAATGTATGTCAGGGATAAACTACAAGAAAAAATTGAAGACGAATACAACAAAAGATACTCAAAACTAATTAAATGTAATTTAAATGTTAAAAATATTGTTGAAAAACAACAACAAATTTATAAGGACTTTATGAGCGGAAAGTTATTGAAACCAAACAAGAAGTGTCTTCAGTGTTCAGCTCATAAACAAGGCTTAACTGTTTTAAACAATGCATTAATTGTAATGAATTCACTTAAAGCTAACTCTAAAAAGAGTGCCATTAAAGACAAAAATATTGCAAATGATGAACAAACACAAGATATAAGTGAATTGGAAATGACTGGCGCTAAAGGAAAATCTCATTTAACACCTATTATGGCTCGAAATCATTTACGGTCTCTTTGGTCCAATGAAAAGGATACACTTTATCGTATATTTCCATTTCTCAGAACAGATATCCCTTTGGAGTCCGACTCAACACCTATTGATGTCTTCTTTATGGATACAATTACTGTACCACCAAATCGTTATCGTCCAATGAATTTCTTAAGTGGTCGACAATTTGAATCGGAACAGACAACTGCATTAAGTCAAATAATAATTGCATCGGATGTGTTAGATGTAGCATTTCGTCAGGCAAAACAATCAAAGTCACGCACATCTGATGCTGCATCAACATCAACGACAATTACCAATCAGACATCAGATAAAGGCAAAGATGTTGCAAAGTTTCACATGTGTTGGCAGAAATTGCAACTTTTATGCAACCGTTTGTATGACTCGGAAATGGATAGACTTCCAGATAACAAAGCAACGGGAGTTAAACAGATATTAGAGAAAAAAGAAGGACTCTTTAGAAAGCATATGATGGGAAAGAGAGTCAACTATGCCGCTCGATCTGTCATTTCTCCTGATCCTTACATTATGGTCGATGAAATTGGTGTTCCACTGGTATTCGCTACAAAACTTTCGTATCCACAACCTATTAATGATCATAATATTGAACAATTGCGACAAATGGTTATTAACGGTCCCGACATATATCCCGGTGCTTTGTCAATAACCTATGAAAATGGTCGAACAGTGAGATTACGATCTGATGATCCAACATTTCGGAAATCATTAGCCGACCGTTTACTTGTTCCTAAACATACATTTAAAGACAATACTATCCGTATTGTTAATCGACATTTGATTAATGGCGATGCATTGCTTCTCAACCGACAACCGACGCTTCATAAGCCATCAATTATGGCACATAAGGCTCGTGTTTTGCCTAAGGAAAAGACTTTACGTTTGCATTACGCCAACTGTAAGTGTTATAACGCCGACTTTGATGGCGACGAAATGAATGCACATTTACCACAAAGCGAATTAGCCAGAGCTGAGGCCTACAATATAGCTTCGGTTAACTATCAATATCTGGTGCCAAAAGATGGATCTCCTTTAAGTGGTCTCATTCAAGACCACATCATTGCTGGTGTAAAGTTAACTATTAGAGGAAAGTTCTTTACTAAAGGAGATTTTCAGGAATTATTATACGGCGCCCTTTCATTTCTTGACTCACCAATTAAATTGGTTCCGCCGGCTATTATTAAGCCAAAACCACTTTGGTCTGGAAAGCAAATTATTACAGCAATTATTATTAATATAGTGCCACAAAATAAACCACTACTCACTCTATCAATTCCTAGTAAAATAAATCCAAAGATATTACAATCAAAGAAACCACGAAAATGGACAGCCGGTGGAACTCCTTTACAATTAACAGATATGTGTGACAGTCAAGTGATTATACGTAAAGGAGAACTTATATCAGGTTTTATTGATAAAGTCAACTTAGGTCCAAATCCTTACGGATTAATTCATTGTTGTTATGAACTGTACGGTGGATCTGTTTCATCAGCACTACTGACCAGTTTTGCGCGATTGTGTACTAATTATCTTCAAATACATCACGGATTTACTTTAGGGATTCATGATATACTTGTCTGTGATAAACCTAATGCTAAACGAAATAAATACATAACAAAGGCTGAAAAAATGGGTTATAAAGCGTCTGCTGAAGCTATGGGTCTTACAGAGGATACAAACCACGAGTCACTTACAGATAAATTAAAGAGCGCTCACACAGACACTAATGACTTTTATATGAAACAATTGGATAAATGCATGAAAGGACAGACCGATGAACTTAACAATAAAATAACTGAAGTTTGTTTACCGAAAGGTCTGGTCAAACAGTTTCCAGAGAACAACTTGCAAATGATGATACAGGCCGGTGCTAAAGGAGGTTCTGTAAATGCCATTCAAATATCTTGTCTTTTGGGACAAATTGAGTTAGAAGGCAGACGCGTACCACTTATGATGTCTGGTCGCACATTACCATCATTTAGTCCTTATGAAACTCATCCAAGAGCTGGTGGTTTTGTTGGACAACGTTTTATGACTGGTATTCGTCCGCAAGAATTTTTTTTTCATTGTATGGCCGGTAGAGAAGGTTTAATCGATACAGCGGTTAAAACTTCACGTTCTGGTTATTTGCAGAGATGTCTTATTAAACATCTCGAAGGTTTAGTTGTTAATTACGATATGACTGTTAGAGACAGCGAAGGAAGTGTTGTCCAATTACTTTATGGCGGCGATGGCATAGATATACTCAAAAGTCAAATGCTTAAAGAAAAAGTTCTTTCAATTGTTGTTCAAAATAATGAAGCGCTGAAACCAACGGTCAAAGAAATAGAAATATTAGACAAAATTTCTGATAAAAAGTTACATAAATATCAAGAAAAGGTGGAATTATGGCTAAATAATTATCAAAGTTATGGATTCAAACTCAAAACTTCTCCTTTTATTAACTTTTCATCTGATATGACGCGAGAAAACAATTTTTCAAAAGAGGATTTGCTTAAAATGTGGACTCAATTGAAGAAAAAGCGCAAAAAACAATATTTAAATATTTGCAAATCATGTCCCGACCCAATCACTAGTGTGTTTCGTCCCGATCTTAATTTGGGTTCAATTAGTGAACAAATGGATTCAATTATAAATAGATATATTTCTGATAATACAGACAATCTATTAAACAATTCATCGGAACCATTGAGTATATCTTCTACTGAATTTAGGAGAACTATTAATTCCTATTATATGAAATGTTTGTGTCAGCCCGGAGAAGCTGTAGGCTTATTAGCCGCTCAATCAGTTGGTGAGCCCTCGACTCAGATGACACTCAATACATTTCATTTTGCCGGAAGAGGTGAGATGAATGTTACGCTTGGAATTCCTAGACTTCGAGAAATTTTAATGACTGCCAGTTCTAAGATAGCGACTCCTAGTTTGGATATACCTTTTGTTAACAACTATTTGGGAGACATAGAAAGCGAATCCGAAAAAATGAGACTAAAATTAAATTCTGTAAAACTGTCGGACGTTCTTGAGTTTGTCGAAGTGACAGAAACTCTTGAAGTGAATGGTTGTGTCCGCTACCGAACGTATGACATAATGTTTCAATTTTTGCCGAAAAGATTATATAAACATAAATCTTATACCAATTCGAGTCAAATCTTGAGATTTATGGAAAACAAATTTTTTAAGCTATTGATTGAAGCAATTAATAAACGGATTAAAATTTTGACAAAATCTCACGGACTATTTGATCACTCAAATAGAGTAAGAAATACTATCAAAAATAAAAATACCTCAAATGATGACAACGATAACTCTAATGATGGTTTTGAGACAACTACTGCTGCAAACGATAACGAAGAGATGAGCTCTGATGATGAAAATGGTAATGAAGACGACGGCGACACAACTGCTCAGAGAAACAAAACACGTCATAATCAGGAACAGGAATACGAAGAACCAGAAGATGACGAGATTCAAGAGGTACCGGATTCTGATGTCGAAGAAGTGGCTGATGATAATGCAAGTCTAGCTAATAGTGATTTGGATAATAGTGTTCAAGAAATAAATGAAAATGAAATGTCAACTATAAGTGATTTATTGGTTAACCAAACTTCTAGACGTAAGGAACAATTAGAGGCACAACTAAGTGAACGACAAAATAAGGTCAAAAATATCAGTACTTCTATTATTGACTATGACTTTGACATCAATAAGGAGGAGTGGTGTCGACTCAAAATAAAATACGATCTCATAAATAGTAAATTAGATATGACTTCACTTATAGAAGACGAGGCGCGTAAAATGTATGTCCATAAAGTGGGACGAATTGAACGGGCATTTCTTGTTAAAGATTCCGCTGCTGCCAAACGAAACTCTAATTTTGCTAAACTTTTAAAGACTGAAGGAGTGAGTCTTCTTGATGTTGTCCAATACAACCATATCTTTGATATCAACAGAATCTATACGAATGATATTCATGCGATTGCCAATACATATGGCATTGAAGCGGCCGCTGCAGCCATTCAACGGGAAATATCTAATGTGTTCGCTGTTTATGGCATTCATGTGGACGCAAGACATTTGTCTTTAATCGCTGATTACATGACTTTTAGCGGTCAAATCAAAGGAATGAATAGGCAATCAATGGATGGCGTTTCGCCGATTCAGGCCATGACTTTCGAAACGACTACTAATTTCTTGAAAAATGCTGCCCTAATAGGTATTAATAATATATTTTATTGAATGAAATGACTTAAAACATTTTATTTGTTTTTTAAAGGACTTAAAGATGATTTGTCATCTCCTTCGGCACGAATAGTAGTCGGAAGGGTTTCAGTTGTTGGTACGGGTTGTGTCCAAATGATGTCTAATCCAGTATTAGTGACCGGAACTAAACCGAATCAATCATTTGGAAGTGTCATCAAAGCAAACAAATGGAGATCAAAGAGCTCATCACTTAAAAGGAGATTTAATTTAAATCGTGTCAATGAAACGCCTCCTCTTAATAAACGAATCAAATTTGCTTAAAATTATATATTTTTTGAAATCTAATATTAAATTATTGTGAAATTTATACGAATGTAATTATTAAATAAATTTTATATTTTAAACAGTTGTTGTATTTTTTAATTACGTTAAATGTTTTTTTCTGTATCATTTTACCCTGAATCACTTTTGAATGACCCTCATGACCCCTAGTAGGTTGGTTGTAATAGTTAGTGAACTGAATTTACAGAGAGTCTTAAACAGCGGCGGCGGCGATGATAGCGGCGATGCTATTAATTACAATTATCTGGTCAACAATAAATTTTATTAAAAAGTGACCAAGGGCAATGTTGTAGATAATTTTAAACTGAATAAAATTGTAATTGGTCATTTTTGTGCAATTTTCACAAATCCCTAACCGTAAGCATTATAGAAATGATTTGATACACTACTGAAAATAAGAGTACATTATTGATATTATTTCATTTACTACAGTATAGTAACTGTATATCATATTTACTGTACAAAGTGTTGTATAAGCAATAATTTAAGGGAATTGACAGCAATGTTAGTGAATCCCATTTGCGTAATACAATGTAATATACGCTGTAATGTAATCCAATGTAATTGTGGCGCAGGAACGGGATTTCATTTTTTTAATTATTTTGATTTCCTTTTTATACACTAATCAAAACTTTTATCTACTCTTATTTTATGTAAACTAACATTTGCCAACACATCACAACATATTTCAATTGCTATTACCGATAATTTGTTAATCATTTTCAATATGTGGTATTAGAATAAATAATTTTAATTAGAAATAAAATGTTTAAATATATATTTATTATTATGTATTGAATTTATAATTATAATACATAATAGAAATTTTGGAAATGATATTAAAAATAATAAAATAAGATAATAATAAAGAGTGCAACTTTTGCTACTAAAATAAATGTTTAGATGTTTGGCCAACAGTGCCATTGATGCCATCCATCCCATTGAATGGCCACAAGACGTGTCTAATGTATTCATTTAGTTCACAAATACATGTCTTTGTTATACAAAGTAATTATCATATAATTTACAAATTTTTAAAATCGATTATTAGCTCTCAATTGTATATAAATGTATATATATATATATACTGTATATACTTTAAAAAATCCTATTAAAATAATTAGTAATAATTCAATATAAAGGAATATTTGACAAATGGTTAACTTAATGGCCTAAAAATAAATTAGTTCAACAAAAGTACAAATCGTCTATAAATCAAAACTATTTAATATTATTCTTATAAATGAATAATAATAATCAAAAAAGAAACCATAAAATTACAAAACAGTTTGTTTGAAAGTTAGAAACACGAATAAACATTCAAATATATAGTGATTTACGTTTTGCTTCAGTAAAACACAAATCAAGCGATTATTATTACCAAAGATTTAATCGGAAGGGTTGGCGCCTTCATCTTCATCGTAGTCCTCGTTATTTAAATGTGCGAATTTGTTGGATGTTGTATAAGCCTTAAATGATAAATCATTTTTAAAAATTGTAATTAATTTAATAAATTCATTCATTTCATACAACTTTGCGTTCGTCCTCGTCTTCCGACTTTTGACTCATTCGTGGCGGTCTATCGTATGTCTCATACTTTTCATGATCTCTATTTGATCCGATGTCATGTCTATCCCGCCTATTATTATTAGTAAAATTACTACGATTTGTCCCACTATTACCTCCTCTTCCACTGTTATAGCGCTGGTCTCTCGATTCTCGATCTCTTTGCGGTTCACGCGATGAAGAGTATCGGCTACTTGTATGCGTAGAGTCATTACTGTTTCGCGGCATAACTGTATATTTTGGTTCATTTACAGAATTCCGTTCACTTGTTTTGCGAGTACGACGTTGTCCACTGTTTCGATATTCGTCTGAATCTCGAGGTTGACCCGATTCGGAACCTTTTCGTGATCGACCGCCACTATTACTACTCGAACTAATACGTCGAATCCTACCTTCATTATTGTCCGACTTTTTATCTGATTCTTCTCGTTCCTTAAGAAGTTTCTGTTCAATTTCCTGTTCCCGAGCGGCCGTATTGACAGGTTTCGCGCCACCAAATATAGCAGAATTAGATAATGATTCAGAACTTTCATCAATAGGTTTCGTTCGGGGTTTTAATTGCAATTTCTGTCTTTCTTTAGGTCGTTCTTCAACCGATTCTTTAGGTTGTTCTTCATATGTCTCTTTGCTCGGAGGTGGAGATCCATTGCGTGAATCGTATTGCGAATCATCTCTTCGACTCCTTTCAAATCCACCGCCAAATTCTCGTCGAGAATCAGTCCTTCTGTCGTCATAATTACGACTTGAATATCGATTGGAGTCTTCAATACGTCGACCAAACGACGAGCGGTCATTATCACGGGAATCATCAAAGCGCTCGTCATTTCGATTTGAGTACCGATTATTTGATCGATCAAATTCTCGATCATTAGATCGTCCAAATCGCTCGTTTGAGTAATTATTACTTCTTTCATAATTGCGGTCATTTGACGGCCTAAATGTTCTTTCGTTTTCAAAACGATTTCTGCCATAACTTGAATCTGATCCTTGGTTTCTTTGTCTGTCATATGAATTATCATTCATACCGTTTCTGAAACCATAATTGTCACGATTTGGTGGATCACGCGAAACATCGTTATCTCGCGGTGCTGTCCTCCAATCACCAGCAGTTCTATCCTGACGTTCCTCACGAGGATTTTCTCGATTACCGGTAGAGCTTTCTTTAAAATTATTATTCAATTAAAAATAAAAACAAATCATTGAATAATCATTCAAACCATTATCTCCGGGGAGACCAACTTTGAGCTGTCGGTTTCTAAACATGTCTCCATTTTTCTGGAGCGCTTCAATCAATGAATCTTTATTACCAAACTCTGCGTAAGCAAATCCGCGGTGACGACCATTAAGAAGTGGTAATCGCACGTCAATTATCTGTTGAGTAATAAATTGTTCATTTAGTAAAATCTGTGGATTCAATTAAAATCAAACCTCAAGTTTGGAAAAATATCGGGTAATTTCCTGTTGAGAGACGTCGTACGGAAGGTTTCCTAAATAGGCTTTAAATGGCGGGTCTGACGGCACTCGAGTTAAATCTAAATCAGGAGTGCGGGTGGCTTTGGGTCCCGTCGGCAGTAATATTGGTTTGTTTGGTGTATTATAACTTACAGTAAACCTGTCTAAAAATGTTAACAAACATAATAACAATTAAAATCAATGATTATATAATATACTATGGTTACCATCGAAGTCATTATCATCGACCTGATCGGCCCAATCGAGTGACACTTTCTGTGTGTGCACAACATTATATCCCTGAGGAGGTGTCTGGTCTTCGGCCACAAACACCGACAAAGGGATTGTCTTCTTGTTTGACTTCTTGCTCTTTCCTTTCCCTATCAATCAAAACATTAATTAATTAATTAATTTGTTAACCATTTGTCGACAAATGACACACAAATTGTTGTCAACTGTCAGACAATGACTGCTTTTCGTGTTTATCTCAAAACAACTTAAATAATAATAAAATCAAATAATAAATAGTAATTAAATCAATGCAGACCTGTATTGGTAGCCATGCTTTACATCAAAGTGTCTATTAGTTAGTGAAACAAATGGACAACAAATACATCAAACAGTCTATCAATTAGTGTATAGAAGTGTACACTCAGTCACAAACACATTGACATCACTAACACTTGATATACATATATAACGTTATACTTAAACATTTGATCCAAACTTTCAATATTTCCAAAATTATTTCAATCAAAATATTAATTAATAAATCATTTATTATTAAAATTTTTCTAATATTATATATAATTTAATTTCCATATTATTTATTCTTTAATTAAATTAAAAAATGCTAAAACATTTCGATAGTTTAAAGTTTAATACATTAATATATTGTTATTGTTTAACATAATTGAATACAATATAAGTGTGTATTTAATGTAAAAATAATATATAATTAAATAATGATTACTTAATAATATTATAATTTAAATTTAAAAAATAAATGAATGAATAAATAATTAAATTTATATTATTTATGACATAATAAGTGAATGAATAGATGTTTGCCATAATTGATGTGATTATAGAAATTACGTAACAATTAGTTAATAATAAAGCATTGAATGCATTGAAAGCAACGTTTGTTTGCAATGTTTTGCTTTTAATGATAAAGTAATTGATTTTAAAACCATTTAATCATATTTGAAGACAATTAAGACATTTAATTACTTCATCCAAAACAACAAGACATGTCTGCTGAGGCCAATCAACGAGTCAATGGTGTGGACGAGTCGGCTGATGGCGAGGATGTTAGCAAACCAGTGGCCAAAAAGGTGGCCAAACATGACTCGGGTGCTGCAGATCTTGAAAAAGTTACCGACTTTGAGGAAGAAAGAGAAATTTCATCACAAGATTTACTTGGAGTTTGTTATGACACCACTTATAATGATTGGTATTTATTAATACTCTCTGATATTGATATTGATTAGGCCATCACAATGATTGGTGACAAAAGATCCAAAGAGACGGCAGAAAGAGTCGCTCGAATGAATGAATTGGCAAAAGTAGTCATCAATAAGGAAGACGTGGAACTGATTGTATGTCATTAATGTTTAATGTCATTCATAAATTAATTATTAATTACAGTAATGTATTGAACCAATAGATCAAAGAGATGGAAATTCCGCGGTCAACGGCCGAACTGAAGCTTCGGGAGTGCGCCGGCAATGTTGTCGACGCTTTGATTGCTTTAACCGATTGATTGACATTTTTAGTACTACTAGTCGTCGCTAATAATCATAACATTAATTCATAGTTTAATACTTCGTTTCATTTAAATACAACTCGTTTTCAATATAAAAATTTCAGTTTTTATTACAAAATCAATTAATCAAATTACAAATAATATTTATTGCAATATTTTTATCGAAATTTAGTCTTAATTAAGGATTAGCCACTAAAGGCACTGTTGATTGAGTTAATTGTACTGGAAATTGATGTAAGGCTTGAGTGGTGCCATTGGTTAACTCAACAGTTGTTGACTCAGGTATTGTTACTTCGGGTACATTCTGTATAGTAGTCGGCTGTGATATAGTGACCACCGGAACAGTCTGTGTACCCGTTGTCTGAGTTAACTCATAAGTAGTGGATATTTGTGGTACAGTTTGAAATTGAAAAGTTTGAGTACTTGTTTGTTGCGGCAAAGTCTGGGTTGCAATTTGATTAACAGATGTGGTTAGTGGTAAGGTTTGTTTCAACTGCTCGGATGTGTTTAATTGATCCGGTGTTTGAAGTATTTCTTCGGATTTAAGTATCTTATGTTCAGTGTTGTGAACTTCAGGCAAATGCGGTACGAAATTCAATGGTTTATTTGGAGTTAAAAACGGAGTGCTGACAACGGCCTGTTGTGTCCAACTATGTGGTAATGAATTTACTGATTCACTATTAACTGCATTTGTTCCCGGATTTGATATTATATGTGGTAATTGAGAAACGGCTTGCAATGGCTCTGACTTTTGGACTACAAGTTCCACTTTTTGAACTACAGGTTCATCTCTTTCAACAGTCTGTGTGTCTATGTCTTCAACAAATGGTTCAACCTTTTGAACTATAGGCACAAAATTATGAGATCCGTGCGTCAGTAATGACTGTGCGGGTGATAAAAGAGGTGTTCTGTTGATCAAAGTTTGTGATACGGGTTGTAATGACTGTACAATTGACTGTGAATTAGTCATTGACAGCAAATTCTTAGGAATTGTTTGAACGGTTTGAACGCTAGGACTATGACTTAAAGTTAGCAAATATTGAGGAATAGTCTGCGGAATACCAACTCTGGTCGATACGACCGGTGTCTCAAAAGAACCAACAAATGGTTGATTCCTCTCATTGCTTACAAACACAGAGTTGGGAATAATAGAGGTATGAAATGTGGTCGAAACGGGAAAGTTATGCGTCCTTATATACGGTCCAACCATTGATTGAATTTGGCTGTGATGGACATGACCCTGGAGGTGATGGTCAGTACATTTAATGCCATTTGAGGCCAACAAATCTAAAGCTAAAATACTTAATATTTAAAAATTGCTTTTATTATAACAAAAATCTTACCAATAATTGCAATAAGATATTTGACATTCATTTTTGCTGTTACGAAGTTTTCATATGTTTGTAATAAATTGAAAATTGCTTTTTATATAGTAGTCGATAATTAAAGCAAATAGTGGTCATTTTGATCAGTTATCAAAATATAAACTGAAGTTTGGTCAGTTAGCAGGGATAGAGTATAGATTAAGTTATTTATTTTTTAAAATAGTCACTATAAAAGTTAGTAAAATTTCTGTATATATTTAAAAGTTATTAAATTGTATTTTTAGATAAGTATGGTGAAGATAATTATTCATTTTAATTTCAATAATATCAGTATTTCAGTTAATTATTAAATTATATTTATTAATATTATTAGTGATGTTATCTACATTGTTTCTTAATATATATTTTTATTAATACAATTTAAATATAATAATAATATTATTTTTAATTATTCGAGAAACTTTAAAATATAGATAACCGTAATGCAAAAATTATATGTAATTTTAACAATACAAAACATAGGATTTTATGTTAAAAAATTATTACCGGTAAACGTAAAAAAACTTTAAAGTAGTCATTTTTAATATATATATTTTTAAGTTAAATAATTTAACTTTAATCGATACTTTAGTTATAACTCCGAAGTTTATTTGAAGTACACAAATGTCAAAAGTTCAACAATTATTAAATATTGTTTTTCAAAGGGTATAAATTTGATTATCATTTTGTAACTAAAAGTTTGATTAGATTTAGTTATTTTGCTTAAACTATTATTTTTATTATAATCATTACAATATAACAAACATTTATATTTTATTTGATAATATATTTAATTTGTGTTTAATTTATAACTAGTTTTTCACAAGTATCTCAATGTTTACCAAAATAAAAACAAAATTAAATATTAATTTTCAACAATTATTATCAAATGAAATACATGATAGCAATAGTCATTTTAATCATGGTCAAATAACTTATAAACTACGGTAATGTTATATTTTAAGTGATTTGAATTGTTAACTTCAATTTGCATTTTTAATTTATATACAATATTGTATAATTTATATAAATATTAAAACTTGTCGTTTGTTGAAATGACAAATTATATGATATATGAAATAAAAATAATGTAAATAAATTGATTTTTTATTAATTTATATAATATATGAGAAAAATACATTTAACTCCAAATAATATCATATTTAAATTATATTAACAGTTTCTTCTTAAATATAATTAAAATTGAAAACATTAAATAAATTAATAAATAAAATGCTACACAAATATGATAAATAATATATCTAAATATAAATGAAGTAAAAATTTAAAATTGCAATAAATATTTTAATTATTATTATTATTATTATTATTACCACAATAATACTCTAATGAGTTAACATTATTAATTATCAATTGGTTTAAGTTTTTCAATATTCTTAATAATATTGAGTTCTTCAGCTCTCTGTAAAGCTTTAGTTACAATATCTTTGATTTTGTCTTCGATGTCATCCACTTCAGGTCGAGTAATGGCTACAAGAATCTCAAAAATTTGTGTTTCAATGATTTTCTCAGCGATGTCTTCGCCGGCATCTATTAGGTTATAAATAATACAAACGCCTCTATGCTGTAGTTCTGTGTCTTTATTAGAGACCAATTGGATGAGACATTCGAGCCAACACTTGGGTTCAAATATCTTTTGGCACGACTTCTTGCTGACAGATGTTAACATAGCTAAGGCACCGGACGCTGCTTTGGCTGTTTCAATGTCGTCATCCATCGCTAATATAACCAAATACTTGACCCGATCATTGTCTCCCTCATACATCTTCACCATATCTTCGCTTACAATCAAATTAGTCAAACATTGAGTGGCGGATCGTTTAAGAAGTTCGTGGTCTTCATACATATAACTTTCAATGCGTGCAAATCCACTGTCTTTTATAATCCTCGATCTGACACTTGGACTGACCTGAGCTAAGTTTGTTAGTGCCATAAGAGCCTCGAAGTTCATTAGAGCGCTGCAATCGGGATGTAATATATGGATAAGTGGTCGAACCACTTCACAACATCGTTGACCAGGAAATGCAACCTCAGGATTAATGGTAATACCTATTCTGGCTAATGCTTGACCGGCAATATTTTTACCGATATCTGTATTGCTTTCAAGTGCTAATTTAAGTAATGCTTTGACGCCTCCCTGTTGTACAACAATACCTCTCAAATCTCGGAACTCACAAAATGCATTGAAAACCCGAGCAATCATTTCTCTACTGGTTTTGCTCTGGGATTTAGTTAAAGCAATCAAAGCTGAAACAACTTGAAGATTACACAACACTTGACACCGTTTTTCAACAAAAGTCATGTCATCTTTAGGATGATCTTCAGGCACGTGTTGTTTCGCAAATTTTGCTAATTCTTTCAATTCAGGAATTGCTTCTTGTTTTTCATAACTATTGGTTAAATTAACAAAAGTAGTGACGACTCCAAACAAAACCGAAAGATCACCATTTTTTGCCAAATCAACTAAAGCAGTAATAGCTTCCTTGTCTTCTATCAACTCTTCTTTAATTTCTGCGCTTAGAGACAAATAAGCCAATCCATCGGCTGACCATTTTTTCATATCCTTATCGACGGATGGACTCACAAGAAACTGTTGACAAGCTTTTGCCAATTTGACTGTTGATTCATCAGAAAATGTACGAATAGACGCATCAGTACCGCCAACAGAACCTAATTTACAAAGACCTACAAGTGCTCTAACTTTGATTCTATCATTAGAAGACTTAAATAGCTTTTTAAGTATTCCGGTTCCCATATTGGCCAGAGAAGTACACTTATCCTTTTTAGACGCCGCTGCTATAATAGCCTCAGCCGCTACACACTGTTGGATGGCATCATCAGAACCGGCCATAACTAACATCATTTCCATAATTCCCGTTTGACCCAAACAGTAATTGCCGACATCAATGGGTCCCATCAATAAAGTAGTAATAGTAGCGGTGGCACGAACTTTATCCTCGATATCCATTCCTCTAAGTTTACTATTAATATAATCCATGACTTTATCGCGATATATTTCTCTGGCTTTGTCGTGATCGTGACATAAGTAGACTTTATCCAAGAGTAGTGATACATGAGTTCTTGTACTCGAAGTTATATTCATTCCACTCTCATATCTGATTTCCTCGAGTTCTGATGCAATCTCTAATAACTTCCAGAGACCGTCATTTTGGACTAACATTTGACCCCAAAAGAGTGTCTGATAATCGACATGTGTTATTAAAAGCTCAAGAATGGCATCTCGACAGAGACCGGTCATCATTCTTAGGTTTGTATTATTTGTCAGACAAATCATTATTTCATTGATGTTTGTCTCATGTTTTTTCATCAGATCCTTGTTTGGTTTCTTTTCTTCTTTAGCACAAAAACCACTCAATGACTCAATCATTGTCTGAATGTTGTATTGAATGGCAGTAATCATTTGCTCATCAAATGAAAGACTCATTATTTGGATCAAAGTGTTGATACCAATCACTTTTAATACATCAAGTGATCCCTCAACAGAATTGTTGGATAATTCAGTCAAAGTCCTAATTAAAGCTAATTTTAGATTTGCATCACATTTGGAGTTAAGTATCTTTGAAATCAATTGCAAGCCATTGCTTTCGATAAACAATCGTTTTCCCGCATTTTCGCGGACCAAAACCATTAAATTGTTGGCCGACTGCAACCGTTTGTCGGCTTCAATCCCATCATCGGTCAAGTAATCAAACATTTGTTTCATTCGCGAAGATATACTTGAATTTTGTTTAACCAACTCTTGGATTTTGGCATTCAGTCGACGCAAAGTTGTTTTAATCGACATATTGTTTGGTTCCAAGTGTTGTATATTTAGAGCATCTTTGAATGCATCTGAATATCGTTGCATTGTCTCCAATGCTGAACATCTTCTTAATAATGTCTTAATGTCTGTTGGACTCAATTCAAGTGCTTTTGTCGCATAACTTATTGTATTTTCATAGTCTTCAAGTTTAAGATAACAAAGACTTAAATTTTTATAAAGATTTAGTCGATTTGTTTGCCACGTCTTGGAGTCATCACTGAGAGTGTTGTCCGACAAACTCAATGCCTTTAAGTACTCATTGATGGCTATCTTGTAATCACCACTTTTGACCAATTGATTGCCTGACTCTTTCAATGACAACACTTGCAATTCCTTGCCATCCAATTCATCACTAATTTCTTGTATTTGTGGCATTAATTTACTTTTAATTATCAATAAAAATGCTAAACTAGTGATCAGTTGATGCAAATGATGTCAAAATAAGTGATAGTTTTCATCACTTTTAAAGTCACTCCAAATATGGTTTGCAATCACTGTTTACTTGACTTTAAGCCAATCGTATTCATTGTTATCCAATGCATGGCTTTCTATCAATAGAAATACACTTTAGTTACTAAACAGACGGATATAATATATTTATTATTTATTATATGAAATTGAAATATATTTGAATATAATATAAATGAATTACAAAATGCTTTATTAAATTATTTTTATCATATAATATCAAAATATTCAAATATTAACTAATAAAGTTAAATATCAAATTCATTACATGTATTAAATATGCAATTTATTATATTAATTTTATTAATAAAACAAATTCACCTAGATGGTGCAATAAGTTTATATGCATTTTCTAAAATATTTGTTCAGAATATTGCAATTAAAAAAAATTAATTGACATTGCTCAAAATTTAGACATAAAATCTTTAATAATAATCTATACCTAACTTTTTAGCATAACATTTAAATTTATAAAAATATTAAGATATTTTTTTAATAAAGATTTTTTATAAAAAACAATTATATTTTTTGGTATAAATATTAAATATATAAATTTGATAATACCTACAGTATATTATATTAAGATTTACATTAGATAAATGTAGAAATTAATTTCAACAAAGTTATCAAAAGTATAAGAAATTTAGTAATTATTTATTATTTTATATGAAATTAATTCAATTTTTATGTTTTACTAATTTCTAATTATTATTATAAATACATTTTGCGATATATTAATTATTTTGTAAATACAGTACTAACCGTAAGTAAAATTAAAAAATATACATTAAATTATTTATTGTATTATTATTATTACATTAATTGAATAATTTCATTAATGGTAATATTTTATTCATAAAACTTAAGTTTCATTTAATAGATTTATATTAGAGATGTATTTATTAAAATATATGAATTTAACTTAAATATTGAATATATTTAAAAATATATATGACATCCTATTATCAAATATATTAAAAATGTAAAAATGTATGTTATATTATTTGAATAAGTTCAATTTATAAAATAAATATTATTTATCTATTAAAGTTATAAAATATAACAAATAATGTCTATTTTTGAATATATAATATTTATTGGATAACTTATAAATTAATTTTGTGTAACGCATAGCAACACATTAATAGAAAACAAAACAATAAAATAATTTAATTATTTAGTCATTAGATATGATTGAATGTAATTAAATGTGAAGAAAAACAAAATGAGTTCAGAAATTGATGCAAAACTAGTAAAACAAACTCAAGAGTTGTTAAGTAAAGTAGTGAAGAAACCGGTGATCACTGAAAAACTATTGAGAAGACCTCCCTTTAGATTCCTTCACGACTTGATTATTAGTGTAAGACTATAGTGCTATCAATACTATTGATATCATTATATAAAAATTGTTTCAATCATTTATAACTATTTTATTAAACTATTTTTAATTAATCAATAGATTAATACAAATCATGGATTTTTTAAAGATCTCTATTCAGTCAATGATTTGAATGCAGAGAATGTTAAGGAAAAGGAGGCGAAGATTGTATTTCTTGAGAAAGCCATCGACACAACCGGTTTGTCCAATAATTCTCATTGTTTTATATATTATATTACACTTCAATATATTATTAGTTTTATAATTTCAATCTTTAAAATTTAAAAATTTAATTGAATTGGCATTTATATATAGTATATATATATATCATATATCAGTTTTTTAAAAGTTTTTTTTCATTGAATATAAATTTTTATGTACTGTATATTTGTTATATTTAAATATTTAATAGGTTTGACAATTGGCGATATTTTGAGTGCAAAGCCGTCTAAAATAGTTGCGGGTCTGGAGTGCGATAAAACCAATGAATGGTTACAAACGATGGCCAAAGCTATCATTGATAATAAAGACTCGTCCGATGCTGTCATACGAGTACTGAACGGAGAAAAGCCGACCAAACGGAACAATACAGTCGTGACTAATCATAATATGAATAATACTCATAATAGCAAAACTAATAGCAATAATAGTAATAATAATAAAAAGAAAACATTGAATTCACAAACAAAGAGTCAGAACAATACAAATAAGAAAACAAAGAATGAGATGAATGAGAGCAAAGACTTGAAAGAAACGAAAGCAACTAAAAGTGAGCCCAAAAATACCATAAAACCATCAGTTGAACCAAAAGGGGCCAAAAACAAGAAGGCATCGCCTCTTCTGTCGACAAACAAAACAAAAAACATTTCAGACAAACAATCAAAGCCAGAGCTGATGACTACAAATGCTTCAAACGGAAGTACTATGGAATTACAGCCAACGCCAGACTCAACTAATAGTGATAATAGAGAGGATTATATTAACAAAGAAATGGATGAAAGACCTAATGATATACAAAACAATAAAGAAGTTGTCGAACAAAAGACATCACCGGTTCGGGTAAAGACTGTCAAACCCAGATCTCAAGTATCGGCGTTGCCTTTAAATCACATTCAAAACTCAGGTAACAGTATTATAAAAGACTATCTTATTTGCTTATGTCATGAATTTACAGTAAAATAGTATTAATAATTTATTGTGTAATAGTTTATAACAAAAAAAACTTGATAAGTATGTTACAAAAATAAGTTTATTTCAATTTTTAACAATAGAATAAATCATAATTTAAATTGATTTTTATTTGAAAAAAAATATTTTTTAACAATTTTATTATAAAGTTATATAAAATAAATTTAATTTAGAGAAATATTTATAAACTAATATAATAAATAAAATTGAATAAAATTATATATCAAAACAGAGACCGTTAGCACAGTCGGTCCCCCAACTCGTCTCGAGCGCAGTGCTCGACCCAGTAGTTCACGTCCCGCTCCTCCCAGAGTTATAACAAAGACAACTGAAGATAATAAGATCATTGAGGCGGAACTCGAAGAGAAGTTACGTCTCATAAATGCAAAACCAGTAGAAAATTTGATCACTGAAAACACGACCACCGATGACGACCAAGAATTCACTGTCACGACTGATATCACGAATGATCAAAACGACGAAACTAAAGAACAACTGAATTATGAAACCAATAATGACATCCAAAAGGGAAGTCTAGTCAAGCAATTAGTCGATACTAAAAAAGAATTGGAAGGCAATCAGTCATCAGATGTTCCCAACAATGACAAGAAGATTACAAAACAAACCAATAAAGATATCGAGAAATTACGACAAACTATACAATCATTGAGTCAAACGGCCAGTCCTTTAGCAAAGATTCTCGATTATCTTCAGGAAGACATCGATTCCATGCTCTTTGAGCTCAAGTCATGGCGAGAGGAGTATAAAAATAATATGAATTTATTGCAAAAGTCACGAACAACTACTTTGGAGGCTTTAGAACCATTCAAATCGGAACTCAATGTATTAGATGAAGAAATTTTGTTACAAATGGACAAAATTAGTGTAACTAAAGCTAATATCATTAAAAATGATGAAAAATTACAGAAAATGGTTTTAATTATTAATCGATTGTAATTTTTTAATTTTAAATATTTTATTAAATTGTTATTTTTTGTTTAAATTAATATTGTAATAAAAATTGCTAAAATATATAATTATTTATAATTAAAAAAACTATTTTTCAATTAAATAAGTTATTATGCATCATGTATTATTAACAATTGAGCAATTACAAATAATAAAAGAATCTTTAAAAAATAACATTGAAAATTTTAATTTTAAATTGTTAATTAAAGATAAAAATAGTTGAACCAAATAGTTGATACATAATATACACCACACACTAATTAATGGGATTCTTGTTTATAAAATTAATATAATTATAATTATTTTAAAAAGATTTAAAAAGTTAACACTTTTTAATTAATGAATGTATTAATTAAGTGCCGAAACACTGGTGTCCGCGAGTTAACTATTAATAACTATTAATAACTAATTGTTGTCATAAGTGATGTCTAAGTAATATAATTATCAATTATAATTAGTTTTCGTAAAATTTTATTTATAATTGATTTGAATTAAATAAATTATTTTTTAATATTAATTAAAATACTACTAATAAAATTTAGTTAATATTTATAGTTATAATAAATTGTTTCAAAATAACAAATACGTTTCGATAGAACAAAATTAATGTGAAGATCACAGACACAGAAATTTATTTTAGAAACTTTCCAGAAATCTCTCTAACTCTAAGTGTAATTAGAATTTATATATTACTTTGAAATGCTATTATATATATATATATTAAATATAATAATATTAAATTATATATAATATAACATAAAATATTAATTAATTAATAAGTGTAACCTACAGTACATTAATTAGTTGACATTTTTGTAATATCTAGCAAAAACTTATTATGTTTTTATTTATTAAATTAATTGATTATATACCTCAAAACAACTAAAATACAGCAAATAAACTAAACTATATATTAATATAAGATAATAAGATACTATTTAATAATTAATATTTATAATTAAACCAAAAATATAAAAATAATTTTATAAATCTTAGCGAATAATTGTTTTACAAATATTTAGTTCAAAGTTAGATATCACTTAAATTATCATTTATATTCATTCATATTTTAATTTTTCTAAACAAAAATTATTGAATTCATTAAATATCTGTTTTGTGCAACAAAAGCATATAATAATTAAGATAATTTATTAGGATATTATTACAGTATATATATATTGTACTAGTATATACAGCATTACATTAAACAAAACATAAGCTTATATTTAATATAAAGCAAAGATTATTTATGTAATAAAAAACCGTTGAAATAATTTGGGACAATAAGTACATATACACTGAATTTATTTGGGCTAAATTGCTCTAATTATACACAAAATTATTATATTCGACATTAATTTTCAAAAATAATGTTTTATATTAATAAATAAGTTTATTAAAGTTAGAAAAACTAAAAAATACTAATATAAATCACTATCAAAAAGTGAAACATACAATTTTCAAATGTAATTTTTTTGTTATTCAAATTATTAAACAAAATTGACAAATAAATTAACCAAGACAAGATTTTAATTAATTTATTTAACAATTAAATTTCATTCAATTTTATTGTAATTTTATGCATATTATTATTATACTTTATAGTTAATAATTTTATATTATGTCAAAAAAATAAAAAATGAATCTGTGTCATTATAATTATTTTAGCATAACTACAAGATTATATGATATTGTATTATTTGACAGACAGGTCATTATAATATTATAGTAGACAAACAATAGTATAATTGTATACTTTTTCTAAACAATGTATAATTTTTCTAAATATTATAGTTTTGTATTACTGTTCAAGTTTTGTTTAAATTTGATAGAAATTAATTTATAATAAAAATAAGATTTTAAAAATATTTATTATAAGTATTTATAATATATTCATGTCAAATAATTGATCATATAAAATAAATAAATACAGATATTAACATTTTATTAATTAGTCATTAAATACCTACATTATACAACATTAATATATATATAGTTTAAACAATATATTATTGAAAAATATGTATTTAATATTAATATTATGGTTATACTGTCTATTACATGTACAGTACTGTACTGGATTTGTATTTTAGATAATTTAAATTGTTATTAAATTAGATAATTATGTGTATAACAAATAGTGGAATAATTAATTTATAATTATTTAATCTAAAAATTGAATAATAATAATGAAATTAAGTTAAAATGAATAAAATATTGAATAAATAAAATTCCAATTTTAGAAGCTCTTCAAAAATTACACAAATTTTTATAATAGTTTATTACCTTTTATAGGTTACTATATATATATATAATATCGATAAGTTTATGCCTTCAGTGTAAAAGATATTTATCATATTTGAGCTGATTTTATGAATTAACATTGGATTGCATTGTTTGCTAAAATACAGTATAATATAATGTAAACCCATTTTCATACAGTCATCGTGTGATTATCTAAACCCAAATATTTATAAACTGATCGACACGTATTGTCACAATTACATCAAATAGTTTAATATTATATTTATAAATAAGTGATAATATTGTGGATAATAATGGTTAAAAAGAGGCAGCAAATCAAATGCATTGAAATGCCATAAATAGATAACATTGAATGTGTATTATATATACTATAGACTACTCGTGTGAATACTTAAACTCAATTTTTTCATAAGCATTCAAAACTTAAGTTTGAATTCACACATCAAAAACTATTTGAATTAAATATTCATAAAAATCTAAATTTATAATAAAAAAATTAAATACATGTCATTTATGTTGATTATAAATTAATATTTAATAATAAATTTTCGATTAATTTTGACCTATTTTTATATTTTATATTATTTTTTATGCATTTATTAAATAATATTTACAGGTATTATTTGCTGACATTTTTTTTGTTATTAAACCATAACTTGAGGAATTGATCTCATTTTATGAAATCTAAGACAATCGCCAATAGAGTGAAGTATTGGAGATATTATTTGCTGATAAAAAATTGTAAATAATAGTAATTTACAAAAAATAATATCTTTTAAAAAATACAATTAACAAGAAGTAAGAAATGATAAATAAATAAAATTTCTTATATAATAATAAAAAATTTGTTTTTAATAATTATTTTAAAAATAAGTTTTTATCAATTAAATTTTTTATACCTTTAGATATTTAACAAATTATTATTAGAAACAAAAACAAAATATTTTTTCATCGTTTCATTCAAAGTAGTCGTTAACTAAAATAAAGTTTTGCATAAAATAATAATTAAATCTAAGTATTATTAATATTAATGAAAACAACTCTTTTTTATTAATATAATTAATAAATACCGTTAAAATTCCATCCAATATGATGTCCGGCTAATTGTTTGTCTAAAAATTGCTGTAAAGGTTTAAAATAGTCGAGCATTGGTTTAATATCTATTCGTTGATTTCCGGTTAACATTTGTAGTTGTTTTGGCCATTTAACTGAAGATCCCAAAGTTAACACTTGTCTACAGTATATCATAGTATTGGTTACAATAGTTAGTAATTTTAAAATGAAATAATGTATATATTTTTAGTGAAATATATACTTCAACTTATTTCCGGCCTCTTTGTCGCCATCGATATCACATTCATAGAGCGGAACATCTTTTTGACCAAAACTGCAGAGGGCTTTATGTATTTGAAATTGAAGTATAATTGATACAAAATATCTATATTTAGTAGTAATTAATATATTTATTAGATATGTTAATACATTTGCTTTTTGGTATAATCTGTACCTAATATACTCGACACCATTTGCGATGTGATATTTAGCTCCGGCATCGAAGTGACGTTCACTTCTTCTAACAGGTGGTGATATACCCTGATATTGTCCCCTTAATTGCCACCAATATTTATTGAGGTAATTATTTGGGATCTTTCCTGAAAAGACATCCCAACGATATTTATCCATAATATAAGCAAATGGCAAAAGTGGTATTTTATCCAAAGCCATCTGTAATTGATGTTTAATAATAACTTTATTCATATCAATTGAATTATTTAAATGAAATAATTTTATTTTGTTGAGATGTTTAGGTGTCGATACAGAGAGAGCCAAAACATCACCAATTGCTTCGTGAAAACCTAAATATAGATAATTAGAAAAGTCTATAATAAGAAATAAATCGGTCTAAAGGGTTGTGCGATAAGAACCGGGATTAGCGGCTTCACGAAAGACTATAGGCTGATGACTATATAACATAAAGTACTGGATGTGACCCATTTCGTGATGTATTTTCACAAAGTTATCCATATCTGTTTGAGTGCACTGTTTGATTCTGGTATAAGGTTTTTGTTTTTGTTTTTTTAATTATAATTTGCAAATTAATGTAACGTTTATTGAATGCTAATATCAATAACTATTTGTAAACATACCTGAAGTCATCTGTGTTATAGAAATCCCAGGCAGACGCGTGACTGACAATAAACTTAATTAATATTATTTTCAAATTATTTATTACCAAACTATTTGTTTTGTCTTTTGTTTAACTTTTTTAATTAAATTTTTAAAAATCACTTGAAGACCATAAAGTAATTAAAGTATAATAATAAAAGTTGTCATCGCTTAAAGATATTCAATTTGTAATATATTTGCAAACTTATAAAATTTTATATTATGTTGTATAAATATTAACAACATTTTAAATGTCAATATACTAGTATAATATAAAAATGCTCACTTTTATAATTATTATAATAATTGTTAATATAAAACATATAATTCTAATAGGTTATAATTTTTGGTGTTAAATGTAAACAATTGTTAAATATAATAAAATTAAACTAATAATTTTACTTTATATATAATAATTTCCATTATAAATCCCAATGATAATTGCTAGACAAACATTTTGGATAATTTGCAAATCTTTGTGTTGAATGAGCTAATAACTGAATTAAATATTATTTTATATTTTTTTATTAGAATTTTCAAAATATATAATATAGTCCACTAAAAATCAGAAAGTGATGTTTGTAAAAATATTTAACATAAGTTTAGCTTATAATAACTATTATATGTATATAAAAATATAACTTTAAATACTACTATATTATTAATTAAATTTTTAAATTTTTCCATTGATTCATTCGAATACTGAAAGTATTGTTTTACTATTTTTTTATTTTTTCTATAAAAATTAATATTATTTAATATATCTGTATATACTTTACATACTATTAATATATGATAGCAAGTCATATACAGAGTAGTATATTCTGTATATACTATATGACTTGTTATTATATAGTATTTATAATATTTAACAATATTATAATTTTTACTTTTTTAAAATAAATAATTTTTTAAGTAGTGCTAATGGGTTATATATTAAATGTGATTACCAGTAATATCCAGTAATTAACTTATTAAATATTATGTTATATAAACTCTAAAATATGCAGTTACTATACAGGTATATAGATTATTAAAAATATTATTTCAATAAAAATATGTTAAAAGTAGTGAAAATAAAATAACTTTATGTAATAGTAGTGTTTGAGGCAAAATAATTAAATGAGAAAATACTAGATTTCATTTAACAAATTAATATTTTTAAAACTTATTAAGAAATTCAAACTTATTAATTAGTTTTCAAGTTGTTAAGTGTTTTTAAAACAGCCAAATATTCTTTATGTTATATTATTTAAATATAAAAATAAAATTTTATAAATTTGTATTAATAATAATTTTATAAACTTTTAATTACCAAACCATTTGTGATCTATTTTTTGGTTTTTCAAAAACTGAATTTTTCCAAAACTTGTCAGTCATTGGATATAATCCTAGATTATAGAGGAATTGATTTGAAAGATCAAACATTTGCCTTGAAGTGTAATTCTGATTGAAAATACAAAACAAATAAATGTGTTAAGAAATTGAATTGAATGTATGTTTCAAATGATTAGGTATAAGCAACTTGTCTTTTGAGAGCAATGGTCACATCGATTGTTTGGATTTGAGGATAAGGATCAACGCCTTTAACTGTTTTCATTGTATGAGTCCATTGTTGAGCCCACATATTGCCCAACAAATGTGCGGGAATTGTCAGGTCATTTGACAATTTCCCGGCCATTGATTCATTTAATTTGATTCTAACGTATGCGTGAAGTTTGCAATAAAATGGCATTAATTGTAACAATAGTTTGTGTATCTGTTCTTTAATATCAGGCGTTTCCCATTGAAATAACCAGAGATCAGCTAATGTTTCAAACTCTATATCAATTATTTTAAAAACAAAACTTTAATAAAAAAATTAATTAAACGATTTATTATGCTTTTAAAAGTTTTATGTTTATTATGTAATATAACAAATATAACTAAAAACAAACAAAAGCAACAATTACTTTGATTTGGTAGTTCATTAAGTTTTGCCGCTTTATTACCCAAACTATAATATGTTATAAATTTGTCTCTCATTTGTTTACCCGAAACTTCTCTCCACTTAACCCACGCCTCTAATAGCTCTGAATTATTGTCAGAAGTGGCCATTATTTGTACTAAATCTTTGTTTTTATCATTTAAAACATTATATATTTTTAAATATATTCAAATACAGCACAAACATTAAAAATTTAAATTAAAGTACCTGGCTCCAATTCTAATCCACATTTATTTTGAATACACACGTTAGCTGTACTATAAATTGTTTGCATTTCATTTAAAACTTTAAAAAACTGATAATAATAATGTTTTTTCATAATTAATTTATCATTATTTGAATATATATAGTGAGGTCACCTTAAGTGCTGTTTGACCCTTCAATATAGCGGTTCCAATAACTGATACTTTTTCTAACTGTCTGCGAGTATAGTCATCAATGTTAGTCCAATCAAAGCTTTTTGCTTCAATAGATTGTTGTCTTTTAAATTCATTAAATACTTGACTTGCATTGAGCTTAAAATAAAATGCATTTATTTTTTAATTATATGATTTAGATAAAAATAATTAAATCAAACTTTATCTAAATGTTTCTAATTTAATTTTCACTTTTGTAACACTATAAAATTTATAAACATTTTTTATAAATATATAATGTATATACAGATATATTTATCAATTAATTAAATGATATCATTATATCTAATTGTGTTTAAAATTTTATTGTTATTTTTTTATTATGACTATTTAAGCTAAAAATATAAATTGTATATAATATGTGTATTTTTATTGTTTAATACAAAACATTCATTTATATAGATTAATCTAATAATTGATTAAGCTTAACTTAATGCTAATCAAATTATTAATGATGTGTCTAAATATAAATAAATGATAAGCTTGTATAACATAATAATAAATATTGTTAATATACTGTACGAAAATATAATATTAAAAATTAAAAACTATTAGAAAAACAATCATAATTTATAAAAAAAATAGACACTAAAAATGTTTATACACTTTATATTGTTAATATACTGTAGTAATTGTATTTCAATGAAATATTAAAGTATGTCTTACGAGTTGATCCCTATTTTCTTGTGTTATATGCGTTGAATAAGACCATTGAGTGATCGCAAAATAATAGCATTGTTTTGAAGCCAACATATTATGTCTCTTAAGAAACTTTTTCAAAAAAAAGTCAATTTAATATGTTTTAAAAATTATTTAACAAAAGCCATTCAATTCATTTAAGGCATTGTTTATTCAATAGTCTCACTTCAATAGCTTTAAATAATATATTTTCTATTATTTATTACAGTATATTTACTAAAATAAAAATTTTAAAAAGCTTTAATTTTCCTATTAATAAAATATATAATTCAATTTTATTTATTTTATGTATTTAATGTATTTAAACTAAACTTTTTATTTTATTTCATATTTATTTATTTAATACAAATATAAAGTAACTTAATTAAATTAAAATAAAAAAGTAAAATTTATTGAATATCAAAGTTTAAATTATTAAATATATTGTTTTTAATAACATGTTATAGCAAATTATATTTTATTGCTTTAAAATAATTATAAACCTAAATAAAATATGATATATCATTATTTTTTTAAAAACAAAATATAATTATTTTATTTAAGTTATTTTAAAATAATATATTATTTTTTGAAAATAAAGTATTATAAATATTGATATAATATATAGTAAACAGTATTATATATAATTTAATTTCAGTATATAATAGTTAAGATTAAATTGTCTTACATTTTGCACCATTGCTTTATCGTTATTTGATTTGTTAATATATTTGTTAAATAATAACTTTACTAATTGTCTATTTAACTCATTTGGTTTTACTGTTAATGTATTGTTAAATAAAATGTATGAAAAACTAGCAATAATAATATTAATTAATAAAATTTTCATTATTTCGACACTAAATTTATACTTTCAAACTTGAAAAATTTTATAAAATTAATGAGATAACTAAACTAAATTATCACAACAATGATATAAGATTAAATATTTAAGATGACTTTGATTATATACAATTTGTTAGTAATATTGTTGATGCGAACGTGTCTAATGTTGAGATAAATAGATTATAAAATAATAGTTTTATTGGACACTTCAAGTGTGGTATTATAAGTGTGGGATTTTGTAATTTTAATAAATATGAGTTTCATATAATGTTATACATTATATGAAACTTTGTGTGGTATCGCATTGAGTGGTTTACATTTGCTCTATAGGTAGTGTTGGCAAAAAAGAAAGATTTCTAGAAAGTTTCTAAAAGAAATTTCTGTCTATAGGATACCCATGTTAATTTTGTCCTCTCGATATTAGTTATCTGGTTACAATATATTATAATTACAATAATAATTAAATATTATTATTGATATTTAAATTAACAATTAAAACAAAAAAAATAATTTATTTAATTACATTAAACTTAAAATATAATAAAATAATGAATAAAATTTTTACAATAACTATAATTAATTATTTTATATATAGGGATCTAATTTGTATAGTAGAGTTGTGTATAATACTTTAATTACATTATATTATGTCTCACAAATATAGTATTACAATAGCTATATGTATTGGGATCCTATAGTATAATAATAAAGTAAAATTTCTATAGGAATTTATTATTGAGAAATTTCTTTTTGTCCATCTCTATTTGTAAGTCGGAAAATCTAATATTTATTTAAGTATTTTTGGCAAAACAACGATAATTTATTTACATTTTTTTTTAATAGTCAATCAAATTATGTAATATAATAATAAAATATTATAATAAAAAATAAATAAAATTTAAAAATCTCATTAAAATAAATTTAATAATTTAAAAAACGATTTATTAATTTTCTCAGAAGAAAATATAAATTTACAATAATATTATGATAATTATAACTGGTTTTAAAATATAATTATTTTCATTATATTTTTTAAACAAATTCTATGTTGTTTGAAATGCAATTAAAATTTTCTAATATTTCAATAGACTTGTAAATAACCAAAAAAATAAATAAATTAAATAAATGAATTTTAATTTACTGTAATAATTGACATTGAATATAAAATTGAATGACAATAACGTATTGTCATTTTTGGTAAATGTAATATATTTTTGACTGAAAACTTTTGTTTAATATATAACAATTGAATTGCATGTATATTATTGATATAAACTATGTGTCAGGTCTAGTATATCTAAGATATTGTGGTTAGAAATAGCAAATAAGTGAAGCAAAACATTGCTTTTATTGTTTCGTTTTTTTGAATGTAAATTTTGAATCATCTCAACGTTATATAATACAGTATTATATAAATCCTGTATTTTAATAAACAATAAATAGACAATATATTTCATAACAAATGAAAGTGTCGGATGAAATTACAGGAAATGTCGGGATAGTTGTGATTCATTGAAGAGACAGTATAGCACATTATACATACCTGTGCTAATTCAAACAGTCAAACTGGTTATTACATGAAATTGTCTCGTCTAAAGTTTGATAAAAAATTATTATATAAATTAAAGCATTTTTCAATTTTATTTAATTATTTAATTTTCTTATGAATAAAAGTGACTTAAATTTTAAAAATCGCAATCATATGATTAAAAACGTAAGTAATAGTCAACATAATAATACTAATTTAATCTAAAAACATTTGTAATATTCACATAATTTGCATCAATTTATTTATATTTAGCCAAAATTATTTTGATATTAAGTAAAGAGACCATCTGTTAGACATCTGTTGTATTACATATTCTTAGGCCAATAGCTTAAGGTGTGTGAAAAAGATATATTTAAAGCACAAACATAGGTATATACAGGTATATACTGTATACAGACAGGTATATACAATGTATAGATATGTTGGTTGTGCCCCACAGTCCACAGTCTCTGAGTAGACAGTATTAAACCATCAGAAGCTTGAATGGAGTCTATGGTGCGAAACCCCTCCATTTGTCTTCATTTTTGCCATACATGCTATTAAACAATATAATACATAATATGCTCTTCACTTTAGCTCCACTTACATGTAATGCAATGAAAATAAAGTTTAAATATAAATATATAAAAATACATATTATAATACTGTTTATTATTATTGAATGAAAAAACATAAAAATAATGCACAACTGTTTATGAAAAAAATTAATATAATGTCCCGAAGCTATCTATTATTGTTATTATTACTTAATATTTATAAACTTGGGTTATTGTAAATAGTCTTCAATTTTTTAGTGGTTTGGTTGGTTAAAGCATAAGTAGTTTGTTGTTTGTGTGTTGAAAGATATATAAATATACAATAAATATAAACAATAAGTTGGAAATGCTATACAAAATAAAATTTAAAACATTTCTATTGTGAATAATGTGCATTAAAATATTAGATGTTATAATGTTGAACATGTAGATATTTCTTTGAAATATTCCAGGAAACATTTATATAATTTATTATAAAATTTTATAAGTAAATGATTTACAAATGTATTAACAATTGTATGATTTAAATTTAATTGTGAATAAGCTTAATCTAAAATGAAATATTAATAAATATATCATATAAATGATAACTAAAAAACTGTGAATTCTTATGTAAAAATATTATTTAAGAATTTGTGTTAATTACATTGTAGGATTAAAAAATAATTTTAATTTTATTATAATTAAAATCTTTTGGTTTTTATAAAACATAACATTTAAATTTTATTATTAAAAAGATTAATAATAAAAATTACTATAATAACTTTGAAGTGTTTTTTTAAATATCTATATAAATCAATTTTTAAAAGATTTATTTTTAATAGATTACAAATAGTTAATTAATATTGTTATTTTGTATTATTTTAATTTGATTATTTATTATGGAAATTTAGTAGATAGAAACTTACTAATAAAATTTGTTTAAAAATTTCTCGTATAATTTAAGAAAATTTCTTTTTTATTCAACACTTTGTTACTAACTATTATGAATACAAGTCAGTGACCATTAATTAACAATTATAGTGTCGGCCAATCCTTTCAATGAGTAGTTATCGTAAGTTAAAGCTTTGAGATATATAACTCGGAAGCGAAACCTATGCACTACTTTATGGTAGAGTTGATAGAGTAGTAACTGAGATGTGGGTGGAGTACAGTTAGCACAGGTAGCACTTCCATCAAAATTCAATTGAGACTAATGTCTCTTAAATTCAAATTAAAACTTTTTTTAAATATTATTTCTCAATGAATGGTCCAGTTTTTCTCATATATTATACATTTTTATAATTTATGAATTTATTCGTAAATATTTTGTTGACTTTCTCATTGAAAGTAATATTGTTTTCCTAAAATATATAATGTTATTGTTATGTTATATAATGATAAATATAAAAAGTTTTGTATACTAAATGTGTAAAATTTTTATTATAATCTTTTATATCAATGCAAAATTGAATTGTTTCACAAATTATAGCCTTATGAAACCATTATATTTAAAACTATTTCTCAGTTTATTATTTAAAATTTAGTGTTTTATTTAAATTTTAAACCAAATTATTTAAATAAAAGCCTCGCCTAATAGTGAACTGATGAACTATATTCATACAATTTAATAATATTAATTTTAATAGACTATTAATTTTTAAAGTTGTTATTTCAGTAATTAACTCAAATTAATAAATAATATAAGTTACTTATTTTAAGTTATTTATATAATATTTGTGAAACTTTGGTTAATAGACAATTAGTAATTTAATTTGATTATATTTGTGCATTAAAATTACATTAAGTATGACATAATGTGTGAGAAATGTATGTTATTTTGGTGTCTCTAACAGTGTCTATCTATCGGCAAATATTCAGCAAATATAATGTCCCTAATGTTAGTCTCTGATGGGGACGTCTTTTGAATGTAATAATCATGAAAAGTGTCGTGACTTGCAGGCGGTCCTATCAATATGTATAGCATATGTGCGTATAATATACTGTATATCAAGTTTAGTGTTGTCAATGCATATACCTGTGTGTATACCTGTATGGTTTGTATTGAAAACTGGTATCCAAGCAGATCCAGGCAATATAATAGTGTAGCAGTAATGCAAGTGTAGGGTCGGTCCCACTCGCTATACGTGAACGGATGCTCTCAATAAAAGCAATTTTTGCATTGACTTCACATATCGTGTGAAGAGTGCAGTGGAAAGCAAAATAAAATCTCAAATGAATGCCTTCAATGGTCTGTAATCTCATATGTATTGCCTTATATTCACTTCAATATTACAGTGCTATGTCTATGAAGTGAGTGTTTCTCACAATATATTCAATGTATTTGAAAGCAGTGGTATGACAGCCATACAAACATTGAGACCAATGCCCACATTAGACTCATGGGAATTGAAATCACTTTCTTAATTCAACAAAATGTTTTTCTCATCTATTATATCATAATATTGTGTTTAATAGCAAATTGCAGTCAACAATGAATTTTAAATCAATATATTTATTAATTTCATTGAAAATATTATTAGTGTTGTCATCAAATCAAGATAACCTGTGCTTTCTATCACATGGAGGTTCATCCGAAACATTCACTGTTAATGAAGGATTACCAGTCAATAGTATTATCGGAACTATTAAAGTAAGTTTTCATTTTAATATTTTAATTGTATAATTTCATTATGAAAATTTAAATTGTATTTCATGAGGCAATGTTATATTTAAAAAATTATAATCCAGTTAATTTTTCAAATAAACAAATACATATCAATTAAACCAAAATTAAAAGTTTTTCTCACCTAACGAAGCGTTTAATTAAGTTTCAAACAATTGTTTGATTAATATATATAAAAAAAACTTTAATTATAAGTAACACTATAAAATGATTTATTTTTTAGATCTAATTAAAACAATAATTAATTAACAAAACATTGACACAACTTTCTATAAGCCAAACATTAAGTCAATGACATATTGTTCAGTCAGTGTTTGTTGGCTTTTATTAACTAATCGATAAATTGATATGAAGGAGCATGGTCGTTTTTAATATAATTATAATATATAACATATAATATTAAATTATAGAAATCTTATTTTAGTGCTCTAATTTTTTAATATAAATTTTTATTTATCGATTTTAATTAAGTTAGCAAATTTTAATTTATTTTAAAAATATAATATACCATTTATTTGAATGATTTCAAACCCATATTAACTGATATGTATGCAAACATAAGTTATATTTGATAATATTATACGTATTAATACATAACAAATATTGTTTTGAAAGCAGTCATTCGCTTAAATGAATTATGAATTTATTTTAAATATTTTTTCCTCAAAAAAACATTTATTTTTTTACTATTAATTTATTTCAACATAAATGGCACAAGTGTTGTGCAAAAATTGTTTAAATTAATATAATAATTTTTATTAATTTCAAGTTGGTTTAAAACAAAAATTTTGGTTTTTTTATTATATTATTAATAATAATAATTTTTTTTTCATAATAAACAAATAAACTTATTTTCTCAGTTGTGTGATATTGTTATTTCTTTTGTCAGATAAATTAATGTTAGAATATTATCATAAAATAATTAATGAATTTAATTGTTAAAAAATATATAAGCATTTGAAAAGTCAAAGCATTCAATTAAAAAGTTCATACAATTTCAGTAGCATTTCATAAATTATGTGAAAATTGTATAAATTAAAAGTAATAAAAATTTGATAAGTGTTTCTTTCACATCATATAAAAATGCTATATTTTCATAATAAGCGTCTTATTATATATCACTTTAAAAATACTAAAATGTATTATCAAACAAAGAGGATCTATAGTTTATAATGTAATATAAAAAAATTTGTGGCCTTATTATTGGCAAATAAAAAGTTTCTCATCAATGCTTTATGTTTAGCATTGCATTACATGATAGATATATTTTAAAATATTATGTAGTTTTAAGTCACGAATTGCTATATAGAATTGATTTAAGATAAAAGTTTAATAAAATGCTTTTAGAAGTGTTATATATCTCTAACATTAAACAGTATTTAAGATTAAAATCAATCAAAAGAAAAACTGCTAAAAATAGTAAAAAATCAGAGCATAAATATGTTATATAATATTATAACTATTGTAGTAAATCTGCGACAACACATTTAAGGCTTTATTTTGCTAAACATTAAATGAATTCATAAATTATGCAAAATTACAATTGAATTACTTATTATATGTTTAGGTAATTTGACAACAATCATGTGGTTCAACGACTTATTTAATATTAAATTATTAAATAAATGTTTAACGAATAGATTATGAGTTAAGTTTGACTAAAAAAATAGTTTTGACATTCAAATTGCTAGCATTCAAGCATAACTTGTTTGGATAACAAAGTATAATATTTTAACTATAAGTAAAAAATAATTTTCTCAGAGAAGTCCCAATAACATAGAAATTATATTTGGATAAGCTTTCAAATCAATTACTTTTTCTAAACAATTGTTAATATAATGTACTATTAATGTTATAAAAGTTATTAATTATTTTGTAAGATAATATCATAAATAAAATATTTATAAATATATATTTGATTAATATTAACTTTGCAAAAATAATAGGTTATTGGCAACGCATCTATTGAAGGAGATATTGAATTATCTTTAGCTTCAGAGCAGTCTTCAAGTCGATGGCCGACCATTTCTGACGTCCCAATTAAGATAGCCGAAGGAACTAAAGATCTTATACTCATTAAAAAGTTAGACAAAGAAGGAGTAGAAGGGGAACAAAGTGTCATAATTGGAGTAAAATGTAAAAAAAGGCATTCAAGGGATCAGTCAATTATAATACCAATACGTATACTAATAACTGATGCAAACGATAATAAGCCCGAATGGATAGGTCTGCCATATGTCGTCAACATTAGTGAAGTAACTGCAGTCGGAAGTGTAGTCATGCAAAACATCAGAGCCATAGATAACGACCAATTGGGTCCCTTTTCGACGGTTGAGTATTATGTAGAGTCGGGCCCTTTCTCTCATTTGGTTCGCTTTATCAGTCAACTCGAAGGCACTCTCATATTGAGCGCACCCCTCGATTATGAGACACTTCCAAAATTTTGGGTTACTATTAGAGCTCAGGATAGAGGATATCCGCCTCTTAGTGCCACCACTACAGTGACGGTCAATATTATAGATTCGGATGATCAAAATCCACGCTTTGTTGACGACAAATACTCTGCTACACTACCTGACCAACAAAGAGCCGGTGAACAACTTGTGATATCTCCCCGTCCTATCAAAGCCGAAGATCCCGATAAAGGGATCCGTTCACCGATTATATACTCATTTAATTCAGAATCTAAAGAGAACTCGTATTTCTTAATCGATTCCAAGTTTGGAGACGTGACTCTCAAAAAACCACTGATCCCTGCTTTGAGTCTTCCATTAACTTTAGTGATTAGAGCCACACAAGTAGATAATCGGGACAGATATGCCTTAACGACACTTACTATACTTAATAGAAGACAATTAGTATTGCCTGACATCAGATTTGTTCAGTCAAACTATAGTACATCACTTCTTGAAAGTACACCTCCCGGTCAAGTAGTTCTCACTGTTCACACCTCCCGATCATTACAATTAAATGGCGATAAAATATCAATGAGTGGTATTGAGTTTCAAATACTTGATGACGAAGAACAACATTTCGGGGTTAAAAATACTGGAGAAGTAATTCTTGTGAAATCATTAGACTATGAAAAACATAAATATTACTCATTTAGAGTTATGGTATCTGATGGTCGACAAAGTGATGTGACCCGCATAACAGTTCAAGTGTTAAATGTCAACGAACACGACCCGGTGCTCTCACAAAACAATTATGTGTTTCATGTTTCAGAGTCCAGACTTAGGAACAACTCAATGATCGGTGAAATTCATGCCACCGATACAGATGATGGCGATATTATACAGCTATCACTGAAAGGTCCGCATTCGAGTATGTTCTCCATCAACAGTGAGGGTCGACTTAGGGTTAAAAACCTTAAGAATTTGAATACAACTGAATGTCACCTAATAGTTATGGCCACCGATAGTGGAACTCCTCCACGAAGTGCCAGTGCATCAGTTTTAGTACATTTTTCACCACAAATTCTTAAAAACTTTGGTCGAAATATAGATTTTGACCAAACTTTGCCTGCAATTGATGTCAATTTGTTGAGTGAATCTTCATTTTTCAGTCCATCCAGTTCTTCAGCCATTATTTTAGTTATAGTTTTAGGAGTATTATTGGGAACTCTTTTCATAATAATAATTGCACTGACATTACATGTGCTAAAACATCGCAAATATGTGTCGTCCAGCGGTTCACTGCATTCAACTTATACTTCATCCGTAACTCATAACCACAATTCGATGTCAAGTGATAACTCTCGTCGAAATATTTCATCATTAGGTTCGCTGAAGAACAATAAAGTCGGAGCTTTACCTCAATCGACAATCAATTCAAGTTTGGCATCAATTGGCACCAGAGGTGTTGAGAATCCTATATTCAATATGCCGTCCAATAGAACAACAACTATAACCAGAATAGAAGCCGACTCTGCAGTTGTGAGCGACGCGTCCTCTAATGAGACAATTATATCAACGGGTGACAGAACTGATCTGATCCGTAATATTCCCAGTCCTCTAAGTTCTAATAGTCCGCCCCCACCGCCCAATATGACGGGCACTGCGTCCAGAATTAGTGTAATCAAATGGCCGCAGGGATCAATTCCCAGAAGGGTTAAGAAATTGACATGGGAAGATGAACGAGATCACCATCTCGACAACCATTATGATCCTCATTATTCTTCATCAATAGCAATCAGACCAAATAGTGTTGACAACAATGACAGCAACAATGCAGTGTATCGACAGACAGAACTGGATCCGGATGTCAGTGTTATTCCTCTGAGACGAACACTTCATAGCAGTGCCTCAGGTCTTCCAGATCTGACTGTTTACTTCTGACCCAATTTATGTGATATTTAAACTTAATTTATGATATAATATAATATCATTTTATACTTTTCCAACTCAAAGAAATACATTTCAAAGATAAATTAGTTTACATTGACATTGGTTTATGAGATTTTATTACTTAATGCACACATTTTTCGGTTATTAGACAAACTAATGTTAAATGATATATAATAAGCAGTCAAAACCAATTTATTTTGTTTATATAAAATCATAAAATTGGAAATATTTTATTACTCGATTCAACTTTGTTTTAAATTATTTAATAACATATAATTTAAAGTTAAAATAGATCTTTCAGTATAGTGTTAGGATTTACGTCCAAAATAATTATAAAAAGTACATACAGTATCATATAAATTGCATTATTCTTTACACAATAAGTTAATCTTTAGAAATTACAAAATAAAAAAGATTTTTAGTACTTAAGTATAATTTTCTGATACATTAAAACTAATAATAAATTAAGTGTTTTTTGCTGACCTTCAAAAAAAACTTCCGAAAATTATATCCCAGTTTTGTTGACGTATTCAACAATATGTAAAAATATAAATGGATAATGAGTTAGGCATTTGTTAGAAACATTTAAACGTTTAATATATAGTATATTTAATACTTCAAAATCTTTTATAATACCTGGTCTAATGCAATGACATATATAATAAAACATAATAATTATATATAAATAGAAACTCAAAGCAATTATATGAATGCATTTTCATCACGAGTTAAGCAATCCTTTATCGCTTCTTCATCTTAATAATGTTGTAATCATAACAACAATATGTAAATTATATACAAAAAATATAAGCATTAATTTTTTTTGTTAACTTAACAATCATATTATTTAGTAATTTTATTAAATTACAACTAAGCTTTTATATATTTTTATTGTAAAAATATAAATGTGATACAAAATATTTTTATGTACTTCTTATATATTATACATAAGTTTAACAAATATATTGATAAGTATTTATGATATTATCAATGCGTTTATCGCTTAACAATAAATCCATCATTTCTACAAATTTTCTGTATATAACTAGTCATTACACGAGTTTATAAATATTTAAAATCAATAGAATTATATTATTAGTTGTTTATAAAATTTATAAAATAGCCAAAAAAGTTTTAGAAATAAAATTTTATTAAATAACTATAATTTTTTAACATTTACAAAAACAAATATGTAAATAATTTTATATTTTATTTGTATAGGTAATTAATTTTGTATTTGTAAAACATTTTTTTGTAAAAAATTATATAAATTTTTGTATTTTAAAATATAATAAATTTTGTATAAATTCAAAACATAATAATATTGTAAATTTATTTTACTATTTATAACAAAAATATAATCTAAATGTGTTTTGAAGATTTTTTTCCAAATATATTTAATAAGTGCAAGAATCTCTTCCGTGAATTATGTTTTAAGAAAAATTAAATTTTTCTTTAATTTAAAGTAAATTATTTTAGAATAATACCTTAAAAATTATGAGAAATTTTCTATAAAAGATTTCCAGGAAATATGGAAAAAATTTAAGACTCTATGGATTACATAAATTGTTGATTACATATGTCTGTGGTTTGACCTCAGATGAAATTGTCTTCACATATGAAATATAGTAGAAATACAATTGTTTTTAAATTTGTGCCGTATATATGATTTTCTTCACCCATTTATAAGTTATATTAATTTGTTTACTCATCCATAGACTCAATCATTACATAGACTTCAATTGTTGAGAGTGAGAGAACTACTCTTAAAATTAATAAAAAATATATTTATAATAAAAGTATCTATATTTATATAAAAACTACAATTAAGTGTTATATATATATGAAATAATATTAAGAGGAAGTTATTGTATTAAAAGTTTAGACTTCTTTAGATAAGTCCGAAAATCATTTGCTTCTGTATATGAAAACGTGAGAAGTGCTGCCTTTTGTTAAAAACAAATGATTTTTTTTGTTAATATAATACTAAAAATAATATATATTTTTATCAAAATATTGTTGCATCAGATTTATGTTTGATATTTTCATAATAATAGTGTTTTTTAAAGAGATAGTAAAAAGTGGGAGGAAAGGGATATTGTCTATGGATTTTGATTGTGACTTTATTTTGAATTGAATTTACTTATCAAATACTGAATCAATGGGTTGAATGAGTTGAACGGCATTTTTTAGGTTATACGTGAGCTAAACTACAATATATTACATAAAATTTTATATAATTTATTGATATTTTATATATATATATATCTGTATAGATATTTGTGTAGTATATTATAGTATGTGTGTTAAACATAACTTTTATATAAAAAGTATATAGAGAGTTAAGTTTAAATAATCAGTACTAATAATAATAGTAATAATAAGAGATAAATTCATTTAAATCAGAGTTATCACGAAATGGACAATATATATATATATTTAGTAAAGCTATATATATATATATATATAAGTGTTTATGAATGTTTGTGTATTAGGCACCTATAGACAGTTAACATGAGCAGACATAACAGTGCGATATCAATAGCATATAAGTTGTTCAACACGATTATGTATTACCATTTAAATGGGTCAGCAATAAAACGAATTGCTTGTAACTAAACAATACACTATCAAATCAATTCATCACTTAATGAGAAAAATAGTGGCATTTAATGCTTTTATACAATTATTGTGTTAACTAAACCTCTATATTAATTCATATACTGTACATATTTGGTCGGTTGTGTATATTTTACAGGTTAAAGGTTTTGATTATTTTTATAATATTTGAGAAAAATATTTTCTAACTTTGTTGAATTTCATGCATTCCTATAATAGTTATTGAGACTAATGTTTTTTATTTTAAATAATATATTTATTTAGCAAATTATGATTTATTGTTCAATTAGATAGTAAGCAAACCTAATCCTAAGGCAATTTCTAAAAATTTCAATAATTTTTATTTTCATTTCTCGTATTTTATTTTTGATTACACGTTTGAGATCTAAACTTTATTTTAATGATTATAAATGAATACATTATTAAAATATCTCAAAAATACTTTAAATTATAATGAAGGACATAAATGAGACTTTTATTTGCTAATAAACTAGAGTTCGGCAAATAGAAAATATCTAATAAATTTCACTAAGAAAATTCTAGAAAGTTTCTCAGAAATAAATTTCTATACAAGTAATACTTTATTGGTATACTATGGAATCCCCCATATAAAGTTATTGTAATACTGTAGTATTGTAAATGTACATATTTGTAAATGTAATTATACAATTAGGATCTTTATATTTAAAATTAATAAAATAATGTTATTATACTTAGTTATTATAAAATTTGTTTAATAATTTTATTATTTTTTATTAATTGAATAATTTTGAATAGTAATTAAAATATTTATAATAATATTTTGTTATTATTAATAATTATAATATAACAAAAATTGAGATAAAACAAGATTAACAAATAGACAGAAATTTCTCAATTATTTTAGAAATTTTTCTTTTTTTAACACTAACTTATAATAAACATATATTAATAACTATTTATTATTATTCAATATATTAAAATGTAATGTAAGATATTTTTTAATATATTGGTAATTACATACAATGTACTGTACAATTTAAGTTTATATTATTGATATTAACTAAATTACTAAGGTTTTATTAGTTGTATTGTAAGCAATAGTTTTTAAAATAATATTTACATAGATTATTGCTATTTAAACACTTAAATCTAATATGAATAATCAATCAATAATTACACTTAAAATGTTATAATGTTATTATTAATATTAACTATAATATAAAATTAGATATATATATTTAAAATCAACATTTTTGATAAAATTTTTATTATTACTAAATAATAAACATTATTTTTATAATAAACTTAATTACATTAAAATAAACAGAAAATATTATAAAACAAGTTTAAAAAAAAAAATTATTAACCACTAAATTATTTGTATTATTGTAGAAAATAGTATATCCTATAAAATATTATGCTATAAAATTATGAGGTAATATCTATTTATATTTATTCTACAATATAGTTATTTATAAATTAAAATTTAAATATTAAAAACAAATATTTTTTATTTTATTATTGGTATTCTAATAATAATGATTATTATGAATATTAAATTTAAATTTATTTACAAAAAAGAATCCAAAAAAGAGAAACAATTTAATTTAAAATTCAAATGAATTCAATTCAAGCTTAGATTTAATCTCATTTGAGGTTAATTTCAATTTATATTTTGATAAATGTTAAATTATTTTGGTTTGATGTCCTGCATTATTGTTATAATATTCAATATAACAATTAAATATAAATTGATGTAATAATTGCTTCTTAATATTTATGTATAAACTAAATCACAATAAAAGTTTGAGTCAATTCAAATATTGAATATAAATTCAAATTTTGACAATATATTTAAATAATAATTATATATATTTTAAATATATAAAAAGTACAGTATATGCTCCGTTTATTTTAAATTGTTAAACCGAATTGTTTATAATGATAAAAAAATAATATAATATAAATATAAGTCTTATTTAAAATATAAATTCATTATATTGTATTAAATCATGTTTTCGTGTCTCCAAATGTTTACCATTGACTTCTTCACATAAGTCGTGCTTTCAAAGTCAAGGAAAATAATTTTTTAGCTGAAAATATCATTTCAATTAATATAAATTGTTATATTATTATAAACTTGTTTGTATAATAAAACCTTTTTTCAATAACATTCAAATGTAGTAAAATTAATAAAAACTTAGGTTTCCTTATTTTCATTATATTAATAAACAATTAATTTTTCAAATCTAACAAAGAAAAATAGCTATACGTTTTGCTTTAACCAAAAAATAATCAATCGATTGCTAGATTGCATTAAATTGTTTTTTTTATAAAGTCTCACATAATTAATATAAGAGTTAAAAATAGGTTTTTATACGTTGAGAAAGTTCTCAACGAAATAATTAGAAATTAATGTATAATAAAAATATTTTAAACATAATTAGAAAATTTATAATTTTATTGAAAAACTATTATAAAGATAGACATCAAAAATAGCATAATAGTACAGTATATATATATATTGTATGTAAAAAGTTTATGTTTGAATTTATTTAGCAATTTATAAGTCAAATCATTAATAACTGACGAATCAGTACTTCTGTTCAATTGTTTCTTAATTCAAAAGTTAAATAAAAAGCTCATTAAGAAAACAAAGTGAATGTTAGTCAATAGCAAAGTCAGTGAACTATATCTTTGTTATGTCATGTTTAAGGATTATATTGTAGAAGTACTGTATGACTATTATTGTCTTTTGTATTATATTTTAATAGTATTTTTTAAAATTTCCTATAAATCACTGATGCGGTCAATTAATATTCCGTTTCTTAATTTTTGTTACATTGTTTTTAATACATAAGTTTTAGTAAAACTAAAAAAGCCTTAAAATATAATAATGTAATATATATTACAATATTTTTAAATACCTGTATTTAGTCTTATACATAAAATTTCTATGTCAGTGTTCAATAAAAAATTATCTAGATTCAATTAATATTTTTAAAAATATATTTAAAAACAACATTTGTTTTATAAAATAAATTAGTATATAATTTATACATTATATTTGTAACATTGTTTAAAATGAAATACTTTATATTTAGCTCTTAATAAGTCGTATTTACTATATATTATTGTATTTATACTGTACTATAAATTTATTATAATTAAATTAATATAAAAATATTAACAAATAATTTTTACAACAAACAACAGGCCTTAAATTTTATTGTTTAGTTTATTATATTATATTTTATAAATTAAACATTTTATGTAATATAATTTTAATGATTTACTAATACTTATAAACTACTGTGACATAAGAGTTGCATTTACTATAAGTTGGATTTAATATAAATAGATAGAAAAATAGATAAATAAATAATTTTTGGTTAAATAAAAGTTTAATATAATTTGAAATTCAAATTTAAATATATTTTAAAAATAAGTTTATCGTTATATTCCCACGCAAATAACTACTGTTAGTAATAATTCAAAATAACTTATTACTTAAAATACAGGTTAAACTGATATTAATAAAACCCCACATAATATAAAAACACAAAAAGTATTATTTTATATTATAAATATAATATTTTGTGTCATGAAATTTATCAAACTAAACATAGTATCAAATATGCTATTAGTAATATTATAGTTATTTTTCACACAAACATATCTATAGATAATTAAAAGAAAAATTATTTTTTAATTAATATTAATGATGTATTGATAAATTAATTTTCTAGTTTTGTATTACACTGTGTTTTCAATTAAAAAAGCTATCATTCAATTATTTAATATAGTATTTATTTGATTTTGATTTACAAAAACAATTAAAATTTCAATGTTTTATTTAAAATTTTATATAATAAAAATACAATAAAAAAATAATATTTTTAATAAATTATTATAACTTATCTAACTATCAAAAAATAAAACTTAATGTATTTAGCTATTATAAAACAATAAAAATATTTTTATGGTGTAGTTTTGTATAAATATATACTTTTATTGTATATTTTAATCCAATTTATAGATATAAATCATACACAAAAACATTGATCGATATAATAGTGGGTCGCATTGTTTTGTTATAATAAAACTTATATTCATCTCTTATTTTTATCTATTTTTATTTTTTATTTTATATTAACCAAAGTCTTAAATCTCAATTGATGTAATGATTGCTTAAATTTTTATTTTTTCAAATCAATATTTTTTAATATATTGACGATTGATTGAAATGATTGAATATGTTGTTGAAATTGTTATTAAATTTGATTTCGAGATTTTTATAAATTTTGACAGAAAGAGTATTTAAGATTATAATATATAATAAAAATAAAATTATCGACAAAGTGTAGAACAATAGCAAACAATGTTTAAGATTTGATGATAAAAAATAATTTTGATAAGTAAATCGTTAAATAAAACCTAATTGTGTCAAAATTTATTACAAAAAAAATTGTTACAATTACTAATAATAAAAATAAGCAAATAAGTTAACATATTTTTTTTATAAAACAAAACTTTATATATACATATATCTACTAATTTAAGTTTGATATACATTTGACAACTTATTGACAGAACTTATTTCATTAGATAAAAAATGAAATTTTAATTATAGTTATATAAAATAACTATAAAATTAATTGTTATAAAATAAAAATAAAATAAATTAACTATAAAATATTTTAGTCATAATTAATATTGTATGAAAAATATTAAAATTCATGCATTACTATAATTAATATATAATAAAATAATTTTAAAAAAATTCATTTTTACAAATTTGATGATAGACTATGTATTAGTATTACTTATAGACAAAATTGATAATATTTGTAGATATAAATGACATTTGATATAATATGATAAAACAATATACACTATTATACGGTATAACTACTAATAATACTATAATTTTTAGAGATATTAAAGCAATTGAAGTAATATTAGGTATGATTTGAATATTCAAACAAAATGTCTATAAATATGAAACTGTAATCAAAATGATGAGACAAATCGTAAATCGAATGCAAACTTTGTGTCAATTATTTTATAAGTCATTCATTCAATGCTTTTATATATAGAATGCAATCCTTTATTAACAGACAATAGAATTGAATCCAAATTTAAGACAAAAATCGATAAATCATTTGATAATCAATTGTTGACCACTTTTCGGATCAATTGAATCAATTGAAAAATGATATCCCAATTGATTGTATCACTCATACTGTTGCCGACTCTTGTGATGGCCAACACGTGTCCAACATTTCAATCGATCATTCAATTGAATCACTCGATTACTGGTCATTTGCATTACGCCATTGTGGCCGACGGTAACTATTATTTGGTCGGTGACCACAACCAAAATCACACACACATTGAGCCGACCGGACAAATGCCTACTGAGTTGGCCGACACTCGGCTGACTGTCCTCATAGACCAATACCACTGTACGCCTCAACGCTATTATCTGCTCAGTCTTCAGGTGTCTAATGAAACCATTTATAGATATCATGTTTTTGTGTATTAATTAAGTTTTTTATATAACTTTTGAAAAATCTTTAATTGAAATTATAGTCATTTGAATCAAACCGAAAGGAAATGCTTTTTTCGACATTGGATTTGATGAACTGGAATCAGTCGACTAAATGGACACAACCGACACAAATGTCCAACGATTGGTTTATTTTCAAAACCGATCCGCACTTTAAAACATTACTGGATTTAATGTTAAAAATCAAAGATCACATGAAAATGATTATCAATTGGTCACAAATGAACACCATTTTTGTAGTAATAGGTCCGGCAATACATCAAACTTCTCAATACTTGTACTACACTATTGATACCTCTGGTGTCTGTAACCATCAGTTTAATTATTCGGCCAAACATTCATTAAAGACTTCTCTCACATCGATAACGGATCCGTTAGACATTTGTTTTCATGACTACAATGAAGAAAAAACGGATCATTTAATTTATTGTCTCTCTAATGACAAATTTCAAGTCTATGCAATCAATACAACTATCTTTAAGGTATGGATCAGTTTATAAATTCTTATCAATAAATTTAATCATTTGTCATCAGGAAAGTGAAGGCTTTCTCACCACTCAACTCATTGGATCGATTGATGAGATGCCGACAATCGATAAAATTGCAATTTTGGCAAATATTGTATGATTTTTATTAAATTCTTAATTAAATCAAAACTTATATTATTATATCTTATGATTTTTAAAACTGTTTTTTTTAATTGTTTGACATTAAAGTGCAAGAAAAGCGAACAAAAAGCTGGAGTTAAGATTAGATTACGTGATCCTAATGTTTCACTGAAGATTCAAGACATGTCAACAACGATATCGTCGAATCACAATCTAATTCAATCGTTGAATATATCTAACAATTCATTGAGTTTAACGCCAGTCGATGTTAAAGAGGTAGAAGAAAGAAAGCCAATCCTGACATATGTGTTGGTCGTGTCCTCAATGGTACTCATCATTATAGCCGTTGCAATGTTTGTCGTTTTGGTTATTCAGAAGAGAAACCAAACTATTGAAAGAATGTAATCTATAGTATAAATGATTATCTTATAGTTTTCAGTTAATTTCATTCAATAATTTTTCATTCATTTAATTTTTATTCAATTTTATCTAATTTTAGTAGAATTTATTCTTTTTATTCATTACATTGATTTTTATGCATATTTTATTACATATCATAATTTACTTATAGTTTCATTGAATTTGAACTAATTTGTTAACATTTTTGTTTGTCAATACTGGTAATTGACTTTCATATAAATGATTTAAACAAATAAAATATGATTTATAAATAATACCAATTGTAAACGTTATTATAACTATTAAACACTTGTTTAAGATTTACTTTTAAATAAATAAATACATTATTAGTGATTAAATACTTTTTATTTTGTATTATAACTCAAAACTGATATGACATCTGAAACTTAATTGATAATCACTTAACAATAATTCAATTAAAAAGTTTAATAATTTATAAATTAATTTATAGTTTGACTACAAGTGGCGCCACATTTGGTCCATAAAGTGAAACACAGTTTTGTTGAATCATTCAAATCACACTTCAATTGTTAAGCAATGGCTGATCGCATCCACAAACAGACCAATGGATCCAAAGCTAAGGACAATAAAATGAAGGATTCAAAGGATACCAAAGCAGACAAAAGTGAACAGAAAGTTGATTTGGGTTTACTTGAAGAGGACGACGAGTTTGAAGAGTTTCCCGCAGAAGGTATACATATATTATATGTCAAATAATAAATAACAACATTTGATGACATTTCTTCATGTTTTACCATTTATTGATAGTCTGGAAGGAGAAGTGTGATAATGAGGAAGACGTGAATCTATGGGAAGACAATTGGGACGACGACAACATTGAAGAGGACTTTAGCAAACAACTCAAGTAATATAGATTTTGATTGTCTTAATCACTAATGACTTGCAGTCTATTATCTTTAAATTCATTAATTTATTGATATTTATTGAATAATAGGTCAGAATTAGAGAAGAAGACATTTGCTTAAAGTGTATTCATTATTCATCTGTTTATATATATATATATATATTTGTACGACAATTGTCTTCATTTACATCTCAAAAGAAACTTTCTTTATGTCTATCAAAACAAATTCAATTCAAAAATTTAATTATTAAATATTATATTTTAAAAATTGATTTAAATTAATAAATATATTGTTTTATATGATATTATTAGTTATGATTTACATCTTGTATTACCAGTAAAACAATTGATAATAAGTTAATACAGTAATAATTCATTGAATGACTCCTTTTTATCACTGAATGTCTTAGCAATTGAATTGTTGTTAACAAAGATATTCACAATTACTTTAATACATTAATAATGAATTGTTGACCAATTAATAGTTTAGATTCAATTTTTAACAATTATTAGATCAACAATTTGTTTTATATAAAAAATGATTGTTTGCCAGTAATTATAATATTTGATATACAGTTACCGGTAATATATATTAACTAAAATACAATCGGAAATAAACATTTGTGAAGAGAGGACAGACATTCAATTTTTACTGTAATAGTGGTTATAATAATGATTTCAATCAATTATTTTTTGCCTTATTATAAATTAATTCCAATTATTATCACAAAAAATTTATTAGTTGTTAATTGCAATTCAAAAGACATTGCACTCTATTTTGATATTTTAATTTTAAAACTTTATTTATTTATCAAAATATTAATTTACGATATATTAAATAAATTGGATTCATAATCATAAATATTTTAGTTAACTTTTAAGTGATAAATGAAATTATTTGATATAATGACATAAGATATATATATAGATATACTACCGTTTTATGAATTACCATTCTGTATATGGGATGGGATCGCATTCAGACCACTGCGAGAGGTTTGAGACAATGCAATCCCGACCCTCACAAAGGATAAGAATGTTAAACGATTGATTAATTCATTCAAAACAGATTTATTACATTAAATATAATGTTATTTAAGGCCTTTGAATATTTTAACAAAGAGAGGACCCGGAAGATTGTGAGCCATTATTATTCGTAATTTTTCGAGATATGGTTTCATCGATGGATTTTCCATTTCATCTGATGTCGAGTCCTTAAGATAACGACAAATATCGTTCAAAATACACGACACTTCCCACGCCTGTAACTCAGGCAATACAATGGCCACGTGTTTGAATGGCTTTGACGGCAATATTTCCGGATGAGTATTGGATAATAAATTTAATAGTCTATATAAAACAGCAATTATTAAAATATTTATTAAAATATTCAATAAATGGTTTACCTTTGAGTTTCGGAAATATTTTCAGTGCTTACAGAAGTTGAAGCCCAATGAGTCCTCTGGACAGTCATTAACGCCCGGATTAGTACAAAACAATGACTTAAATGACCGGAACTACCGATAAGTTCACATAAATTCCATAAAAGAGGATTTGCTTTAAATGTTCGCCAAATATATAAATCTCTTTCAATTGTAACCTAAAAAAAATTGATGAAATTATTTGTAAATTCTTTATACACTTAAAACTTACTCTAAGATTCTGTAACTGTCCGTCTTTAGCGTCATCGTCGCCCCAAATGTTGTTATCATTAAATAGTAGATCAGGTGATACACATTGAACTAATAATTTGGCAAAAGATACCATATCTGTAACACAACACTTAAATGCGTCTAAAACTATTGGCTGATTCATTATCATAGATTCTTCCTCTATGTTATTGTAATTGCTGTAAACTTCAAGTTTGCCATTAATTAAAGGCATTTTTCGAAACTTTGAATTAACTAAATCGTATGAAGCATTTTCTTTGAGTAAACTTATTGATTCAAATGTTGATAATTTAGATTTGTATTTATTTTTACCAATATTTCCATTTTTACTAAACAGATGACTATTTTCTAGAGTTAACTCTAATAAAACACGCGATAAAATGTATTCATTGATATCATAACTCTTTGCTAAGATTGTCATCAACTTTTGACAGGTAAACAATGTCTCCATATAAAAGTCGAGTTCAGTTTCTGAACAATTAGTTTGTAAATCAATTAGTTTGAAATAAGTTGAGACAATTGATAGACAGAGTCGATGTTGAGGTGCGATAATCTTTTTGGGAAATTTTTCAATTGTTTTCAATAAAAGTCTTAGAATATAATATTTAATGTAAATTTTGGTTTTAGTATCAAAATTATTATCGGAAAAAAATGAACACAAGAGCTCAATATCAAGACATACGGGCTCGACCTCAACGGCTGCCGTTAAATGAGACCAATAGTTGACACTCTTCTCATGCGGTAATTTCAGTGTATTGTTGAGACAATCGTAAATTTGAGCCCCAAATAAAAGTTTCAATGATTTTATTAGTGGAGATAATATCGGATTTGAAACGGGATTTCTGAATGAATTATTAGATGTATGCGAATGAGTGGACAGTATGTGATAAAACACTTCAGTAATGAATTCGAGTCCGTAATGCATACAAAGTAAATGCAAAAGTCTTAACTGAATGAGACGTAAGGATGGATTCAATGTCTTGACTGTATGAATGACAAGTCCATTGACATTATTCTTAAGCAAACTTAAAATCGGTGGAGTGTTAGCTAATGACCGGTTGGAAACATAAATGAAATCATGAATATGTGATATAATAGATGACAATATAACGTGAGTCCTAGCTTTTAGTGCTTCGGTGGCCTCCGAGTGAATCGATATATCAAATGCCAATCGCAACAAATCAAAAGCATTGTCAGCATTAGTAATACAATATATTATGTGATCATTTAATTCTTCGGGTTTTGTCGAGACTACCAATTCGTTTAGGGTTTTGATATCAACTATATTTAAGACAAAGACAGACAATTGATAATAATTTTTCAATAAATTCAATTTAAGTAATACAGACATTGTTTAGTTGCTTCTGAAACCAATAGATCCAAAAGAGGCTTTGAATTAGTGCTTAATTTAAGAAGAAATGAAATGTTGGTTTTTGAGGCGTTGACAATAGCTCTGGGATTGTGTTCAGATAAATATGACAAAATACATGTAACTGATGGCGATGTGGATGAACTTTGAATCAGTTGTTCAATATATGAAGTAAATCGTGAATTGTTGGACATAGTAGTGATAAGATGTGCGAGAATCCAATCACAATGAGGTGAATACTCAAGCATTTGTTTGACCAGACCTTCCAATTCTATGGTATTGCTTCTGATCGTAACATTTGTCAGGGCCTGCATTGCCGGACATTGCATCCAGAATGACAGCGAAGAACTCAATGACATATTGGGATCATTTTCATCCAATTTAGAGACAAAATTTGGTATATTTTGACCGAACCGTCCAAATTTGGCACTTAATTTAGCGGCCAATTCGAGCGCCCATTCGGTGATAAATTTTGTAAACAAAGTGTTTGATTCACTTTCAATAAGAATCAGAAGTGTTTCACTGATTTTCATAAAATAAAAGTCAAGACTATTCATCACGTCTTGTAAATCGTGGTTATAATCAGTGATAGTCATTGAGTCACTTAATTCCATTGGTATCGATGACACAGCTGTTGGACTTTGAGGACAGTCGTCCACATGAGAGGCAACTTTAGTATCTTCGCTACAATCGGTTGATTGTCTTCGGGAATCAGTTGACACCTTTCGGACACTAATCAACTCAGTTTGCATATGAGTTGCATTTGAATCCATCGGACTCTTGTTGGCCGCAATGAAACGCCCTATTATCGGACCAACTCGTTGGCCACTAACTGAACGGTCGGGTGATTTCAGGTCTTCGACTTGATTTTGGACACAATATTCAGCACAATAGTCGTCAAAAAGTTGTGAATAAAAATGAAGAACCGCTTCACGACTGGATGGACAACCATTAAGAAGAGTTAGACTTGAGTTGATCACCGAATCTACGGAACAACTCTTGTTTTCGCAGACAAACTGCAAGAAATTCTTCAGATCGTTAAGAATTGGATTCTGACTTTGAATTTCTGTCGTCATTGTAACCAATTGTCCACAAATTATCACCAAATCATACCAATTATCTTCACGACTATAGATATATCACTTGAATATTAAATATTAATATTAATAATACCATTAAAAGTATAGCGAATCACAATCAAAGACGTCTTCAATTGTCATATCTTTTCTAACCATTGATTACCACTCTCTCAATGTGTTCAATGATTTTATCATTTAATATAAACTTTTATTAGAAGTTGTTATCTATTATTAAAAAATATTTGAAAATTAATTGAATTTAATTTTAAAATAATTGAATTTAAATTCAATAAAATAATACATTATTTATTGATTGAAAAATGAAAACAAAATAAATTTTAATTAATATTTTTGAAAACAAAATAATTGTTTGATTTGTGATATCATTGTAATCGATGACCACTTCGTCGACAAATGGGTTCACTTACCCGACCACTGATGAGATGGACAACAATACGGCCCAGCGGTTGGTCAAAGAGTGCGCCACTTTGATCATTGAAGACATACCGATGGGAACCGAGTTTGGCATTGATTTGAATGTCAATAATATCGGCGACCACTTTATGGGCGTCAAAATGATAGCACCGGGTCTTCACTTCATTTATTACAGTTCCGTCTCAAAGGATGGTACGGTTGGTCCGCGATCAGGATTTTTCAGATTTTTTAAACCACAAGAACTAGTGGTTAGAAAATGGCATCAATTTGATGAAGATATCGATGAAGAGTACACCGATTCAGTGCAATACCAGAGATATAAAGATAACGTCAGCAACGGTTCAATGGATGTCTATTTGGCTGTCTATCAGTTCTCTACTTATGCCGATTGGGTCGGTCTTACAGATTATATCACTGATTCGCTATTTAACAGAATTAATCCCAAATCAGGAAAAATTTTATCCGTTACTCATTTGATTACAAAAAGTGGTAAAAATTTAGATAAAAATATTATAGAAAAGGATTCAGAAGGACTTCTTGTTATGGAAAGAGATCCAAATGCTGTCATCAATTTCAGTGAACTTCCCAAACATTTTCTTTACCCTCAAAACTCAAGTGCAACCCAAGTATCCCAACACTCGATGGACAGTTCATATACAATGGAAACGATAGCTTCAAGATGTGAACAAATAGAGAGTCTTTTGGGTGAACTTCAGTTCTCTTTCATTACTTTTCTTGTCGGACACATCTTTGATTCATTTGATTACTGGAAACAATTGCTTAAAATTTTGTGTTTCAGCGAAAAATCAATCATTAAATACACAGATTTTTATCTAAATTTTATTCGTGTCCTTCATTTCCAACTGAAACAAACACCACATGAATTGTTTGCAGATATCGTCGAAAACAATAATTTTTTGGTTGTTTTCTTAAGACAATTCTTTTTTAATATTGACTCCAATGATGTCAACGAAGTCTTAAGAAACAGAGGCCAAAGATTTAGAAAATTTTTGACCAAAACATTTAAATGGGATTTTGTTAGTCAACAGGAAGATGAAGAGCCAACTATTGTTGACATCAACTGATATGTTGTAACAAATAAATCATTAATGTATTAAAATTATAATTTATTGTAAATAATGATTAAAATGACAATTGTATTAATATTAATATCTATGATTAACAATCACATCAATTACTTATATCCATTTCACAATCATTAGCACTTAAATCAGGGATTAATTCATTGGATTGTGGAGTCGTGTTAACAACAGTAGTTTTTAACCTACTATTAGACAATTTAATTGGTGGTAAACTCTTTTCTTCTTTAGATTTTGACGCTAAAAAATCATCGATAACTACTGATTGTTCGTATTTTATTGGATTGTCGTCTAAATGATAAATAGGATCTAATAAAATAATTCAATAGTAATTAAAAATCATAATGTATTGAATATATACCTTTAAATAATGAAACATCTTTAACGAGATGATTGATGACATGACCTAACATTGCGGTCGAAAACGAGTCATCTCTTTTCAGACCTAAAGCCTACAACAAAATAATCAATAAATAACTCAATTCAATAAAAATAATAAATCTTCGCCACCTTATGGAAGTATTCCACAGATTCATTCCATTTAGTCATCAAACTATAGACAAATCCTAAAGAAGAATAAGTGGACGGGTTTTGTGGGCAAAGAATAAGTGCCTGTTTATGGAAATCGATGGCTTCTTCATATCTCCTATTAATTTGATAATAATATAACTTATTTATGCAAACAGTAATTATTATAATACATTACTTTAATTTTCGTAACACATGTCCCATATTATTAAGAAGTGGTTCCCATTTGTCGGGCAAAACAGTTATTTCTTTTCGATTTTTAATGATATTAAGTGCTTCTCTGAAATACTTTTCAGCGATGATATAACTAATAATAAATCAGTTTTCGGTCAATTAAAACAACATTACCATACATTCACTTCAACTTACTTAGAGCTTTGATAGGCAATAACTCCTAACTCATGCAAAACAAATGGATCGTTTGGTGCGATGTCCAGCGCTTGTTTAAAGAATCTTTCGGCTAATTTTGGATTATCAGTTAAGCCATACTCAAGACCAATATAAAGAAGTGGTAAATGACATCCATTCATAAGATGAGAAGCTTTAAAATAAGCGGCCATAGCCTGATCGTGTTCACTCTCCACTGCAAATGAGTGTCCATAGAGTAGCCACGCGGGAGCCAACACGTTGTCCAAAGTGGTTGCTTTACTTAAGAATCGACGGGCGGCGTCTGTCTTATTAATTAATAGATAATAACATCCGACGGCAAACCACGACAGCTATAAAAAAAATCAATTATCATAAATGAATTGTAAATATTAAACAAAACTTACTGAACTTTCGGGATAGAGATCAACGAGTTTATGAGCCAAATCAAAAAGTGCTGAAATATAGTTAAACAGTATTTTTGTTTATTATTAAAACTTACAAAACTTCTATAAATTATTTATTACTTACCATTGGTTTTCTTGAGTTCCATAAGACATGATAAATGAATTGGCAAACATTGAGTGTGATATATATCTTTCGATAAAACCCTAATAAAAATAATATTTAATATCATATATTTATTTCTAACAATTTTACTCATACTGTGAGGTTATTTTGAAGCACTGTTGATATTCACAGTTATAATAATGTCTTTCAGCCAATGATGTCATAAAATCAACATTATTTTGAAGTATATTAGAGGACTCATAAGGAAGAAAAATATCTCCCGGTTTGTCATACTATTAATAAAATACAATAAAATTAATAAATTTATAAACAAAACATATTGCACAGTATATACAGTCAATTGTATAGTAGCTTATGATCAAACAATTGAGATTAATTTGGCATAAATCTGTTTTACCGTATTTCCTTGCTTAATTCTCACTATGAAAATCATAAAAATTTGAAAATTAACATTTTTATACTGTAAAAACTCGCATTTTTTACCACCCCTGGTAAATTAAACGAGGGTGTGGGGAAAAGCAAAAATGGGGGAATAGAGAACTGTAATGACAGATATTTAACAGTAATCTATTAAAATTATATATTTATATAAAAATTACCGATAATTAATTAGTTATAACCAGGGTTTTAAAAATGGCAGGCATAAACAATAGATGCCAATTTTGCCAAATGCCTGCCCTGTCTCTGCCATGCCCTGGGCATCTATTTTCAGGTGGTGACACCTATTATTTTTATTTTATATTATTAATTAATTTATAAAACATTGTTTTTATAATATATTTGCTTGTATTTTTGTTTTGTATACCTTTAATTAAAAGGTAATATCATTGGAAATAAGTAAATTAATTGTAAATTTAATTAACACGTTAAAACACTAAATTGCATTATTTTTATAAATACAGTTGCTTTTTAGCAATTTAAATTTGCAGGCAAATAAAATAGATGCCCAAAATGCCAGGCATTTATGGCATCTATTTGGGCATTGCCAGGGCAGGCATTTATTTCGTTAAAACCCTGGTTATAACAGTGTTTAACAATGAATGACATATTTGTATACGTTTACAGTATTTTTACATATTATAAATCAGTAAATAGATAGCATATAGAAAAGGGTTTGCAACTATTAGAGACGTCCAAATACAAGGGGTGGCAAAACTTGAAAATGTATTAAAAACATGGGTTGGGGGCAAATTTAAAATCACAATATATGGTTAAAAAATCGCATTATTCACCATTATTTTCATATCTCCATACGGGCAATTAAGCAACATTTAACGGTAGTTATTTTATTTATAATTAATTATTGTGATAATAAAAATCAATTACAAAATATAGAAATTAAATAAGTATTCAGAAATTCTGAATACAATTAATTTTTTCTAATATATTTCTCTTATATATAATTGATATTATAATGTGTTCTATCGGTAGAAAAATCTGAATAAAAGTTTTTTTATATTTTCCATTGAAATATTATATAAAATAATTATACGATTATATTTGTAATTTCTAAATATATATTGTAATAATTTGTTACTTTATATGTTTGATCATAACTACTGTATTACGTAATAAATAATGTTTTTGTGTTTAGTGTATTATTTGGTTATTTATATATTAATATAATGAAGTATTTGTTTGTTATAATACTGTAGTTTCAAACCTTTTTAAGCTGAGATTCATAGAGAAAATAAACAAATTTAGTTTCTTCTTTAGTACACTGATTGTCAAAGTCTAATGACTTAATAAGTTGTTCCTCTAAAACAATTTAATAATCAGATAATAAGTATTTGTCAGTAATGTTAATATAATTAACAATAATAACAATCATAACAATCATTATCATTAAATACCTTCAGATTTCTTAAGCATTTGATGTTTTGTTAGCGCATAGAAAGCTTCGTAACAAAAGACATCATATTTGAGCGCTTCTTTGAAACAATTACTGGCAATCAAGCGATTGTCGAGTGCCTCATAAACCTGTCCTTTAAGTAGTGCTATAGAGCTCTTCCACTATAAGACAAATGATAGATAAATATTAGATTAAAGTTAAGTCATATGTAATGTTTGTTCACTTTATTGTCATTATCTCTATCTCTCTCATTGTTAATGATATCCATTGGTTTGCCATTGATGTCACTGTAATCGTCTTCGAGAACTTCAAGAGCTTCCTTATATTCTTTGGTAACAAACTATAGACAAAACGAAAAAATGATTAATCTTAAGATTTGTTGTCCTTTATGTAAAAATCATTGGTGTCTTACATGACATTTAGCGACCAAATGTCGGCACGAGAGCTCTGTTTTGTGCAATTGTCTCGTTTTGATACAATGGATGGCTCTATGAAACTCATTCATATGATATAAACAGATGGACTGTTGGTAGACATCATCGGTGTGTTCGCCACTCAATGAAACCACTTTATCACTCCAGAAGAGTGCCGATCGGTATTGTTGGCCATTCATGTAATCGTTCCGCACTTTTCTAAACTTCTCAACATTTAGACAATGATTTACATCACTATTCATATGATTATTGAATGTTTGGCTTAAATCTAAAGACATTTTCTTCAAACAAATTGCGGATCAAATCAAATGATAAACAAATTTTCAATTTTAAAAACAACTGTTTTTCGTGATTTCATTAAACATATAATCAGTAATTACTTTATTTGAAGGGAATTTCATTTTAACTATTTTTATGTATTAAATGCAATAAAAGGGATCATATTTTAACAAAAATATTGTCATCACTTATATGAATGAATACGTTATTGCTTTAGAAATTGCATTACAGTATACAATAATACTGTACTGTATTATACAGTAATAATAATAATAATAATAATAATAATAATTATTATATTATTATTATAATAACAAAAGTGTCAAAAATTAAAGCTTTATTATTGACTCAATTGTTATCTTCACTAAACACGTGTTTGTATTGAAATTAAATATTTAAAATAATTGATTGACAACTTGTGATCATTTAACTGATCCATTGTTTGAGTGACAATGGATGGACACGATGTGGTCGACGGAATGTGTGTTTCAAAACAAAAAGATGGTTACGATGTGAATCAAGTGAAAGATGAAACCAATAATAACAGTGAGGTTCAAGTTGTTTGTATTGGTGGTGATGGTCATCAAAGTTGTGTCGGAGGTAGTGGTCATCAAAGTTGTGTCGGAGGTAGTGGTCATCAAAGTTGTGTCGGAGGTAGTGGTCATCAAAGTTGTGTCGGAGGTAGTGGTCATCAAAGTTGTGTCGGAGGTAGTGGTCATCAAAGTTGTGTCGGAGGTAGTGGTCATCAAAGTTGTGGCGGAGGTAGTGGTGACCAACAACTACCCGGACAGACAGTCGGTCAAGTGGTCAACAATGAGGCGATGCTTAAAGTGATCCCTTGTGATGACCCGTTCATTGGCGACGATTACTATCGAATGACATCAAAAGTTCGTGGATTTTGTCTCATATTTAATATCTTTGAGTTTCAAAACACAAATGAGATGAGAGAGGGATCGGTGGCCGAAGCGAACCGTTTAAAGACTGTGTTCGAGCAGTTGCTCTTTGATGTCAAAGTTATGGACAATCCGCACAAGAAAGCCATTGATACTTATATTAATGATTATTCCCAAAGAGATGAGCTCAAGAATCACGACGCCTTTATCCTCATTGTTCTTTCACATGGAGTCAGCCATGGATTTAAAGCATCCGATGGACAGTATATATCATTTAAAGACATCGCAGAGAAGTTGAATAATATGAATTGCCATAATCTGGTTAATAAACCAAAGTTGTTATTCTTCAGCTGTTGTCGAGGAGGTATGCCTTAAATTAATAGAGAAATAAAATTTTGATGATTTAAAAGTTGATAACATATTACATTAAATTTGTTAAATTAAAGACATTAAAGACTTTGGTATTGAGCACAATGTCGAAGCATTGGAAACCGTTTCAGTGAACTCTCCCGTCACTGATTCGGTTCCTTTTGTACAACAAGAAGACAATAACACCCGATTAGACAAAGTTACTGTTCCAACAATTAGTGATATAATGATCTGTTACTCAACCGTTGATGGATATGTCTCGTGGCGCTGCAGAGAGACCGGCACTTGGCTTGGATTCGCTTTATGTCAGAATCTCATTAAACATTCACATGAATGGGATTTATTGAGAATCTTGACTAAAGTAAGCAATTTTATAATAAACTATTAATTAATTAATAAAAATTTTCTCATAGATTTCTAATGACATAAATGATAGAAGAAGTGATATATACGGAGCCAAACAAGTGATTGAAGTCATATTAAGAGGTTTTAAGAAGACTTTCTTCTTTAATCCGGGATATTCTAAACCCGACGACAATTCTTAAACAACAAAATCAATAATATTATTAAAATTCTCATTTTATTGATTTACATTTTATATACATTTTATAGTTAATAACTGCCTTTACAAATGATTTTTTAAAAAGTGCTTTAAAATAGTGGATTACTCAACATTGTTGACCATTTCTTTATGCAAATTATATAATATTATCAAAAAAAACTTGAAAAGTTTTGTTTTCTGAAATCTATACGAGCCTTTTGTGTGTGTGTGTGTGTAGCAATTTTTTTGCGAATTTTGAAATTCTGACTTCAGATTCGGTTAGAGGACTACTAATAATGTATTGAAAAGTTGCATTAAAATTTTGATATCTCTTCGGGAACATATAGAAAATGGCGGCCAAAGTAAAGAAAATTTTAAGAAAAAATATTTTAAGTATAAATTTGAATAGAGCATCAAAAGCAAGCATAAAAATATGCATTAAAATTTTGATATCTCTTCGGGAACATAGAGAAAATGGCGGCCAAAATAAAAAAAAATTTAGGTAAAAATTTTAACGTTTAGAATTGTATAGAGCATCAAAAATAAGATATAATAAATTAAAATTATTTTTTTTATTTTTTTAAAAATGGCGGCCAAAGTAAAAAAATTTAGGTAAAAATTTTAACGTTTAGAATTGTATAGAGCATCAAAAATAAGATATAATAAATTAAAATTATTTAAAAAAAAATGGTGACAAATGTATAAAAAATTAAGGTAAATTTTAGCGCTTAGAATTGTATATAGTATTAAAAATAAGATATAATAGATCAAAATTATATTAATTTTTAAAAAAATGGCAGCAAAAGTATGATTTTAACTGTTTATTTTGTTATACTAAATCATTTAATACCAAACATGATTATATTTGTTTATTTCATTATATTAATCATCTGATACCCTACATGACTATAGTTGTTTTGTTTGTCATTCCGAGTCATTAGATACCCTACATGACTATGGTTGTTTATTTTGTCATACCGAATCATTTGATACCATACATGACTATAGTTGAGTTTATTTTGTCATTCCGAGTCATTTGATGCCCTACATGACTATAGTTGAGTTTTGTTTGTCATTCCGAGTCATTTGATACCCTACATGACTATAGTTGAGTTTTGTTTGTCATTCCGAGTCATTTGATACCCTACATGACTATGGTTGTTTATTTTGTCATACCGAATCATTTGATATCATACATGACTATAGTTGAGTTTATTTTGTCATTCCGAGTCATTTGATGCCCTACATGACTATAGTTGAGTTTTGTTTGTCATTCCGAGTCATTTGATACCCTACATGACTATGGTTGAGTTTATTTTGTCATACCGAGTCATTTGATACCCTGCATGACTATAGTTGTTTTGTTTGTCATTCCGAGTCATTTGATACCCTACATGACTATGGTTGTTTATTGTCATACCGAATCATTTGATACCATACATGACTATAGTTGAGTTTATTTTGTCATTCCGAGTCATTTGATGCCCTACATGACTATAGTTGAGTTTATTTTGTCATACCGAATCATTTGATACCATACATGATTATAGTTGAGTTTATTTTGTCATTCCGAGTCATTTGATGCCCTACATGACTATAGTTGAGTTTATTTTGTCATTCCGAGTCATTTGATACCCTACATGACTATGGTTGAGTTTATTTTGTCATACCGAGTCATTTGATAACCTACATAACATTATTTAAATTATGTATATTTTACCAGTTTTTTATTTTTGTTACTATATAAATTAATACTATATAATTATACCAACTATTTGGTTTCAACATATTTATGATATTCAAGTTTTTTTTCTAATAATGCTTTCTAGCATTCTTAACTGGTTTATTATTATTGATGAGAAGTATATATATATTTTTATATAATAGCCTAATACCGTATATTATTGGTAATTCATAAAATATCAAAATGATTACCTAAATGTTTTTTAATTAAAAAAGCAATAAATTACAGTATTTATGGTAGATGAAATATTTGTTACTTAATTAAAAAATATAATTTAAATGATACTATTGGTAATAATTATAATTTACAATTATTTTTATGAATTTATATTCCAACTATAGTATTTTAAATAATATTAATAATTGTATAAAATTATATTTATTTTTTATTATTTATCTAAATATTGAAAACTTGTTTATTTAATAATTATTGTAATATATGCTTAAGAAACTAAAAATATACAAATGTTTATATATTTAGTGTCGCTAACTGTCACTGTTTAACCCAATTGTTTATCACTTTTATGTTGCACTGTTAAATTCAATATACAGTTGAATAATATAAAAATAATACAGGTATAAACGTCTTATAAAATATTGAAAACATAATATTTCAATTTTAATTTATTAATTCAATCGGTAATTTATATATGTAAATTATTACCAATAATAAAGATTAATTCAATAATTCATAATATATATAAAATAGAAATAGCGGTAAGTTTGTAAAAAACTTGACATAATTTTATTACCGGTAATATTATTTCACAGATTTTAATACAGTATTTATATTCATTGAATGACCCGGTATTTGAAGATTTAAGTTATCAACACTTGTTATCATAGATTACATTTGAATAAAGACATATTGACAGACATTTGAAAGTTAAACAAATTAATAAATTTCATATTAAAATTGCAAAAATTTTATGTAATTTTAAAGATAAATATTATGTTTTAAATTACTTAAATTAAAGTTAATTAACATAAATATTATTAAATAATTATAACTGAATTGCAATGAAATGTAATGAAAGGCATTCACTTGTGTTTAACATTGAATTCATTGAATTCATTGAATGTTAACGTAGTGTATGTCATGTCATGTGTTGTCTTAACAAATGAGTCAATGAGTGACTGATTGACCACTTATTGTGACAATTGATTAACAATTGAAGACATAATCAAACCATTGGATCAGATACTCAATTAAGTCAATCTTTTCTGTACACCATTTGTTTGATCATAACATGTGATGTATTAATGTCGAGTCAGAAGAAATGTATAATTATTTTGATGATCCGATCAATTAATGATAACCTCTTTATAAGCAATTGATTATTGAAGTGGTTATCACTAGAAGATAATGGATTCAAAAAGTGGTTACAATTCGTACTCAATTAGTGGCCAATCGAGTCAATCGAGTTCTTCGCCGTCCATCGACACAAAAGACTCGTTACATTCGTCGCCATCCAAATCAATGGCATCCAATTCATTGACCACTACTTCATCCAATGATAAGACAAAACCATCGATTGGTTTACGATCGCGAAATGCGGTGACAAATGCTAACAATGCTAGCGATAAAACAATTACTTCATCGGAAGTGCCTTTAATTATTGGTGAAACTATTGTCGGCAATTTGCGGGCCCGAGACGTGACTTATTTATGTCCGTATTTTGGACCAATTCGTGGGACACTTTATGTAACAAATTACAAGTTATACTTTAAGAGCAATGAGAAAGAAGCGGAGGACCTATCGGTACCGTTGTGTTGTATCAGTCGCATTGAAAAGGTCGGCGGCGCCACCTCTAAGGGCGAGAACTCGTATGGCATAGACTTGTTGTGCAAAGATATGCGAAACTTAAGGTTTGCTCACAAACAGGAAAACCATTCGCGACGGGATGTCTTTGAGACACTAACTCAGTATGCGTTTCCACTCTCTAATAAGTTACCGATGTTTGCCTACGAATATTCGGCCAAATTTGCTGTTAATGGTTGGTCTGTTTACGCACCGATCGCTGAATATAAACGAATGGGTTTACCAAACGAGAGCTGGAAGATCACCAAAATTAATGAAAAATACGAGTTATGTGACACATATCCCGCAGATCTGGCCGTTCCGTCGGCAACCAGTGATGACTACTTAAGATCTGTTGCTAGCTTTCGTAGTCGTGGACGTCTACCAGTGCTGAGTTGGTTGCATCCAGAAAGTCAGGCCAGTATTACTCGATGTTCACAACCTCAGGTGGGAATGACTAATAAGCGCAGCAGAGATGACGAGTCGTACATTCAGATGATAATGGATGTCAATGCACAGTCACATAAGATCTATATAATGGACGCCCGACCCATTGCTAATGCTGTGGCCAACAAAGCTCGTGGCGGAGGTTATGAAAATGAAGAACTTTATCGGAACGCAGAAATCAACTTTTTGGACATTCCTAGCATTCATGTGATGCGAGAAAGTCAACGAAAACTTAAAGAATTATGTTTTCCTGCAATCGGTGACGAACAGCACTGGTACTCCAATCTAGAGGCTACCCATTGGTTGGAACACATCCGTACCATTTTGTCCGGAACTTTAAGAATTGTTGACAAAATTGAAAACAATAAGACATCAGTTGTGGTTCACTGTAGTGATGGTTGGGACCGAACCGCCCAATTGACCAGTTTATCGATGCTTTTACTTGATCCGTATTATAGAACATTGAAAGGGTTTGAAGTTCTGATTGAAAAAGAATGGATTAGTTTTGGCCACAAGTTTGCCCAACGTTGCGGTCACGGAGAGGACAAACACTCAGATGATAACCGGTCGCCAATATTCTTGCAATTTATTGACAGTGTTTGGCAAATAACTAAACAATTTCCAAATGCCTTTGAATTTAATGAATATTTTTTGATAACAATTATGGATCACTTATATGGATGTCTGTTCGGAACATTCCTTTGTAACTCAGAATATCAGAGATATAAAGAAGAAGTAAAAAGTAAAACCAAGTCGTTGTGGTCTTTCACTAACAGTGAAGAAAATATCGATAACTTTAAGAATCCTTTGTATACCAATTATGCCAAACATCACGTACTGATGCCAGTGGCAAGTATTCGGCGCATTCAGTTATGGACAGCATATTTCTGTCGTTGGAATCCTAATCTTAGACCACAAGAACCAATTCAAACGAGAAATAAAGAATTACTTTTAATGCGCACCGAAATCAAGAAAAGAGCCGATGATTTGCAGAAAGAATTACAGACAAAGTTAAGCCGAATCGGTGGAAACGGTGCCAATAGTAATACATCTACCAGTGCTAATAGTGGTGCCAATGTAGCCATTGCTGGCTCTTCTAATAATTCCGGTGTTACCACTACTACAGGATTGGGTCGAATAACTTCAGTCATCTCAATATAATATTTTCATTTAGCGTAATATACTTTTTTGGTAAGTTATAGCATATTAGCATATATTAAGTGATTACTTAAATAAAATATGATGACAATAACCTTGGAGATATGAATGAGATATTGTAACATAACATTGATCTCAATTGATTATCATAATCTTCTCTCTGATTAATTTAAGTTATTTATATTACAATTATATTAACAATACTAACTTTATTTTCAATTGTGTTTAATATAACGATTTATCTTTTTATTTTGTCAGTTCTGTTGCCTAAAAAAAAGTGGAAACTATTTCATTTGTATCGACCAAATGTTGACAATTATTATGAACTCAGTGTGAAAAACATAATATCATTAATCAACAAAATCTACAAATATATAAATTATAAATATTTTGTATATTATAAATATTTTATAGTAATTATGCATTTATACAAAATCGATATATTATTGCTTTAAATGTTTTAATTAAAAATATTTATTCAAATTTTATTGATTTGTTAACAAAAAACTATATAATTAACCTTTTCGTTGATTTTGTATAAATGACTTAACACAAGTTTACATAAGTATTCCCGACTAACATATATTATTAAATATAATAAGACGTTAAGTAATAAACTTTATATTTATATTGCGACGGCTAGTCTCAAATGTTTCAATATTTACCGTAATTATACTCTACAGTATGTTAGCCATCATACTGTATATGATTTATACCTAAAATGATATTAAGGACTATAACGGCTACAATATAAATAAAATTACTATAAACTTGTTTTTATGTTTAATAAGATTTCAAAGTTTGGTCACAATCGGCAATACTTTTTTAATCAATGTTAAGTCATTTGTAAACTCAATATAATTGTATGTTTCAATTTACCAAATGTTTATTTATATTAAATCAATAATAAAATTAAATTATAAACAAATGATATTCTAATTATTGTAATTTTATGTAAATAACTCTATTTTATTTATAGCTAATGAAAAATTGCAATAATTTTGAGTAAAATAATAATTATATAATAATGTATAATATTATATCATTGATACAGCATTATCTGTTGGATACAATATAAAACTGAATTAAACATCAAAAGTAATAATAATTATAATGTTTTGAGAAAATGTACAAAAAATAAAGTCCACAACCAATACCACCAATCAATCATTAAATAATAAGTTTTCTAAAAAGCCGTCATTATTATCAATATTATATATAAATACTGTATATTATTATAAATATATATATATATATATATATATTTGTATATATATACCGTAAATTAACTATATATATATATAAAATTGATTTGTTAAGAGTTAAGATAAATCTCATTTTGTGGTCATTTTAGAAATGAATTATTTTGAGGTCTTGTATACAATAGAAGCGTTTCATTAGTTGTATAATAACTTGAATACATATCACAGTATTATTTCAATTTAACAGAGAATATGAATCATTACAAATAGTGTCACCAATTGAATCATTAATTAGTCTTTTAAATGGGTGACTGATGGTGTGTTTGCATGTATGGACTCAATCCCTGTGAGGCCATTCCCAGACTGTGAGACATTGGATGGTTATTGTGATCGCTTTGCAATAAATGATGACTTAATGGCGTGTGATGTGAATGATGTGGATGCAGGCCTTGTGACTGATTGAGACCGGGACGTAACACTTCATCCACTTGTGGACAGTGAGGACGTGGTCCCGGCTCAGGTGTGTACGTGAATGTCAGTCCAGTGGCATATATAACGCCATCATTTCTCACTAAAGATACCTGAACCTGAGTTGGCTGTCGGACCCATTGCCAACCCTCTCGGAAGGCACCGATATCTGGAACTACACATAACATACTTTCTTGACATCTATTAATCAAATATGAAATAAAATTAATGAAAATATAAAATAATAGTTGAAATTAAGTCAAATAAGAACTAACCGATACATAGTCTCTGCCTCGACGTCTCCAAACCATACTTTGAGGAGTGGACTTAAGTTTTCTCCGGTTAGCTCAAGCATTGCTACATCGCCGCCACCATTAAGGTTCAAACTGTGAACTACAGGCACGGGTGTAACCGGTGAATGAATAGGACCCATACCTTCATAGAAGGTATATTCGGCTTTATCTGTACTGATGATAGTCCAGGAGGCACCGTCATTGATCATCTCCTTATTGGGCTCTTTAGGACACGGAGTCGCTTGGAATTGAATTATACGCTCTTGAGATAGACATAAATACATGCGTTCCGTATCTTTCATATAAAAGGCACATTTATGGAGCTGTGACACCGGGTCGTCCGCATCTAACAGTGCTGTCTGTTTGTCCACTTTTCGTATTATCTGTTATTACATATTAAAAATACAAATCAATATTATCTAATTATAATCTAATTCTCAAATCATTGAAAACAATTATCTGTTACTAATTAGCAAATAATTAGCTGCAAAAATTAACCTATAATTTTCATAGTTTTTATATTCTATATTTTAATAAATAATTAAAATAAAAAATATATTTATAGATTCAAAATATGTTTGACTTCATGTTATAACTTAATGCTCTAACATTTCGTGACTAACTAATCGATGCCATCATTAGATCATTAGATTTAAAAGATCATCAAATGATAATAAACACTATATTATTGAATTAAAATAATTATTAAAACAAATAATTTTGTAGAGTATTAATTCAATTGTCTAATATTTTGAGTTATATATAAAAATCATTAAAATGAATATAAGTTGTAAAAAATAACATATTATAAATATATTAAAATTTTATTCTAAATTTAATGACTAAATGAATGATATGATTGCATATGATATGAAATAATTAGTTGTAAGTTGACATCAAAATTGAAAGATAACAAAAAAATTTTCTCACAAGTCTTGGGAGAGCCATTCCAGTGACAGAGCAGACCAGCTTAACAGTGGCGCCGTAATGGATGTAACCGTCTCTTACAGTGAACTCTTCACTTTCAGACTCATTTTCATCCACTAAATAATGCATTTTTAATATCAATGTTTTAAAATGTAATTGAATAATGTATTTCTTGAATAATAAGCAATTTCATAATAGTAAGTGAATACATACATAAATGTATAGTAAAAGCCCCCCATTGAGTAGAGGAGGCGTGGAAATTGCCATTCTCTACGTGTAGATATCTAGTGCTAACTGTTTGAGATCTCAAACGATTAAATAGCGCCACTTTGGTTCCCGAAGCGATACATACTATACAAATCACAGGTAAATAATATAATTGCTGTTAAAAAATATCAAATATAATGTAATTTTGCTTACGATCAGCATTTTTCAGAGATTGCTTCTTCTTTGACGGCTTTGATATCACTTTAATTCTTCTGCTATAAAACACACCGATATCTTCTCCGTTGCCATAAAACATCTTAACGGATAACATAAAGTGCTTTCGTTTGTCGGAATCACTTATATATAATGTCTTAGCGGCGCAATAGTTCTGTCACACATTTTTAAAAATAATTTTTATTCATTCTTTTAATGTAATTAAAAAATTTAATAATAATATAAGACATACTTTGCCACTGAAGTCCAATTGTTGCATTTCTTGGTCAGAGTTACCGATACCGATAAAAGCGCACAGATTTGCTCCCTGTTCTGACTCTCCATCTCTGATCATTTGTTCCTGTCTTTTGGCCCATCCGTCTCCTAATAGGTATATACACGGCGGCGGACAGAAGAAACGTTTTTCATTGCCATATGATTTCTGTGCGACCTTTGCGTGAAGTATAATGATTTTGAGGTCATTTTTCTCGCGAATGTATTTCCTCATCGCTTCTCTCGTTAATCTCTGTTCACCCCTTCGAGGCCTATGTCTATCATCAATGGGTGGTGAAGGTGTTGGTAAAGGGCTTGGAGGTGCGTGACCTTGAGGAGGTACCATAAGGCTCAGTCCTCCAGAATTTAGAGAAACCAGTGATTGATCTCTCGATGCTTTTTCTATTTTGAATTAAAATGATATTAATTTATAATTTTTAAAAACTTTAGACATATTAATTCAAAAATTACTGATACAATAAAATCTGATATTTAATCATTTAATATAATACCTAAAAATAATAAATAATTTCAATTTAATTATTAATACATAAATTGATAAAATTTAGATTCAGAGTAAACAATTTGCATAATAGCACTTAAGAGTATATAGAACTGTAGTAATTGATAAGTTTCATAGTATTAAATTATATATTAACAAACAGTACAATAATATGTAATTTGAATTAACTGTAAACACAATCGTAAATTGCATATCAATTAAATTGTGACTAAAAATAAACAAACAAATGTATTAGTGTTGACAATAGTTGTATTATAAATAGTGGATGAAAAATAGGATGACTTGTGATGACTGTTTGGATTAGACTTAAAGAGAAAAACCCCTTAAATAACTCTCAGTTGCAAAACATTAACCAATTGTTGTTTTGTAATGAATAGACAGATGTTGTCAATAGATTTTTAAATGTTTTATACATTAATTTAATATATAGTTGTTATACCAATTAAATAGTTATAATCTAATATACATATTATTTTTTAATTAAAAAATTTATATATAATGATTACTTAAATATCAAATATTAACTTTAAATATTTAAAATTAATATTATAAAATAATAATTTCCCTAAAATATACAATAAAATAATCATTCAATTAATATAAATATATAGATTTTATCAAATGTTTATATAATTACATTTTAATAATAGTAATAGATGTTAATTATTGTATAAACTAAAGTAAAATTCAATCAAATAAAATATTAATCTATAAAACCATATGCTATCTATCAGTAAAAACCAAACTACTGTACAGTATTTTTCGACCCTTTAATACAATAGTTTACTATTAGTTGGAGTGTATATACAGTACATAACATTACAATCAAATATAGGACTCACTTGAGTTTTATATAAACTCAATATAAATCTAAAGAAAAACTTTCAGAGAGAGAGAGAGAGAGAGAGAGAGAGAGAGAGAGAACAGGTGTGTTATTCTCACGATGTGTGTGTTTATGTTATAAATGTATTATAAGTTTTGAATGAATGCAATACTCGCTTTATATTGTTTTGTATTATATAGTAGTGTCGACTCAAACATTAAAATAAAAACACTTGAAATGCAATTATTATAAAGTGTGCATTTTTAGCCACATTTTATATTTAGACGATTTCAAAATTAGCTTATAATATATTCATATATTTACAAATTTGAAGGCAAATCTGAGTTTAAGATAAATTTTATCATAAAGTATACTTGATTTTGAATTAAGCCTATACTGTAAAGTTGCATAAATAACATTTGTTGATTTAAAAAGTCAAATTTAACAAATCTCAATAATTGATTTAAACATGCTTTCAAAATATAGGTTAATTACTTTCCACTTAGAAATAGGATTTAAAAATTTCACTATCAAATTGATAATAAAATTTTGAGATCAGTTTATTACAAATAACTTTCTAAATAAAATATTAACATTTGCTAACACAATATATTAAAAATGAAATGTATTTTTTAAAATAAATGATATTATAAGGCATACAAATTAGAGGTCATATCATCGGAAGGAACTAATTAGTGGGTAAACACATCATCGGCTAACAGTGCGAACACATGTTTCATGTCATCAAACAGTACTGTATATTAAAACAGTGTTATTATTGAGTTTGTGTTACAATTGAGTGAATCATTCAATTTTTAGTCCCAAAGCTCCCCATTCTCTCAAAGCTTTAGGCCATTCAATACACTATATTTATATTTCTATTGAAGTTGAGTTTCATATCAAACACAACAAAACAGTTGTGAAAAGGCTAGAAAAGGCCATACAATCGATGATTGTGTCCATTCTAACCATTTATTAACCATAAAGTTACTTATTATAAAGTATAAAAAATAATTGAATTAAATTTTTAATAAATATTGTTATTATTACACACACACACATATATATATACATACACCAACATTCAACTTTAATTAAATTCTTTGCCATTAAAATTAAATTATTAATCCAATAGATCTGTAAAACCAATGTTAATCTCTAACATAGCATTCAACAATGGATGGATCTATATATATATATATATACAGTATATATATATTGTATAATAAATGTTATTAAATAAGAATCGGATATATATTACAAGCAAAGTGCACAACAAACAAGAAATGATTGCACCTGTATGTGTGTCTATTGATTATGTCATATTCATATTGTATGCATTCAATAGGATTGAATGACAAGTGAGACACAGAATCGGCGGTCAATCTATGGCTCCATTATTATAACATTATATGTCTACACAAACACATCATTGCTTGAGTCACGCATTTAAAGCAAAACTTTGAATAGTAATGAAAATTAAATGTTTGATACATATAGTAGAGAACAGATGTACTCTATATTGCATTCATTCATTCAATTAGTACTTGCATTCTATGTTATAGACTATAACTTATAGTCCTTCCATCACTTCATTACTTTTTTCATTCATCACTATTGTTGAGACCAATTGATTCAATTTTATGATTCATAGAGTAATAAATAAATTATATTATTTGTAAATTTATATTATATAAAATATTTAATTTTAACAACATTTCGTAATCACATAAATTCATATTAAATAAAATATTAAAAACTATTTTTTTAAATTATAGAAATATTTTAACATTAAAAAGTTAAATCATATACAAATTGTGTTTGTATTAATATATAAATTAATATATTCAACGACATAATATGGATATACAATATATACCACAAAAAATCATATATTATAAAATTATATATTAATTATTTGTCTATAATAAAAATTATAAATGATTCATTGATAATATTAAATACGATATTTAAACATAGAAACAAAACCAATAATACAGTAGTATTAAATTTAAGTTACTCTTGATATAAATATAAATAAAACATAATTTATAAATTGGCATAACTTTGACTAAATATATATATATATTTACAGACGATATAATTCCCATAGGAATCAGAATCATTAAGTAATAATAATAAACAAAATTGTGCTAATAATATAAATAAGAACTAAAAGCCGATACACTACTTTACATAACATAAGATTGAAAATATATGAGAAAATAATAAATACATTAAAAACTAGAGCTTATGGTGTTTTGGATTTGTTGATCACTTTCTCACACAATTCACAGAATCAACATTTGATGGGTCGAGTCATTTCAGTCGGTGCTCTCTCACCGGTGAGAAAATAAGCATTGAGTCCATACGACAGACACAATCAGACACCAGATGAAGCAATGGTAGTGAGAATCAATGCATCACTCAATATCATTACTGTATACCTGAGACACGCCACGAATCACCTCAAGATTACCATTCATTACAAACCATTGATAAATTTACCGAAATATCACTCAATAAAAATTACTATATTTATGACATTTAAGTGATATACAATTAGATCTTACCATTAGTAGAAGTGGTAAAATTTGTTGATATGCCATATGATGTCATGTGATAAAGAGCTGGATCAGCAAATAATGGTGCTGTCGATGCTATTTGATTGATGTTTGGCAAACATTGTTCTTCATATAAATTATATTCATAATTATGTGCCATATCGTTAATAATAGTATTTATTTAAGAAAATTTTTCTATATTTTTTTACAAATATACTATATTTAATAGATTTTATAAAATTTTATTAAATGATATACAATTAATTTTACAAATCAATAATATATTATTTGTTTTACTCATCACTAGTTATTGTTTAAAAAGATTTGCAAAACAAAACCAGAATATTAGAAATTGTATGAACCGATGATATAGAGGAAGGTCTGAGCACTGGCATCAATGGTAATCACACACCGGGCAGACTCTGCAGGCATTACGTGTGCACTACTGGCACAGCACTATGCCTTCCATTAATTATCACCAACACCTGTGCCACAAGAAATATTTCCCACCGGCTTATAGATCACCGGCCATTGCAAACAGCATATACATACATACATACATACTGTACATACATATACAGTGCTTACAGTGCAACACAACAATAAACCCAGAGTTTGTCACTTATTTTTACACTTGTTTCGGGACTGGTATTTCAAATCAATATCTAACCACAAATTCACTCCTTTAATTAAATTATGTTTCAAAGTTAATTTAATATACTGTTTATCATAAACACCACTCATCAATGTTTAAGGTTTGAAAATTAGTATCAATTGAGTAATACTTAAAAAATGATTAAAAACAACAAAAATACTTAAACATATAAACATACAATATATGTATTTAATCAATAATCTCATTAGTAAATCATAGCTACTATTATTACTATTACTGATAATTATAAAATATATGGTACTAATCAATATAGCTTTTGTAAATTCATATTAAAGTATTTCAATTTAATAAATATCAATAGTTTTTTGTTATAAATTAATAATTATAAAAATATCACTTATAATCTTATTAAAAAATTATTCAAATTGCATACCAATTAAAATATATATTTAGGAAAATATGGAAATACCACTCATAAGTAAACATAAAAATATGAAAAATAAATAGATTGTAACAAAACTGTAATTCCATTCTACAGTATATACAGTATGTGTGTGTTGTGAGTGTTGTTATCAACAATTAATTATTAATTGAATAAATTCTATAATTATATATAAATTATATATTCACTTAACTATATATCTAAAAATTATGGTATTTTCTAATCAGTAACAATAAAATCTATTATAATATAAATAATGAGAAGTAGTGACAATAACAAAAATATTTTTGACACTAATTTAGTTTTAATTTTTTAAAGTACTAAAACTTTTATTAAATTTTACCAAAGTTTTATTATATAAATAAATCAAAGTTCTCACAGCTCAGCATTATATAAAAATTTATATTTAATTAAATTAATTATAATAAATCATAACTCTATTATATACGCACGAAACAAACTTAATATTTTAACACAAATATAATCACATAAATAAAAAAATCAAAAATAAAATTTATAATTTCCTAATGTTTGGCAAGTATTTATGAAATAAATGTAAAATTTAATAATAAGTGATATGTTTGACATACCTTCGTGGCTATGATTGCGATAATGTCTGCTGTGATTCATATGATCATAATGTGGTTGCGGTGAAGACAAGTCCATTGGATGGTGACCGTCACCAAAGGATCGATGGCCGCGACCACTCATTTGCATCGGAGAGTTGTTTGAGTTGGACATCATATGATTCATGTGATCCCCATTCATGTGATTTTGTTGTTGCATTTGCATCGGAGATGAATGCATACTACTTTCAAGTGACTATATTTAATATGAAAACAAAATAATACATTACATCATATAAACAATTAATTTAAATATAAAGAGAAAACATATTATTAATTATTAGACATTAATTTTGGGTAAATTTCTCGCAAAATCAAGTTTTATGTATTTATTTATTTTTAATAATTATAAACATAAAATAATAACAAATTAATTTACTGACTAAATATTACTTGAATTCATTTGAATATTATTAACTTTTATTACACTATTTTATTTGATGTATCAAATAAACAATACTAAAAATAAAACTAATTAACTAATAAATTAAATTCAAGTTTTATTATTAAAGTTAACAAAAATGTTATAAAATAATAATAACTTTTGATATTATTATATCAAAATTACAGGGAAGTCGAATATTTTGGTAAATTACTTTAAATTATTTAAATACATAATTTAAATACTAAATTATTATTAGTTTTGCAAATAAAACATTAGTAATATAATTAAATGTTAAAATAAGTTAATTTTAATTGTATAATAAATGTGCGAATTATTAATTAATAATAATTTATAAAATGTGAGAAAACTCGGACTTTTAGGAAAATGTTATTATAATTTGTCATATCTTGAGATCATTGACTTTAAGGTTAAACTTTATGGTAAACAAAATCTCATAAATTATTTCATTTAATTTTTTTTTTTAAATATCTAAATAAGTAAAAAACATTTCAATTGTTTGCTAAATTAACAATAATTTAGTTTTAATTTATAGAAATGTTATTACATTATAACTAAATAATAGCTTTAATTAACTAATATAAATAAGTCATAAGTAATTATCGTATGTATTATAAGACTAATTGTTGCCAATAATAATACTATAATATATAGCCTAATGATCTCTTGAATGATATGACAATTAGTGATAATATGAAAGACCTACTCTCATGGTGTAGTGTTCCGGTGCTATCGTAGGACTGGGTGTTTGGTTGTAGTGATGGTGGTTGTGATGACCGGTCACTGGACTCACGCAGTGGTAGGCATGCGATGGATGCAACACATGGCCTGAATCGTCGTAAACACCGGAATAGCCATATTGTGAACCCTATTGGATGGACAACAAGACATTACATGAGATAATGGGTTTACAAATCATTAGCAATGGTAATCATATCTGATTGAAATCATTTAATTGAAAAGTTATTGATATTTACATAATATGACTATCGATTCAATTGAATGGCAATCATATGATTACAATAAAAACAATGACTTTAAGTAATTGACACAAAAGGCAATCAAAACAATTAAAAGATAACTTTAAAATCAATGTTATATAGAAATGGTTGTCAAATGTTATGAAGTGTTAAAATTTGGTGAAACATCTGTCCATTGAATATACGGTTCATTCAAACGATCCGTTTCTACAAACCTATGCATCCATTCATTCATATCATAGCAATGTTTTTGTCTATCTATAGCTTTGTAACACTAAAACAGCCATCTATTGGTCATTACATGTGACACATGTGACCATCACTACAGTATAGCTATGATTGGGCTGTAATAGTACTCGGCTTATGTATGTTTAGATGACAAGCTATAGGAATGTAGGGATGAGAGAAAAATTCTCACGGTTTGTAGGGGCCTACTAGGGGGTCACCAGTGGGGCGTGGGAAAGGAAACTATATTGAATGGGGGGTCAAGGGGGTCAAGGACACCATCAATGGTCAACAAGGGATTGCATATTACTATTGCTAACATATTATCTTATTATCTCTACCTATACTCTCTCTCTCTCTCTCTCTCTCTCTCTCTCTCTCTCTTCACGTTAAACAATAAGTTCTCACACTTTAAGACCTATTTGTAGGTAAAAAGATTTACACTAAAACCTACGATAAAATGAAATGAATTATACTATACATAATGAGAGTCAATTAAGTTATATAAATAGCTATTAATTTTATTATAACATCAAATTTATAAGATTGCATTTGTTTGGACATCATTTAAGAAAAACAAACTTAATATACATCTATAAATCACATATTACTGTATAATATAAATACTTTCAGTTAATATTCAGATGCATGTATTTATGCTTTAAATAGCAATACAATTAAAAATTATATGTCATTACACTTAACTAACATATCGATCATTACTTTATTTTTAGACTAAAAATATATTTTAATAAAAGTAAAATAAGTCAGAAATAAATAAATATTAATACTATATGTAATACTATATATTTATATAATCAAATAAGAGTGATGATTATAAATTTATTTTATGTGCTATATTTAATTTACATATTGTGTAATTATTTTCATTAATATTAATGCAAATTTACTACATTTCTACTATTATTTTATAATTTACTAAAAATCCTTATTTTGTGAATTTTATTGAAAATACATAAATTAAAAGTTTCACATAATTGCTAACAATTATTTAATATTAATGTAAAAACAATAACAAATACTCTATACTAATTATATGCTTAAATAATATTAATTTTAGTATTAGATTAAGTTATTCATAAGCATTTACTTTTATATTTTAATATATAAAATATAAGACATAAATATCACAAATTGATTCAAATAATAGCAACGTTTGTTGACTTTGAAAACAATTTGCAAAATATCAACAAAATGACTATTATATTAGTTTAATATTATTTTAAATAAAAATTATCATTTGATGGCAATTGTTGCCAAAGAGTGTGACAACAGGTCTTATGAGTCCTCATAAGCCCATCATTGAGTGTGAGAGAGGCTTAGGGAAGGAGAGAGAGAGAGAGAGAGAGAGAGAGAGAGACATCACTGGTATTACATGTGAGTTAAGGTAGAGGTAGTGTTGAATGCAATGCAATGTTTGACACAATAATAACAAGTCATGTGTTGTGTTGTTGTTTCAAATGATTGAATGAGTGATGAAAATGGCGTTCACTATAAACACACATTTGTTGTAATCGTTGATATTATCTGTTATTTTTGGTCACCATTTGGATCCATTAGTACTCATATTATCAAATTTTACACAAATGTCTGCCGATAAACAAATGGACGAAGAAATGTACAGCTCTTCAGATGAGGACTGCTTTAATGACTATTATGACATTCATGACGACAATGATGACGACGAGACAGACAACTGTTCCCTTAAGAGAGATCCCGAGTATTTTGAGTACGAGTGCCTTACCATAGAAGAAGTGGAAAGATATTTCAATGAAAGCGTCGAACTGATCTGTGGCGCCATTCAAGTGAATCCATCGTTGGCTAAACTCATGTTACATACGATGGAGTGGAATGTGGATCAAGTGATACACAGATATCGGACGGACTGTAATAAGTTGTTGAGAGACGCGAGGATTAAACCACAAACACGTATCTCTTGTTCACAAAATACAGACTCGACTCAATCGATACCTTCTTCAAGTGTTTCGTCTTCAATAAGCCAAACAACACAAACTTTCAGATCTCGAGTCAGTTTTGTCTTATGCAACGTCTGTTATCAGAGTTGTCCCGCAGAGTATCACAAATGTTTGAGTTGTGGTCACTCCTATTGTAAGGAGTGCTGGTCTAACCATTTGGAAGTACATATTCTGAATGGTGTGACCACTAATATCGAGTGTATGGCAAGTAATTGCCGAATACTAGTTACTGAAGACTTTGCCCTTAATTTATTGACAACAAAATTGTCTCTTCGCGAGAAGTATCAACAGTTTGCGTTCAGAGATTATGTCAAATCACACCCAAAACTGCGATACTGTGTTGGTCTCAACTGTGATGTTATCATCAGATCCAAAGAACCAGCGGCTAAACGTGTCATTTGTAGTGAATGCAAAAGTAGTTATTGTTTTCAATGCGGTGGTGACTATCACACGCCCACACATTGCAATACAATTAAGTTATGGCTAACTAAGTGTGAGGACGACTCAGAAACGGCTAACTATATCTCTGCTCACACTAAGGACTGTCCTAAATGTCATATTTGTATTGAAAAGAACGGCGGATGTAATCACATGCAGTGCTATAGTTGTAAACATGATTTCTGTTGGATGTGTTTAGGAGACTGGAAGACACACGGATCAGAATATTATGAGTGTAGTCGATATAAGGAGAATCCTAACATTGTTAATGAGTCAGCCCACGCACAGGCACGTGAGGCACTTAAAAAGTATTTATTTTACTACGAAAGATGGGATAATCACGCGCGTAGTTTACGTCTTGAGGAACAAACACTTCAACGAATTAAACAACGAATTCATGAAAAAGTGATGAAAAATATGGGCACTTGGATTGACTGGCAGTATCTGTTAGATGCGGCCACATTACTTGCCAAATGTCGTTATACATTGCAATACACCTATCCTTTTGCCTATTTTATGGATTCGGGACCTCGAAAGGCACTGTTTGAGTACCAACAGTCACAACTCGAGGCTGAGATTGAAAACCTCTCGTGGAAAGTGGAAAGGGCTGAGACTACCGATAGAGGAGATCTGCAAAATCAAATGGATATCGCAGAGAAACGTAGAGCTATTCTACTCAAAGATTTTTTAGCATAACATTTGGCATATTATTTGCCATAATTTTATGATTTATATATATATAAATTTATATATATATATATTGTTTGATAACATTTCAATGTTTATATTTATAAATAAGTTTTATTTCTTAAGATAAATAATTAGTGTTAGATATTTGTTGTGTTTTAACTTATTTAAAGATTAGTTTATATTACTTTTGATTTATTTTAAATTTCAGGTACAGTAACTTTAATTATGTTAATGTAAATTGTGTAATTTTATCTCAAATAAATTTTACACTTAATTTTAGTTAAGTAGCAAAACTTTTACTGAATATATTGTAAAAATAAAAATTATTGAATTTTCTACATTTTTCTTTCATTAATATGCGAAATACAAAAATAAATATAAAATTTTTATTGATAGGATATATACAAACATTATATACAGTAAATTTATATTGATGTATATAATTAGCTTCAATTTAAAAAAGTTTTAAACATACATTATTTAAATATTAAATATCGGATTGTGATAATTTAATCCAACATAGATAATAATTATTTTGAATGATAAAAAATTATTTATAAAATTAACATTTAATTAATTTATTTAATTAATCTAATTATCAATATTATTATATGGCAACATTTTTAATAAATTATATTATATATTATATTAATCTGATGAAAAGATTGAAAACGTAATGCTTAAAGTAAATGTAGACATTTATTGCCATTAAAAGGCTAATTAATGAAAACTATTCATAAATGTTGTAATCATTTGAAATGTTTAAATTAAATATAACTTGAACTATAATTTATTATGAGTTATAAAATTAGGTAATATTAATTAAAAACTCATTTAGTTATATAATAAATAAAAATATAATATACTTATGATTTTAGCTAAAAACAACTAAACAAATTACAATAGAATATGTAGTTATATTATTAATGTTTTAGTAATTGTTATGGAATTATATTTAATAACATATATAAATATAATAGATATGTAGTATTAAATTATATTTTATAAAAAGTGAAAACATTTATCAAATTTTTTAAAATGCAAATTTTAAGACAAACCTATAAAAGATAATAAATTCATTTTGAATTCATATAATTTATTTTGATCTCTTAAGAATCAGAATATTAAATTATAATTTATATATAATATTTGATATGAATCATACATATATAAGGAGGAGTTTCAAGTTTCCTATATTAAAGTATAGTAGTGTTATAATACAGAAATATTACATTAGTTTATACTATATTTTATAATAATTTGTGACTTAATATTAAAGTTATAAAACTCCTCCTCATGTTTTATAATATGAGTTTTGTACCAAACAAAGGGGCTGTCATTGTAATTGTGACCCTTTTATATACATTCCTATCAAATAGTATTTTTGATATGCTTTTTATGGGATCTATATATGATATTTAACTTAAAGTCAATATTAAGTCGACAATTTCCAAATGCTTTGTATCTTTCAATTTACTTTCAATTTTAAGTCAATTCTTATCTATTTTAATATATGATTTTTTAATTAATTTTGTATTTTCTAATTAATTGTCAAAATATTATCAAAGAGATTACCAAAATATTTAGTATTAAATGATTTATTTATTAAGAAAAGTACAGATTATTATCATTTATTGATTAAACAAAGCTTTGGTGGGCCAGACCTCCGGAGAGGATATAATGACACTAAAAGAATCCATAATATATTATCTCTTAAAGATATCATTTCTTTTAGTAGTCTTATTTGAAAGCAATAAAAACATGTTTTGGCGTAAAGTTTGGTTAACGCCACCGATTGACGAATTGCCGACTCATAAAATATACACTTTTTTCAACATCTATATTGTATTTAATATATTTTTGAAACATATCTATACATATCTTTACTGAAATACAGTATGTATTTAATATTAAAGCAATGACATGTTTGTTACTTATAATAATTATGATTATATGTATACATCTATTCGGTAATAACTATCAATTAAGTTGAGTGTCAAGTATTAGACATTAATATAGTGAGTGAATCGGTGAGGATTTGCATCAATGGAGAGCTTCTACAGGTATAGTAAGTCCTCATTAAAGTTATATTTAGTTTCAAATATCAATTCGAGTAAAACTTTATTCACAAATAAGTGCCAAAACAGTGTCTATCTATTTGTGTGAATATTTTGATGGGAACTTTCAAATTGCATTATAGGGCGGACCTAATGGTTGGGCACCGACACACTAAAAGTGTCGTTCCTCGTACTCTGTCTCTCATATAGTGAGCCAAAAAATGATTAAAAATTATTGAAAACATAGTGAAAGTCAATGAAACGTAAAATAATAGTAAAATAATAGTGCGCTTCAATTGAATTGATAGCACCCCTTGAGTTTGATTACACACTCCTATTAATACTTGTTCCGCCTTTTACTATAATACCTGAGTTATCAAAGATATAATTCAAAAAATCAAATTATGGCAACTTCTGTGGGCACGACATGGGAGGCCCGGGAAAAGCCTACCAAACAAAATCTTAAAGCAAATCTATGTTTTGCTTCACATTAAACATCTTTAAAGTTGTGCCGCTTTTTACTCTATGTGTTATCTCCGACTATATTATATCAATATATAAATCAATTTATTGTTCAATTGTAATATTGCGTGAAAATATTCACCAAAAATTTTAAAAATACGAAAAATTTTGTGCTAATATTATTTTACAAAATTATGCAAAATTAGTTTAAAAACACAAATTTTTATTTCGGTATTTATATTGTACGCATAGAATACTGTAGAAGTAGTCTTTAAAAATTTAAAGCTTTATAAAATTGTTTTATTTTAATGCTTAACTATTATACAATAATACATTTTTATAGTTACTAATGATTGAAAAATAAATATTTATATTTGTCAATAGTGTATAAAGTAAATATTTTATGTATTCAGTAGGTGACACATCAATTTTAACCATTTAATTGGGATAATTAAGTTTATTATGAAAATGTTTATTAATTAATAGTAAGTAAATGTTGGCGGCACTTAATGTTTGTTTAAACTCAATTGCTATCAAATTGTCATTAATTAGTATTATAATCTTCTTTTGATATTAAAAAAAATTTCTTCAAATTTTAGTATTTTTAAAATAAAATTCAGAGAACCATATTTAAAATACCTTATCATCAAATATACAGTAATGTAAAGATATTTATGTGATATTTTATTTTTATTTCAAATATCGTGCAAATTTTTATATATCAATCATTTTTATTATTCTCATTATTAGAATAAATGTATATTAACTTCAATTACTAGAATTGTATACTTAATATATACTATTGATATACAGCATTTTTACAGTATTAAATAAGTGTGTAAAATGGTTTACAATAAATTTAATTGCAAATATTATAAATTATTATATAACGAAAAATATTTTAATTATCAGTATAACTTGCTTCAGAAACAAATATAATTTATATATTAATAATAATTATATTATATAAAATATTATTTCATATATAAATATATACTGTATTTTAAATACTCAAAATAACGGTTTTACCAAAATGCAACTTAACATATTAAAAATATCGCATTTATGCAAATAAATAACAAATTACTATAAAAATATATTTTTACGGTATTTGTCCGATATTTTTATTAGTAGTTAAACAAGTTTGAATTTTAAAAATGATTTATTCAACTGCAATCTTAAATTAAAAAAATATTACTAAAATTTCACATTATTTAAAATTTTATTATAGTTAAATTAATTTAAGTTAAAATTAGATGTTATTATTTTACTTTTATTTATAAATTATATAAATATGCAAACACAGAAATTAATTTAAATAATATCTAAATGTATAATATTGTCAACATTTCTAATATCTCACTTACAATTAATTTAAAATAATAAGTTAATGTTATTTTAGATTAATTGTGAGTGAAATATTAGAAATGTTGAAAGTATTATACAAATACATTACAAAATAACTAAATATTTGTTAATGTTATGTTTGTTTGCATTTAATACATGAAATATCGAGAAGAGGATCATTAACACAGATTTCTCACGAGAGTCAGTCCTCGGTATTACTCTACTGTGTAATGCATCTAAAACTGTGCCCAAATTGATCCCAAATTGGTCCCAAATTGGTCCCAAATTGGTCCCAAATTGGTCCAGGACAATTATTGTAAAAATTCAATTTTATCTTTTGGTTAGTATGTTATTTTTAAATATTATAACAAGTACGATAATTTTTTTATATAATTTTAATAAAAAATATTTAAATTAAGATATAGCTGTATTTTATAATTATAAATGTTATTATTAAAAAATATTATGACAATTTTAATTTAGCAATAATAAATATAAAGTTTAAATAATTTTATTTTATAATTTGTTGATCTAAAAATAGTAATATTAAAACTCAATTCAATTTGTTTTCTTTTAGTTTTGAGACAAACATTTTTAAATAATACAATATTATTGTTAGAAATAAAAGTGATACCAATTAATAATAATAATAATAAATTAACAGAAATTGAATATAATTTTTAAATGTATAAACAAATGTAGTGTCAATATGTCATAAAAGCAAACATTCAATCATTACAATTTCAATCATTACAATTTCAATCATTACAATTTCAAATAGCTTGTCATGTAATGTTGTCATTTACTAATACAATATTTAGAGGCAATTATGTTATTAACCATAAAATTAAGGCATATTAATAAAACATTTAAAAACTATATTTATTGATAATTCAAAGCTTACCTCAGGAGGAACATAGACGTCATTCATCTCAACGATTATATTATGATATTTATTCCCAAATCAAATGTCAGTAAAAATGTTAATTTTTAGTTAATATGAATTAATGTATTGAATAATACATATAGAAATTTACAGTTAGTTATTAAAATCTATATTAAATATAAGTCAATTGTTAACGAAAAAGCTAATTAATATCACAAATGATTATATATTTATATTAAACAAAATCAAAAACT